CTCTTTATATACTTCTCCTATATTATAGATCTTATCTTTACTAATAATATTAACTATCTTTTAAGCCTCTAACTATTAAAGCTACTCTAGATCTTTCTCTTTATAGAAAAGATCCTTATTAAAGGTAACGTTCTACGTTATAATAATCTAATTAAGTAAGGGGATCTATATCCTGTATATATTAGATGCTCTATATCCTACTAGATATCTAATATAACCCTAAGGGTTTACCTTAAAAACCCTCTTGTAACGCCTAGCTGCTTAATCTCTATTAAGGGGGTAAGCTTAATAGCTATAGGCGTATATTCTGCTCTAATTAGGGCAGAGATTAGTAGTTACCTCCCTTATCTGCTCTAGTTGCTACCACCTAAAGTATCTAGTAAACTAATAATCTAGCACTTTATTAGGTAATATTATATTATAAGCATAGGACAGGCTTATATTATAGAGCTAAGTTGCTACTTTAATAATTTTAGGCTAGAGCTTTATTAGTAGGTTAGCACTAATCCTTATTTTAATCGATTTTGTTATAATCTCCTACCCTACTCTTTCTACTCCTCTATTAGGTTTATAGGTATATACAGGTAAGCTCTTAATCTTAATACTATTATTAGCTGCCTAGATCTAAAAGCAAGATTTGCCACGCTAAGGGAGCGTTACAATATTGTTATCTTGTATAATCTTAACTATGCTAAGCTTATATTAGTTAAGTATTAAGCTCTTAAAATTTTTAAACACCTATATAATCTTATTAAGGTTTTTAGCTTATAGTAGATAGGTATAAAGCTTTCCTAAGTAGTTACACTTTAATACTAAGATCTATTACTTATAAGCTATACCTATTAGCATGTTAAATAGATCCTATAATACCTAGTAGTATAGATATAGTAATCTTTCCCTTAGTTATCTTAATATAACCTATTAGGCATGTGTAATAGCGTAGTGCTCGCATTTGCTCCTAGGAGTTCCTTTAATCCTAACGTTTATAGCTAACTTAACTAGAGCTTTAAGCGCCTTAGGTCCTAAATAGCCTAATTATTAGTGCTAAAGCTCCTTACTATTATATCTTAGGTAAGTTATCTAGGATTGCTAGGGTTATTTAGGCACCATGCTTTAGATTATTAGATAAGGAGTAGAGGGCTTATATTCTAGGAAAGTTAAGTTAAACTTGCGCAGTAACTTAGCTAATACAACGCTCTTTTCTAATAATCTAAACTATAAGGTGGCATCTAGCCTAAGGAACTAAACTCCTACTTTAAGTAATTAAGCTTCTAATATAATATTCACATAAAAACCTTCTACTAACACCACGTTAGTAAGCACTAAATCTTCTGTTTTTAGACCTCTTGGTCTATTAAGAGCATTAGGGATTACTCTAGTCCCTCTGCCTAAGATTAGAAAAGCTTAAGTTCCTGCTTTAACTATCTTATATTTAACTAATCTAAACAAGCTTTCTTCTAGGTAGCTTATATTATTAACTAGGTGTACTGCACCCCTATTATTAAAGATAGTGCTCTTTAATAGGGCGTAAGCTTTAAAGTCTATAGTTAAATAGATCCTGTTCGTTTTCTCTACTATTAATATAGGGTTAATTAGTGCCGCCTAGATACTACCTAGATAGGTAATTGTGCTTGCCTTACTACTATAATCTTAATTAATAGGATAGGACTTAATTAGAGCTTTTCTTAACTCTTTAAATTTTAGATTCCTATTAATCTTTTTCTTAATCTCTAATTATTAAGTAGTAGTAAGCTTGTTACCTATATTAGTCTAAGCTTTAATAATATTTTTATATTTAGGAGGTTTCTATAGGCAAGATCTACTATATAGGTATAAAGACTCCTTCTTAGGTTAGTTAGAAGGTAGAGCTCCTATTATTACAAACACTCTAGGACCCTTAGAGCTTAATCTTATATTGTTCTCTTAGAGCAGTAATAAATAGATCTTAGCAACCTGTAGGAGGTTATAAGTTAGCTCTCCTATTACTAACTTTTTAATAATCCTTTAAAATATAGTTTAACCCTAATCTAGTAAGATCCTAGTAGATAGAGCTTTAAGATAATCCTATAATATAAGCTATCCTTTAATATTAGGAACGTTATATACCTTAGCTTACGCATATAGGATTGTCCACTCCTTCTACTAGTAATTAGTGTCTTAGCTACTTATTTTTGCCTTAGCAAGATAAGCTTTATACTATAATCTCGCTAGTATTATAGCGCTTAAGTTAGTTAGCGCTAGGTTATTACAGAGCACTTAGATAAGTGCTTAGAGGGTTACTCTTCCTTAATTAACAAGCTCTATATAGGCTAGGGTAAGGATCCCTTAATCTACTATATTATTAACCTATATAAAGAGGTTCTAGATTACTAATAACTTTAATACCTAATCTAATAAGCGGGCTTAGTACTAAGCTATTTAGAGCTTGTACTGCTTACTTATTGTGTTAGATAGCGCGATATCTATTAGCATGTTAGGCTTAATAGGTTTATTCTTAAAGTGGTTTTTAGTATCGTAGAGCCTTAGGGTCTACCTCTACCTAGATCCCTTTAGTTAGGGCATGGTATCTAAATTAAATATACTAGGTAGGCTAGTTAGTTAATCTAGTAAGTAGGATATCCCCCTTTAGGATTTAGTTACTTATAGTAGAAGAGTAATAAGTAAGCTTTTGCTTAAGAAATAGTATAAAGAGTAAAGCTTACTAGCTTAGTATCTAAGTTAAACAATACGCTTAAATAGATAGGACAATCTTTAATAAGGTAAAGCGCGAACTAGGCTTATAACTATAGAAATTTAGATTACTAAGGTTAGGAATAATTTAGGAGATAGATTATTAGATTATATCTACTATAATCAGACTTATATATATAGAGCTTCAGCTACCCTTACTAGAAGGTAAATAATTAGTAAACCTTCCTTACTAGAGCTCCTGCTTTTTATTAGGCACTTAGCAGTAAGCTGGCAGTTGATCAGATAGTGGGTCATACAGGGGTATTAACCAGGATTGATCGGGATTGATCGGGATCAAGATGCTCCGTGATCCAGTTAATATCCCTCCTGCAACAAAACCTAATAAGGCTTTTACTAAGACTATTATTTATAAGTAGTATAAGGGCTACTTTAAGTTTATATTCTAAGGCTACTTTTCTTATAATTATAAGGGCTTATATTATATTTAGTACCCTAAGACTATATAAAAGAAAAGAGAAGTAGCTTTAAAGATTAAAGAGATAAATAAGACTCTTAAGCCTATTATAAAATAGGAGTAGGAGCTTATTACTAGTATAAAGAGAATAGGATTAAAGAATAAACTAAGTAAGACTTTATAGTAGAAATAGAATAAAAAGAATAGTAAGCTCTTTTATAATAGTAAAGGAGGTATAGATTAGTAGTACTACTAGAGTTAAGTTCTAATTCCTAAGCTTATCCCTTTTACTAAAAAGTATAAGAAAGAGAGATTATATACTATAGTTTAAGAGGATAAAGCTCCTTTATATACCTATTATACCTAATAACTAGTATATAAGAGAGAGGGAGTAAAGAAGCTTCTTTAGTATAGTAATTTACTTAACCTTAATACTATTAAAGTAGCCTAGCTATAGCTTAAGTAAAGAACTACTAGAAAGGGTGCTTTTAAGAGTAGAGTAAAGGGTATAAAAGTATAGTTAAAGGCTTAGGATAAGCTACCTTAATATTAAATCTAGGCTTAGATAGAGTATATATAGTATTATATTGTTATGGACTGGCCTCAAGGGAGAATGCAATGAGCGTTGATAATAGTATTCAGTATCTTAAAGGAGAGGTAAGCCCTCCACGCCTTTTTATAGGTGTCCAGTGTGTTCGCTTAGTAGTGGTGTTGGACTCGGTCCGTCTTGTGTTAGACCCAGGCTTGGGCATAAGCCCAAGCCCTTCACATATATTTAGTAGATTATTAGACTAGAAGGTAGTAATAAGTATAAGGAGGGGTGGCGCAATAGAATAGTCTAAGCTTTAGTAGTATTGTAGCGGTAATATAGACACCCCTGTTAGCAAGAACTTTTAAAAGCCACCTCCGTAGTACAGTTGGATACAGGGGTGGCTTAGGCGCCCCACAGGGGAGCATTTATGCCTGATACCATAGTAGGTAGTGTTTTTCTCACATAGTGCTTGCACACAATAAGACAGACGAGCCAATACAAGAGGATCGTACCGATGGAAATATCATTCGACATGGTCACAAGCCTACTAGACCAAGGCGAGCACTTGGAGTGTACTTGCCGTATTGTTATAGCACTATTGTCAGAGTGAGTTAAGGTAAGGGTGTGTTAACAGGGCAAGTTTAGGGCAGTTACACAGTTTAGGTTAGGGCAAGTCTCCCGAATACGAATTCCAAAGCTTCCATAACACGCGTGAAGTAGCCAATCAAGGATTGGTAGGCTTTTGACTATAATTGGAATATTCTGATTAGGATTGCTTACCATATATTTGAAGAGCACTACATGCCGCTGATACGAACTTAGCGGGGCTAGGTCGCCACACCTACCCTTCGCGGTATCCGTATCGTAGTGTGTCTGTGGAGCAAAACTTTAAACTTTCTTTTTCGCTGTATAGTACACGAAAACTCAAATTCTGGCTACGAACTGTAGGTTACAGCAGAAGACTGCGTTTATGTTTCCTTGTACACATAGAACTAAATAGGCCGTAGAGGATGTGTTGCAGGGGCAGGAGGCTATCTCTAGCACCGACAAGAGTATGTATACATCCACCTATAGGTTATGCTCCGCTTTGACTGCACAAGTTCTTACCTACTGTAGATCAAACAAGGCTTATGCTGTCCAAATGAATTTTGCTATGCACGGCCTACAGTTTAATGCTTACGGTCCTCGGTATATTAGGTGGAGCAGTCTTTTCCACTATTACGAATTTTACAATCACGCATTCTTCGTTCCTACACTCGAGAATCCTAACGACCGACCGAATTGAACTTCAAAATTCTCTGCGAAAAACTATCCGAAATGCGATCACTGGATCTTTTTCTCCTTTTGTTTATCCCAAGCCTTCTGGAAGCCTGTAAACATGTGGATAGTATTTCCAACAAAGACACGCCGCCCCAAGCCCCTGCCGTGATTGCCTTCGAATTCAAAGATTGGATGGTAGAAGATATAAGCGAATGTGAGGAAGCCTGTGTTCGCTCGTGCCTAGATAAGAATAGAGACACAATCAAGTATCCTCGTCAGGGAACGTGCATGGGTTGCGCCACCTTCAAAGCAAACAAGTATGGACACCGCGCCCTTCCGGATTGCCGCAAGTCTTATTACGGGGGTCCATATCTTTGTCCTGGTCAGGAAGCGGACGGCTTTTACGACTGTATTCACCCATGTCTAGACTTTCAGATTGTAGGTCATCTCTATGTCGCCGATGCTATTCATCTTATTTTTCTACAATCAGACTGACTCTTGTAAAAGACAAAGGAAATAATTCGAAAACCAAATAACGCTGAGAGTCCCGTATCTCCCGCTCATCGCTACTAGCCCAATCTGATATGAGAATTACGTGCTCACGGAGCAACATCAGGAGTGTTGGATTTGGATGGCTCTGTTCCGGGGGCAGAACAAATATTTAGAGTAGAGAGGTGATGGGAGGGGGGAGAGGTTGGCCTTCGCGTGGTAAAGCAGGAACTATGGTAGGTCACCATATCCAATGCCTACCTACGGTACTAGTATTTATATACCATAATTGCTGGCTTCCTCCAGAAAGTCGCCGACAAAAGCGCGTCCTCTTTATACATTGCTCTCCCTTTTCTGCAGTTAGAGCCCTTTTTCTTCTGGGTACCTAGACACTACTGTGTAAGACATTCTCTTGTCCCAAACCCCAATTTGAACAATCTTGATTTTCATATCGGTTCTGTAAAAGATTGTACACGGTGTCTACATTGTGTCCAGCGAGTGTAAGGTTAGATGGAAGCGGGACGGCTATTCCTGCCTCATCAATTCCCTCTTCATCACCTTTATACAAATTGCATGTCATACAATATTAGCTTGTTTACAACAGTCAACGTAGCACACTTTCGAAATTGAGTGATTTTTGTGAGACAAAAACGACTGTCCGGTTGCAATGCGCATTACGCGAAGCTCGGTCCCTTCTCTGTACACTGGGGAATGCGATACCATCTCAGCGTGCTTATTCCAAAGCTACCTGAGATCTTGCACAAAAGAGATATCTGAGCACAAGGTACAGAAATCGTTTATCCTGAAGCATACCGATCTGGTTCCCTCACGCTCTCATCTTGGTATTGTACAGATTGCAACGACCGTCCCAGAATCCCAATGCTTGCCGCCGATGAGGCTGTCTTTACATTGCTAGGTACCTTGCATCCTACGCTTGCCTGTATTTTGGGGGGTTGCGCAAGACGTCATGTACCGCACAAACTGACAACAAACAGTCGCACCAAGATCGGTAGTGACGAGGGCGGATCTAGTAGATAGCTTAAGTGGGTGTGATTCAGCCGGTGCGTGCAGAGTAACAAATCGAACAATGCGGACTTTTGGCTGGACACATAAAGAACTATACTCTAACGTGCAAGCCGTTCCCTTGGGTACTAATAAGCAAAAGTGCCGGCCCTACCTTGGTGCAATTGTTGGTTGCCAGTTTCATAGCCTTGCTTAGTACAACACGTGAATCAATGATGAATGGACGAAACTCAAGTGTGTGACAGGACAGGCATAGCCTGCGCAGCATTGATTCTAGATCGCACACGGCATCTGTAAAGTACAATCTACTATACTATATAAGTGCAGTTTACAATGGACCTCGGTAACTTTCCATCTCTTTAATTGACCTGAAGTGGAGGTTTTCATGGTGGCTTTGGTCTATGTGGCTGGCTCGTGGTCTACGCGGGGTTGACCTTCGCACGCGACGTCAGAATATTGTAAGTCGACTTGATTAACTAAATGATCGTACTCTACAGCCCGTGTCTGAGAAATGTGTGACAGGATACATGTAGGAGCACCGATGTCTGGGTCTCCCTTTTTCGGAATTGACAAATCTGATGAAAGCATAGGTACTTTTCCAGCACACCTGCACTCACTCACCATTGCTTGCTAATCACGTGGTCTTGTGAGATTCATGATTCATCTCCATCACTCACCTGTTCCCTCGGGCCGAGCACAAAACACAAGCTCGCTCATTAAGATACCCGAGATTTCTTCATGTTTGTGTATCACAGTTACAGACGGGATGGAATGGAGTTGAGCGCAAAGCGGCAAGGCGAGTGAACGCTAGTTGGGATCGGGAGGCTGGTGGTGCGGGGTCCCCGCGCTTGGGAATACGCCACCCATCACATCGCCTCCTCCACCAATTCACTTACAGCAAACAAGGCATGACCACGCAGTCGCGGTGCTATGTCAGTCTTTGTTTGACCGCGACGGGGATTCGCCCTTAACCCTCGAGCCAACCAGGCGCTCAATGACGATCCAGGAGCCGCGGCTCTCACCTCACTTGTCCACTCAGTGGCTTTAGCGTATCTCTCTCAACATGTATGGGGTATGTGTATTGGCGCTGGGCAGCCCATGCGCCAGTGACATGGCAAGGCCCCGATTAGCTACTTAGACCTTCTGGTGCGGCCTTCTTGTTTTCAATTGTTCACATTGCCATACCTTTATCGTCATGCTCAACACCATGCGATCAGGTCGACAGTCTGGCGACCTCGAGAAGGATGAAACAGCTCAGCAGGAGAGTTTCGAGTCCGGAACTCCGCCCAATGAGACAGAGAAGGGACTCGAGGTTGCAAAAACAAGGAGTAGAGCACCTGTTGTGCACGAAAAGGTGATACTCAACAGCCGACCGTTGGAATCTGGAAACTGTTGAACTGACAACTGCGTAGATGAACACTCGTCTCTTCTTGACTCTGACGTGCATGTCCTTCTTGTGGGTGGGATCGCAGATACCTCTTTTCCTCTTCGGCTCAGTACTCCCTTCGATGTACCAGGACATTGGCGGGGTTGATCGATGGGTATGGTTTGTAGTCAGCTACCTCATCCCCAACGCTGCTCTCTGCCCCTTTGTTGGGGCACTCTCGGACATATACGGGAGACAGAAGGTAGCCATTGTTGGGCAGATGATGCTGATCATTGGTCCCATCATCACATCGACTGCAACCTCCATGAACATTGCTATCGGTAGGGGTTCTGCCCAAGCTGCTTATTGCCTCCCATACTAACAAAACACAGCCGGGAATGTGTTTTCAGGCATCGGAGCTGGACTGAACGAACTGATAGCCCTTGCTGGCACTGCCGAGGTCGTGCCAGTCAAGGATCGTGGCAAGTACGTTGGCTTGGTCGTCTTGACCATCTTGCCTTTCTGTCCGTCTGTGCTATGGGCTCAATTGATTACGAGAGCGAGCAACTGGCGGTACAACGGCATCCTCGTGGGCGTATGGAATTTCATTGGTCTGTTACTCTGCGTCTTCTGCTACAGAGACCCCTCGCGCTTGACGGAAGAGTACACGTTTCGCCATGTGCTGAGGGAACTTGACTACATCGGTGGATTCCTCAGCACAATCGGCATCACGCTTTTCATGATGGGCCTTCAGTGGGGATCAGCACAGGTGAGTCGTTGCGATAGCATCAACATTATGTTTTGCTGACGATACGTAGTACGACTGGGGAAGCGCTCACAACCTAGCACCACTACTAATTGGCATCGCCTTCATCATTGCCTTCTTCGTTTGGCAAGTCTACGCACCACATCCCATAGTACCTCGAGCGCTTTTCCGCAAATCCAAGAAGACCATGATTATCATCCTCTTCATCACGTTCCTGAGTGGTGGCAACTTCTTCGTCTTGCTGCTCATGTGGCCCACTGAGATTTACAACGTTTACGGTTAGTGCCTAAGCATCAGCCTCCTATTCTACAGACTGACACCTTTGCAGGCGACGATCATATTGGAGTCGGTGTCCGGTCGCTCCCCATCGGGTTCGGCATTATCGGCGGCGCAGTCATCTGCTTGGTACTCATCCCCATCACAAAGGGCCGCATACGATTCCTCATGATCTTCTTCACTGGAATGATGACAGCTGGTACTGGCGCCATGTCCATCGCTAGTCCAGACAACCTCGATACTGTTTACGCAGTCCTGACTATTGCTTCAATCGGTGTCGGAGGAGTCATCATACCCTGTTCCATCATTGCGCAGATCGCCTGCCCAGACGACCTAATCGCCACCATCACCGCCATTACCCTTAGCATTCGTTATATTGGCGGTGCCATTGGTTTCGCCGTTTACTACAATCTTTTCTACTCCAAGGTCACCGAGCACCTGACAGACCTGGTTGCAACAAAACTCATTGCTTACAAAGGCATCATTAACCCCCTAACTGCTGCAGGCCTCGCAACAATCACCCATGTTACCGAGCTCATGGGTACCGCACAGTTCGAACAAGCAAAGCAGCTTCTCGCAACCGATCCGCAAGTCCTGCAGAGAGATGCATTCCCGCAAATCTTACGCGCGACACAAGAGGCCATGGCGCTCGCCTACAGGTGGCCGTACTGGTGCTCAATTGCCTTTGGAGGCACATGCTTCGTTTTGAGTTTCTTCCTTGGAGACATTGATCAGCTGCTCGATGCTCACATTGCACATCCGGTCACAGACTAAGGAGCAAACATTGCTCACACTGTCACACACCCGCCAACGCCTTTGCTCAACACTCATACGTAGATACACGCCTCGGACGGTGGCATCAGGCACATGGAAAATCAATGGCGATGCTATTGCTCCTTCTCAAACGATCGGGCAATTTTCATACATAGTTACATCTTCAAGCCCCAAGGCAAGGAAAATAACACTGATTTCCAATCTCCGCCCTTGCACTCTTTTCGCACATGCACAATTATACACTTCGACTCGGTCGTACTCTATATCTCGTATAATGTTGATACCTACCATGTTTCACAGGTACCTACGTGCAGTCAAGCTCCACCTCCCCCCATGTCAACCTCCAGCCACGCCGTAGCCCTAACCACAAGTCTTATGCAAGCCTAGCCCACTAGCGGCTGACAAGAGAGATTCTGATTTGCGAGGCTTGTTTTGGGCTTGGCATGTGCGAGCTGCGCATCATGATTCATGTTTTGTGGGGGCTTACAGACGCACGTGGGGATGGGGATCTTCAGAGGTGGCTCAAGGGGAAAGGGGGAGTGGGGATTGAGACGTGGCGTACGGGTTGATTTGTGTAGATTTCTGATTGAGGAAGAGGATGGTTGGGTATGGGAGGGGACGGGCGGGTGACGTCGGTGGGGAGTTTTTGTTTGCTGTTCTCCTGAATTTTATTTTGGATGCACAAGCACATGGGTTCCCAGATGGTTTGCAGATCTTTTGGGGTTGTTTTGGATAGCTTGAATAGGTAGAACACACGACGTCAGCAACGAGGACGTAGTTACGTCTATTGTTGCTTGGGAAGATGACGCTACTTGTGTGGAATTTGTGAGATGCATGAGTTATATTTTGCAATGGCAATATTGCGCATCGCAGTGCTTGTCAAATCATCTATCTACCATATCTACAGTTCTAATTCATTCACCATACTCCCGCCCTCGATCCCCGCTAATAAATTCTTCACCGTCTCCGTCGCCATCTGCTGCCTCGTCTCAAACGTGGCCGAGCCGATATGCGGCACCAAAACGCATCTGGGCTGTTTGAGGATCGGATGGTCGGCTTGGATATTCGGTTCATTCTCAATGACATCCAACCCCGCCCCGAAGATGGCGCCCTCGTCCAGCGCCTTGACCAGTGCATCTGTATCGACAATAGGGCCACGTGCAATATTCACAAGGACGGCGAGTTTCTTCATCTTGGCGAAGAAGTCGGTACTAACGAGATGTCTGGTCTCTGGCGTCAGCGCACACCCTACAATCACCACATCGCTTTCCTGCGCGAGTTGGTCGGCGCTCTGAGCGGGGTCGATGGGGATGCTGGCAGCCTTGAGTAGGTTGAAATGGTCTTCTTTGACGGGTTGGCCGGGCTTCGATGTCAGGTAGAGTACGCGTTTGATGTCGAACGGCAACAGCCTTTTCAGAGTCGCCTGTCCGATCCTGCCAAAGCCCAGGAACCCAACAGTCGCTCCACGGATCTGAGGTCCGGTCATGAGTAAGGGGTGCCATGGCATCTGGGGCCAATCGCCTTTGAGGACTCTGCCCATGGCCTCGCCGCCCCGTCGCTGGGCCATGAGAATGAGCATGAGGGTGAGGTCGGCAACGGAGTCGGTGAGACACGTTGGCGTGTAGCCGAGACGGATGTTGCGTTTCCTGAGTGCATTGTGGTCCACGTGATCTGTGCCAACAGAGTGGGAAGCAATGGCCTTGAGTTGAGGTCCCGCGGCTTCCAGGAGCTCTTCGTCGACTTTGTCACTCAGCATGACGAGGATTCCTGTTGCGCCTTTGACGTTTGCTAGAAGCCAGGTCCGGTCGCAGGGCTGTGAGGCTTGTGAGCTGTGATTGGTACATGTTCACCCAGGGCTGGTACGGACCTCTATAAAGTCCCATTGCACAATGTCTAGTTCGTCCTTTCTTGCATCGAGTATAGATTGTGCGACATCGATTAGCTGCCGCGTTACCACGACCTTTGCTTTCGCCATGGAGTTGTCTTTGGTGATGCTTGAGGCGGGGTCTCCGCGGTCGGCCGATGGCGGGGTTGTGGTGGACCTCCTCGCCTGCTGTTCGACACTGCTTCCTTTGTCTCGAGACAGATGCGACGACAGCAGGGAGAGTCGCTGCATTGAGTTGATATTCAAGCAAGACCCGAGACTGCATCTTCCATCCAGCCAGTACTTTTTTCTTTGGTTGGGTCAAGCACATTCGGAGCTCAATCACCCGACTGCATCCGCCAATCAAAAACTACACGAGTGTTGGATCCACCGTCAAGGCGTGCTGCGACACCACGGCTCCTTTGCTGACTCTGCCTCTGCCCCAAGAACTTTGCCTCCATGACCGGTCTGTTCCAGTTATGATCGATGGTCATAAACTGCCTATCAGCCCAAGAGGCATGCCAGCTTCTCTCCCATCGGTTTGCGGTCACACGCCATCACTGATGGACCACCACGGCCAAGAACATCCGGAAGCCCGCTGTCGCACATCGTTTTGCCATGCTGATCTATCGTTGGAGATGACAACGCATTGCGACTGCCTGTCTGAGCCCGGACGTGGGAGTCGCTCCAGGGCATGACCTGTCGTTGACAGATGCTGTTGGAGGATGTCGAGCTGAATGACAAACGAAATGTTTGCTCGGGAGCAGGCCGCTGCTACCACCTAGGCAGTCCAGTCAGCTCGAGTATTGACATTCTTATTGCAAAATGAGCTGCTTGGCATACTGTTATAGCGTTCCAATAATCCACGAGCGTTTAGATATCGATCGCGTTCCGATTTGGGGCTTCGCTAGTACGCCACCATATTCCAATACCACTTGGGTTCCCCTTCGGTCGCACGAACAACTGTTCTCTGGGCCAGATGCTTACGATGCTTGATGGAGACCTCAGACTTCGCTACCGGCTCAGCATCATCCTTTAGATCTCTCATCATACCGGAGTTGGCCCCCTTTCCAGCCCTGACCGGACTTTTTGCGAACACATGCGCAGCCTGATGGCGAGCCTGACCTACCATTTCTTATTAGCGAACGCCAGGCTGAACTCCTTCCCACATATGCAGGTTGACCCCTTTCCACACACAGTAGATACATGCACGCAATTTACAACAGCTGCCGCTAGTAGTCTCACGTGCAGAGAATGCCAGGCTAACTGCAGCATAGAGCTTATAGGTCGCACCGAGCTGCCGATGCAACTGTCGTTCACTGGACTTCTGGAGAATCACAACGTCTCATACAATGCGTTTCCGCTCCTTTTCAGCACATGACATCTATAATGGACCATATTGCAACATCTCGGCAGCCGTTCATCAGTCTCAAGGATCCTAAATTCGTAGCCCCTGCATAAGCTACATTATCCGGTACAAGCCTGCATCACGATCTACCCAAGCGAGCACCTCTCTAGTACGAATCTTGATTTGACCTTGATTCCATCTGCCCTGCGCCAGCCACACCGAGGGTCACTATTGAATCTTATCTGACAGATGACAGCCGCACCGCTCCACGAGGCTCGACAATATTGATTTTGACGCTTATCATGCTATTTAGCACGTGGCTGTCTTCTCAGTTAGTTTCGTCCGACTATTATGATTTCTTGGCTCCAATGGTATGCTGCGAAATGGCACACTAGGGCGTGTAAGCTACGGTGTGTGACCGAATGTGGCTACCTTGTGCCAATACAACATACAATCGTAACCTATGTAGGTGAATGGCGACGGGAAGCCTGACATCTGAAAACGCATAAGACAGGTGATCAATGCAGGGGCTTCGAGACATTGAAGATGTGAAAGATATATCTATCGCAATGAAGGCCCTGAGCACAATGTGATTGTCGCAAAGCGGATTTGATCGCACAGCCCTGCCGCTGCTGCTATTTCCATCTACGTTGTAGCATACAGCTGCTACGCTACAAGAAGCACTCATCATGGTGCCACGCGACGCCTTCTTTATATTGCCGCTCATTACATTTTCATCATTCTACCAACCCGGAAATGCCAACGTGATTCGGCGTCAGGAAGCCATTGATCCAACAACGACCACGAACTTCCCCTCCAGCAACACTACAACGCCCATACAAAAGTCAGGATGGTACCCCGAAGGCTGCTATACGGACTCTGTGGGCGCCCGAACGCTTTCAGTGGGTGTTGGCGTGGCTGGCGGGATGACGAATGCAAAATGCAAAGACGCATGTCGATCAGCAGGTTATAACCTCGCGGGAACCGAATACAGTGGTGAATGCTTCTGCGACAAAACGATCAAAAACAACGGAAGACTGGCACCCGACGGCGAAACACTGTGTAATATGGCCTGCAGCGGCAACCCGACGGAGATCTGTGGCGGTCCAAACAGACTAAGTATGTTCAAATACTACACGGGCGAAGAGTCAACATCGTCCAGTGCACCCGGCGCATCTTCAACGGCCTCGAATAGCGCAGCGAGTGCCGCAATTGCACTGCCCCAGGCTACCGGACTCCCAAGCAACTTTACGTACAAGGGATGCTATGTCGATGGGGCCGGTTATCGAATACTGAATTATCAACAGGCAGATGATCAGGCCATGACAATTGCTTCTTGTGCAGGGAAGTGTGCAGCTGCTGGTTATTCAATTGCGGGCATGGAGTACAGCTATCAGTGCTTCTGCGACAACGTCGTCCGCATGGGTGGAATGCCTGCATCCTCCGAGTCTGAATGCACCACAAAATGCGTAGGAAGTCCAGATCAAACATGCGGTGGCCCAAACCGACTGAGCATATGGTCCAGCCAAGGAACGTTGAAAGTTATCCAAGCTCCCAAACCTGTGCAGAAAGTGGGTGGTTGGAAATACCAGGGTTGCATCACAGAGGGAGACAGAAATCAGAGGGTCTTCCCTTGGCAGCTGATCAACTCAACTGGTAATACCCCTGAATGGTGTCTCACAAGGTGTCAAGAGTTTGGGTACATGGCCGCGGGCATGGAGTATGGCGAAGAATGCTATTGTGGAGATCTGGACCTGATTGAGAAGGAGGGCGCCAAAGCAGTCGCTGGATCTGAGTGCAACATGGCCTGCTCAGGAAATCCAGAAGCCATCTGTGGCCAAGGAAACCGACTCACGTGGTACCAGTGGAAAGGCGAGCCATTGTACGTATGGGATTATCCCACAGGAGCAGCTGCCGGCCGATATGAATTCCTTGTTGGCGGCCCTATTATACCTCTTATCGCCCAACCTGGTATCAACGGCAAGGTCACCCTACTCGAGAAGCACGGGACCGGTGCCCCGAACACCACCGGCGCGTATGAACTCGATCCGTCCATTGGTGGCGACATCTTCCATGCATTTCGCGAATTGCGAGGAATCAAGACGGACATTTTCTGTGCGGCTGGGCTTACCATGCCCGATCGCGTGGGCCGACAGATTAACATTGGTGGATGGTCCGCAGATTCGCTCTTTGGCGTACGCATCTACTGGCCTGACGGCTCGGCCGGAGTCAACGGAACGAACGACTGGCAAGAAGATGTGAATACAATCAAGTTACAACGTGGTCGCTGGTATCCTACGGGTATGGTCATGGCCAATGGATCAATGCTTATCGTAGGAGGAGAAGACGGTTCGAACGGACCACCTGTGCCCAATATGGAGATTTTGCCCACTGTCGGCCCGGTCTATGAAGCACAATACCTCCGCGATACAGATCCTTACAATTTGTATCCTTTTCTTGTTGTATTACCGTCTGGTGGCATCTTCATACAATACTACAATGAAGCCCGCATTCTGGACGAAGTCAGCCTGGATACTGTCAAGATTCTGCCGAAGCTCCCAGCCACTGTCAATGATCCTACTGGAGGACGGACATATCCACTCGAGGGCACCCAAGTCCTTCTCCCACAATACTATCCATACGATGCTCCCCTCGAGGTTCTCATTTGCGGCGGAGCAGGTCTCAAGGCAGCCATTGGATTAGACAACTGCGTCAGCATTGAGCCAGACTCCGCGAATGCTCAGTGGACGCTAGAGCGCATGCCATCAAGGCGCGTCATCTCATGCATGGCAACCCTACCAGACGGCACCTTTCTCATTCTCAATGGCGCAGAGCTTGGCGTTGCTGGCTTTGGCCTTGCAGACAAAGCGAATCTAAATGCCGTGCTGTACGACTCCCGAAAGCCACGACATCAACGCATGAGCGTTATGGCGAACACGACCATTGCTCGCATGTACCACTCCGAGGCTGTGTTGATGGATGATGGTCGAGTGCTCGTCTCGGGCTCTGATCCACAAGACGGCAAGCATCCCCAAGAATACCGAATGGAGGTCTTCTTACCACCCTACCTACTTTCGGGAGCAACGCAACCAACTTTCACACTCTCTGAGACTGACTGGACTTGGGAGGCTGCGTATTCCTTCACAATCACGTCTGCTACTAGCGGCACGATCAAAGTTTCCCTTTTGGGTTCAGAATCGAGCACGCATGGAAGCTCAATGGGCGCACGTATTCTCTTTCCCCGCGTCTCGTGCTCGGGGAGGACGTGTACGGTGACAGCACCAAGAGGACCGTATATTGCACCGGTGGGATGGTATCGCATGTTTGTACTCGACGGACCAACTCCCTCGCATGCGAAGTGGGTGAGGATTGGTGGTGACCCGGCAGGATTAGGAAATTGGCCTAATGCGGCTGCTTTCCAGCCGCTGCCGGGTGTTGGACCAGTCGGTGGTGCCAATGAGTCGATGATGCTTTCCAATGGGACAATTTCGGTGCGAAGGTGGCAATGAAGTATAGTCTGAGAGTGTTGTTGATAGATATGGGTAATCTTACAATACGCTTTCTTTCTCGTATTCCACATAATTGTTCGACCATGTCACACTCTTTTCTTCTCTATTAGTTATTCTTGAATTACGCATACAGCATTTGAACTAAACTACATGTGAATTTAGAATAGCCGTGTGTACTGGTAGCAATTCTTGACACTGCGAGACAAACTCATGTGTTTTGCTTGCTGCTATGCACTTGACGCTAAGACGAAAAGAGAAGGTGTACCGTATGCGGGGTCTGGTAAGGTTATCTCCAGTACACTCCACATGTGCTCTGTCTGCCGCCGTATCCCTAAGATAAAACTTTATCTTCGTCTCTTTCTAGGTTCATACGAGAAACTCCGATTGTTAACTAGATTGAGATTCTACACAACAAACCGTCATCATGGAAGAGCGATCCCGCATTCCCGTCGGCCCACCCGTCAACAACCCCCTCCCATCATATTGGCACAATCCCAAATCCCCCCTCGCCAATGTCATTGAGCCAGAAACAGACGAGCCCGTCAAACCGTATGATTACGCTATCATTGGCTCCGGAATCTCCGGTACGATGATTGCATACAACCTCCTACTCCAGCATCCAAATGCACGTGTTGTCATGATCGAAGCACGTGAGATATGTTCAGGTGCCACGGGTCGCAATGGAGGCCATACAAAAGCAGCAAGCTATAGGAGTTATATGCAGCATGTGACGGAGTTGGGTAAAGAAGAAGCGCTCAAGATTGCGAGGCTGGAGCACGAGAATATTCTGCAGACGCATTTGTTAGCGCAGAAGCTGGGGATCGAGTGTGAAAGTCAACTGTGTGATACAGTGGATGTGGTATATGATCAGGAGACGTTTGAATTCGGTAAAACTGCGATACAAGCACTGAGAGAGGATGCAGAGCCTGAAGAGAAAGCAAGAGGTGGCATGGCTTGGTACGAGATCCATGAGAAGGGTGACGGTGAAGAAGAAAGATGCTTCGTTGCCACAGCAATTACAAATCCAGCAGTAAAAGAAACCGAGAGTCTCGCTGGCACATTCCGCTATCTCGCAGGTCGTGTGCATGCATACCGCTTTACAACCGGTATCCTACAACACTGCGTCCAACGCGGTCTACAGCTCTGCGCAAACACCCCAGTCCATGCCATCAAGCGCTCACACCATCTACCCACCAGCGCCAAAACCTCATGGGACATCTTCACACAATACAATACCATCACCTCTACAAACTTCATCCTCGCCACAAACGGATACACCCCTTACCTCCTCCCCGACCTTCAAGGCTCCATCGTCCCCATGCGCGGCCAAATCACTGCACAAAAACCAGGCATGAAAACAAAGCTACCATCCCCCTTGCAAACAACATACTCCTTCATCTATAAAACCGGCTACGAATACATGATCCCCCGCCCCCTTGCCACAGGCGACCAACACATCATCATCGGCGGGGGCCTGGGCCGGCTCCTCCACACCGGCGCAACTGAATACGGGACCGTGGACGACAGCCGCCTAAACCCCCAACTATCATCGTACCTGCACCACAGCCTCCCAGGCTACTTTGGCGCAGATACGTGGGGCGAGGTAGACGCGCGCGAGGCCGACAACCGCGTGGTGCAAGAGTGGACGGGGATTATGGGTGCTACAGCTGATGGACGACCGTTTGTTGGACCTGTGCCCGGGAAGCTGGGGATGTGGGTGGCTGCGGGGTTCAATGGGCATGGTATGGTGCTTTGTTTGAAGGCTGCGGAGGCGCTGGTGGGGATGGTTGGGGTGGGTGGGGTGCTGGGTAGGCCCGGGTGGTTTCCGGAGAGCTTTTTGATTACGGGGAAGAGGGTTGCGAAGGCTGGATTTCAGGGGAGGGTGGATATGGTGGGGAGGGGGGATTAGTGGAGACTTGTTTGTGCTGTTGGGGTGGTGGTGTGGGAAGGTGAGGTTAGGTGAGGTCTACATCTTGGAGTCGACTGGAGTATGTATCCCTACCTGATATTGATGTAAGAGTAAGGAAGAACATCAGGCTCATTCAACCTTAACCATCTGGTGTTGCACAAACATCGTCCCCTCCATTGCACCTTATTAACACAAAACCCGCTCCATCAACCCAAACGAACATCACCCACAATACCAACTCGCCTCCACCCCCTCATCCTCCCATCCCAGATCACCAAATCTTCCCCATGACAACTAGGCATTCTCTCACATCCCTGCATTTCCGCACATATAATCTCCATCAGGAACGCTTTTTCGTTGCGAAATGCAGATGCTAGGATACCTATCAGCAGCTTGGACCGGGTTTTGGACTTGCGATTCTCAGATGCTGGGAGGTTGGGGTGGATTGGGGAAGGCAAAGGATTTCGCAAGGAGAAATAGTGCAGGGGGTGTTGTGTGGGTTTGTAAAGGGAAGACAAAGGTATGTGGCAGCCAGTTGAGTCGGACATTGCGTGTAGGTGAGCAAAGGGGTTTTGTCGTTTAGGAGCGCTCATCAAGACCAATAAGCCGGGCCACAAAACCGTCTGCACCTTTAACAACCGAAAAAGGTCCATCATGGTTCAATGATTGAGTAATCACGCAATCATGTCTATTCGCTAATTGTACAACAGGCATTACACTTCACCAAATCGCACAAACGCAGAATATATACACACACACACAAAAAGCCCGTCTACCCTACCCATCTTTCCTCGCCCAAGCTTTGAATTTCTGCCCCACAAGTGCAGCCTCATCATCACTATCCTCGGCCCTCTTGGGCGGCTCCAAACTCTTCAAACTCTCATTCCCTTCCTCAATACTATCCATACTCTTCCTCCTCTCGGAGTGCATAGCCCTGCCCTCAAACCCCTGCGTCTTGCCGCCCGTATACGCACCCGTAATCTCGACCTCGGAGGTGCGACGGCCAGCGTCGAAGAAGGGGTTGGGCTCGTGACTAACAATGACCTCTCGAGTTTCCTTGATTTGGTTGCCGGCGGGAGCGAAGCTGATGACGCGGTCCGAGGCGGTTCCTTTTGCGTCGCCGTGGTAGGAGACGATGCTTGTGAGTTCGTGGATGTCGGCGCGGGATTCGCGGGTGCGGCGGGTGGTCTTTCTGCCGGTTGCGGAGAGGTTGGAGGAGGATTTGAATTCGTCGGCGATGGAGGCTTTGCCTGTTCTGCGCGAGGTGGAGATGGCGATGCGTTTGATTAGGTTGGCCATTGTCATTTCGATGTTTAGCTTGACGAGGTAGGCGAGCGGGTGGAATTGGATGTAGCTGCTCTTTTGTTAGTGGTGTTGTATAGACGGTGTGGTTTGAGGCAGACTGACACAAAGGAGTTGGGGATGGACATGGCAGCGATGATCATGACGTCCATGAGTAGCGAGACCATGACAATCTGTTGATTGAACCGAACAAGTTTGTTGTACTTGGTAAGACCGTTGTTGATCAGGTTGTTCTTGACAGTCTTCAAAAAGTACCAGTTAAGGCCAGCATCGACGATTAGGTATAAGGCTTTCTCGATTCGATCCCAGTACTCATTGATGATGTGGTACCTAGAAATCTCTTAGTGCGGGCTTCATTAAAGTCATGGCTTGGGGAAATCTCCTACTTGTCGCTAATTTGTAGACGTGCCGGTATCCAGATATTGAACACACTGATATTGATGATAGTGACGAAAACAGCAGTCGCAATCATAATGTCGCGAGACCGTTTTCTGTCAGGTACAATAACTCGGATACGATTGATGATGATCTGGAGCAATAGCTGCACTTGGATACACCAGAAGAAGACTGTGTAATGTTAGGTCCGAGTCCCAGGCAATGGTTTCGTGCTGGCTCGAGAAACATGGCTGTCAACGTACGGATAGTGAAATAAAACGCAAAACCTGTTGGTGGTTAGCACCGTGATACACACTCGAGACATGTCCAAACTTACTGGGTCTAATGATCTTGAGGAGATGTAAGAAACACTCCAGTCCCATGAAAAACGAAACAGCCAACTCCAGCCATATCATCCAAACGTACACACTCCGTATCGGGGATCTCGACCCTTGTGTCTGGTTGAAACAGAGGTAGATAGCGAGGAAGACGTTGATGCAGGTAAACCCCCATACGATGGATGCGATAATGATATCGGATACAGTGATGGCCTCCAGTTCATACTCTGGCGAAATGAAAGGTCCCCAGGGCTGAAAGCTAGGGTCGACCTTGAATTCGTCATTCATTCCACCCATTTTGACAGTTCGGCACCGGGAAAGATTGACAGGGAACGAGCAGTGATTGTGCTGAGCGGGAAGCACTATAAGCAGGACTGCTTGCGCCGATGAGGCGACAAAGGATAAAACGCAAAGGCATATTTGACAAGCTTCGACTTTGTTCCTCAGGTACCGAGAGGCACCGTAGCGGCGGCTAGAGGAGTTCAGGAGATGAGGCACTGACTTGATAGACCCTCCGACCCTCGAGCGGAATAGAGTTTTGCGACTTAGAGCATTTTCCTGGTACTGCTAATGGCGATTTGATCAATTTCATCGACGTCAAACTTTAGTCAAGGCCAATCTAGAAGGCAAGACAGTCGATCTGATGTGTCGCTAAGGCCTGAAAGCTGCGGTAACCCTGATACTCTGACTTGTGCCAGTGGAGCAAGTGTCATGACCTACATACGGAACGGGATTGATCATGCTAAGGCGACTTCAGCTCGCTTGGCTTCATGTGGTGCGTAAGCGTCAAAACAATGTGTGAAAGACTTCAGAGGCCCAAAGTGTTCCTGAGAAGCAAAAGTGACAGATCCTTGATCGGTGTGTGATGCTATTGACAAATGTTTTGGATATGGTGCTTGCCTCATCCAGCACCGATGCCGCCCGCAAAAGCCTAGCGGAGAGACCGGGAAGCGCAAAAGCATATTCGACACTCAGTTTTTGGCAGCCAGTGTTTGTCCAATGATAGCGCAGAGGAGTTGCCTCATAACACACCTCGAGTCCAGCCACAGCAACTAGGGCGAGCCCTCCGCAGCCTCTGATTTGCAGCCTGGCATTTGGCGTGGTTTTGTCCCATGGTTTAAAGGACTGGGTCAGAAGCGCAACCCAAGTCCTTGTATCTAGGTTTCTTCGAGATGTTTAGAACTGGGTAGTCGGAGCTGCATGCGATTTTTAGAACATTACAATAGTAGTACCGGTAGGAGGTCATCAATTTCTGGGGCAGAACAGGATCGCTGCACTCGCCAGGTACTCGGGTTACTTTTGTCCCCTCCTTTTGCACCCCTTCGGCCCCATTCACGGAGATATGCGACATGGACGAGACGATGTGATCTTGGTGTACCTAGGTACCACCATCCACAACAACATCAATTGCAGGGTCTACCCTTCCGCGGAACAATGCACCATTGTGCGAATTTGTTCAGAGGCTGCAAATGTGGAGAAGCGAAAGCCAGCCCGGTCGCGGCCCAAGGGAAGATCGTTGCACTGACTCTACCAAGCAGGGATGGACCGGAGCTGCCCAGCCGGAGATCATCAGTGGATCTTATAAATCGCATACCCACCAGAGTCCAGGCTCCAAACAGCAAAGCCCTACGGAACATGCCATACGCCAGCATGAGTACGAGTGTGGTGGCATGTCATATGACCATGGGTTTAGCGTCGGGCGACTTGGGCTTTACTCCAAGTGGTTAGAATATCCCTGTAGGTTCAAGTCCACGTTATAGTGGCAAATTTTTATAGTTATATAAACTAGCCTATAGTTAAGTATAAATTAGGGTAATTTAAGTAAGTAAACGTAGTTTTTATTACTATCTTTTTTAAATATATTCTAAACCTGTTCTTAATAATATATAGGTGTTCCTAAATACTATACTAGAGTTTAGTATAGTAGTACTAGATAATATATCTAAACTAGATAGTAATATTAGAGATAAATTTAGGCAACTATATAAAGTGCTAGAGGAGGATAGTAGTAGTAGTGTTAAGGAAGTAAGTAAAAGTAAATAGAATAAGTTTAGAATAGGTTAGTAATATATTATAGGGGTATAATATATACCTTACTTATAGTAATAGTTAAGGACTACTACTTACACTAGTAATTATTAAGTATATAGCTATTCTCCTAGCATACCCTTAATTATATAGCTAAGGGTATAGGTATATAATACTAGTTTAGTAATATAAAGATAGCTCTTACCTAATAAGAGAAGAGGTGCTTATGCAGGCTACACAGGTAACACGTTAAGAACACGTTCTTAAATTGTTCTAATTCTAGCAGGTATAATACTCCTGCTAGTCTATCTATCTTAACAGGCCTATAACTTTACTATTCTTTAATAGCTAGCTAGCAAGCTAGTATAAATACTAATACTCTAGGGTAAAAGCGTGTAAGTATCTTAAGAACACGTTATAAACGTGTTCTTATTATATTATTAATAATATATTATATAATTAGATCTAAACCTTAAAAAGTGTAGTACCTAAGAAAATTCTATAAAGAGAACTATAAATAAGAAGCTATTATTATAGCCTTATTAAGCGCTTCTCTTTAAGGATTTATAAGGACTACTAGGTGTCTTATTGTCCTATAATAAGGATTATAGTAAATTAGGTAGGGAGCAAAACTTAAACATATTTAAAATATATTAATAATAAGTTAGTAAATTATAGAACAGGCTTAACTATATATTAGCTATTAGAACTATAGCCTAATATCTACTACTAGGAAAAAATATTATTTTAGTTAGGTACTACTAGAGGTAGACTCTATATATCTATAAGGTCTTCTAACTAGGGAGATATTAAATCTTTCTAGTAGTCCTGCTTTATATTCTATAGTTAAGCTATAGTTAAGCTAGATAAAGAAGTATAGTAGGTATATTGTAACCTATTCCTAATATATTCCTAATATATTCTAGGCGTTAATTATCTATAAGGGTAAGGATCTCTATTTAAAATCCTATATAAAGTTACCTTCTAAGTAATTATACTAATAGATATAGTAGTAATACCTTTTTTTACTATTATTTCTTTTAGTATACATATATATATACCTCCTCCTCCCTTAATACTATCTAATAGTAATATTAAGGAAGTAGTAAAGGTGTTGTAGCCTATACTTACTCTATAGCTTATATAATATAAGTTATTTATAACCTATTATAAATGTGTTCCTAACTTATTATAGCCTAGTTCCTAAACTTAACCTAGCTCTAAACCTATCTCTAACTTAAAGGTTTCTATTCTATTAAAGAAATACATATTAGCTTTGTAAATAAAGATAAAATCTCGCGTATTATAAAGCGTGAAAAGCTTCTATAGTTCCTATTTAAGAGTAGCCTTAGAGGAGTACACTATAAGTAGAGGATAAAGCATTAGGATCCTAAAACTATACGTAGTGTAAGAGAATAGGTTTAGAACACGTTGCTAACACGTTACTATAGGCGTACATATAGCAAATCTTTATATTAAGCTTAGGTAACTTAATTATTTGCCTTTTTAAAGAGTAGGCATTAATTCTATTAGATTAAGACACGTTCTAGATAGATATATTATATAAGAGGTTATATAGGGTATAGGTAGAGATTCTAATAGTAATCTTCTACCTATAGGAAAAGAAGCGTACGCATTAAGAATAGGTTTATAATACGTTTCTAACACATTATAGTTATTATACTTAGCTAAATTATTATAGATAAGGATATAACTAAGATATATTAAGTTACTATTACTAACTTCTTTTAGAAGTGTAAAGCACTTATAAAAAGACAAGTGTTATAGAGGCATATTTACTTATAGGGATTCTATAGGACTACTATTAATATATATAATAAGTAAATAATAGGCAAGTTTTATAGCGCACTATAACCTATTTGTAACATATTTCTAACTTATTTCTAGGACTTAGGCGCTATCTCTAGTTAATTAATCCCTATAAGCGTAACTAGCGCTAGTAACTTTAATCTTGTATAAGATTTTATTAAGTATATCTATAAAGAAGTATTTATAAAGTATATAAAAGAGAGCTAGATAATACTACCTCTTTATGTCTAAGTAAATTACTATAGGTATTAATAGCAGAGGAATACTTTTAGCTTGCTAACCTCCTCTTACGTAAGTAAATATATTCTAAACCTATTCTAAACGTGTTCCTAACTTGTTCTTATATAATTAGAACACAAACCCTCTAAAGATACCTAAAACTAGGTAATCTATAAGAAAAACCTAGTAATTACTACTAGGATTATACAATGCTATAGTAAAATATTAAAAGAGGTATAGGAAAAACTAGAATCTTATTTAAATATAGCTAAGCAAGCAGGCTAGAAAGGATATAAAACTAGTAAGTATATAAGTATTCTTAAGGCTACTTAGAAGTAAGTTTATAACCTATTCTTAACCTGTTAGAATTATATAAGTAATATTATATAGTGTACACTAGATAGATCTATAGGATATAAAAGAGTTTAAAGCCTAGAGCAAGTTTAGAATACGCTATAACTATAGAACTCCTAATAGGCTTAAGCAAAGGTACCTTAAAAAGCTTTAGAGGGGAGAAAGTAAGTCTTATACTAGCGTTATATATATTTACTAATTAAAATATATTTAGAATATATTTAGAACGTGTCCTATAATAATAATAACACTCTAGATAATAATAAAGCAAGTCTTGCTATATCTAACTTAACTAGATATATCTTAGTCCTAATAAGAAATAAAAGAGCACGCTTAAAAGCCTAAAGCTAGAGGGCAAGTAGTAGAGTAGTATTAGAAAGAAGTTTACTAGCCCCTTTTCTATCTTCTCTACTACTAGGCTCTTCTCCTCTACTAATAGTAACCTAAAGGTATACTTTGCAAAACATGTTTATAACACGTTCCTAACTTATTATTAGTCTATAACTATAAACTTTATAATAAAAGGCTCTTCTTAGTAATTAGGCTCTAAAGGAGAGAAAAGAAAAGCTAGAGGTAGATAAGGAAGAACTTATATAGAAAAAGGCACTATTTAAATTATAAAAGGTATAGTTTAAACTTAAGAAAGAGATAGCTACTTTTTATATAAGGTAGGGTTAGTCTATAAATATAGTAACTAGTTCCTAACTAGTTCTTAATATATTCTAGTCTATTATATAAGTATATATAAGTAGATAAATATATATTCTTTCTTCTTCTCTTTCTTCTTCTTTCTTCTTATACTCTATAAGAACTTTTTATATTTAAGAGTTTAATACTATTTTACTATTTATCTTTCCTAATATTATTAGATATAACTAGTTAATATAGTCTATAAAGATCTTTTAAAGTTAGTATATAATAGAACACGTTAGGAATACGTTATAAACTTGTTCTAATACTAAGTAGGATTTATACTAGCAATATATTAAGCTTAAGTTACTTCTATCTAATACTAGGGCATTCTCTCCTATAATATCCTACCTAAATAATAGGTGTATAGTATTTCCTAGCAAGCTTTTCTACTAGGCTATTTAGGCTAGATTAGGGGTATAGGAACTTTGTAGAGTATATATATATATAAGTTAGAACACGTTTATAATATATTAATAACTATTTTAGCGTTGCTTCTCTAATAGAGGTAATCTTATCTACTACCTTAAGAGGTATTATCCTAAGGTTTAAATAGCCCTAGTAAACTATAGTAGAACTATAATACAAGGTATTATAGAAGCAAGGATCTTTTATAGGAGCTTAATAGTAAATACTTAAGAATATATTCTAAATACGTTAATAATACGTTCTCTGCTAGTAAAGTAGACTACACTAAGTGCCTCCTTTAAGGTTTAAGAACCCTCTAAGATAGCTAGTCTATAATAAGAAGTAGTAGCTAGAGTAGAGGCTAAAGAGGAAGTAGAGAGTAAAGAAGAGGAGTAAATAGTTACTCCCCTTTACACTATAAATAATATTTAGCAAAAGTAGTAAAAAGGAGATATAAGTCTAGTCTCTTAAAATATATTTAGAATATATTAATAATATATTATAGCTAGACACTTATAAATACTAGATTCTTCTTTAATCTAAGAGACTACTAGAGCTTTATAATACCTATAAAAGTTAAAAAAAAAAGTTATATACTATTAAAGGACCCTATAAAAGTAAATAGTACTTTACTTTTAGTAGATAGAAAAAAAAAAGAAGAGTAGAGAGTTTATTTTAGTAATTACTACTACCCCTTTAGGTTATATACTATTATATATTATTTATTAGAACTTATTCTTAATACGTTCTTAACGTGTTCCTACTTATTACTATTATTATCTCCCTCCCCCTCTCTAGTATCTTCTTTATCCTCCTTATCCTCCCTAGGCTCTATAAAAGTATACCGCAAGTAGAACTAGGTAGTATTCTAGCAGGAATTAGTAAGGTCTACACTAGTATTAAAGTAATAGTCTTAAAATATATTAGGAATAGGTTAATAATATATTATAAATAACTTACTATAGCTAGGATAATTATAAGTATAGATAGTATAAGGAACCTAATAACCTTAAATCCTTAGTAGGGTAGATATAGTAATAAAGTTAAGCTATAATAAGTTAGTAACGTATTTTTAATAGGTTCTTATAGGCTATACCTTATTATTATTATAGCTACTATAAGTCTTCTTCTAAATTATATTTAGGAGGGTATTAGTATTTATAGGGGGGCCTATAGTAGCTGCTAGCTAGGCTTAGAGAACTTCTATAAAATAAGTTAGTAATAAGTTTTAAATATATTCTAAATAACTTATAGTAAGGAGTATTCTAGTAATTATATATAACCTTTATATAGAAGTCTATATATATTAGTATAACAAGTTAAGAATAGGTTAATAATATATTTACTCTTTGCCTTATAGACCTCCCTTATAGAGGGCTAGCTAGTCTTCTTAACCCTACTAACCTTATAGTAGGCTATATTAAGCCTATAATCTTTTTTAGTATAGGTATATAGAGTGCCCCTAGTACCTAGAATAGCCTAAGAATATTAGAACCTATTTAGAATATATTTAGAACCTATTCTTACTTTATATAAGGTGCCCTTATTATTAATCTTAGTATAGTAGTAGCGCTCTCTACTCTCTATCTTAACTACCTTATTAGGGCTAACCACAGGCTATACCCTAATATTATCTAGGATATAGCTAAGGGTAAGGTACTATTAATAGTGCTTTTATAACCTATTAAGAACATATTCTAAACATGTTTTAATCTACTTATATAGAATATAAGGGATATATTAGTAATAGGTATAGTAGTAGTAGCTTATAGTATTACTAGTATAGAATATATTTAGAATAGGTTTAGAACGTGTTATAAAATCTTATAGCATAATATTTAGTTAACCTTGCTTAGCTAGCTAGTAGAGCTTAGCACGGCCTAACCCTATGCTAAATATGAGTTCACGCAGCGCTAATTCCATGGTTATATGAACTGCGCCCTCAGTACGAGTTTCTTTAGCCGCACGACAATTTGGCGGCCCTGTGCTGATCACTGGGTTCCGTGGGGCTGGAGGGATCCCCTGCCTATGTACACGGTAAATACACTGCGATCTGAGAGAAGATCATCAGCGACTGTGGCTCTGAGGAACTAGTAGGGAAGATGTCAGAAGTTGGACAGATGGAATGTGATGTTTTTTTTGTACAAATGCCTCGATGATGCGTAGACAGAGTGGGCGAGGAAGTTGGAGTTTCTCGCTCCGTGCTAGAGTTGGCTTGGCAGGCAACAGGACTGCACGCACGTGCTCACGTGCTTGGAACGGGAGTTTGACCAAGTTTCTCAGTCTCTCCTAACTACACAAACCCTACACCGTGCAGGCTACAAATGTTGGAGGTTAGTCGTAGAGAAATTCCGGGGTTGTTACAGTCCATGCAAGGCCCCTTGAACTCATGAGGAAGAGATGCGGCATCAGAACCGTACCGCTGGTAATGAACCCAAAGTCTAGATGTTTTCCTGTACCTATCTGGAAGATTCTGGGTGACATTTGGCCCAACATGATTAGGAGTGTGTGATGCTCGAATCCCCAGACGCAGCAGCAGTTTTGATTTGTTTCTCCGCCCGCTAGGTTTGCACGACTGCCTTTGTGTATCGGGCGCACGGGAAGTGTAGACGCTCTGAGCATCGATGGAATCGAGGAACGGAGATGCAGTTTCTCTGGATTTCACGAGCGGTGTGGAGGATGGCGCCACATGCGAACGTGTGGCTTCAGCATCCACTATTAGGGCTCTGCAGCCCTAACACATTGACGCCATTACGCACGTAGAGCATGATACTACACTAATACTCTTTTAAGGTTTCGTCGAGATGGGGAGTGAGCGTTGGAGGCGTCGAACCTGAGCTGTCCTTGCTCGGACCCTGACAGCCAGTCCCATGGAACGGAATCGTCAAACCATGGATGAATAGACTTTCAACTGTGCGGAGGGTGCTTCCGAATGGACATGGCAACACTTCGACATTTGGCGAGCGCACAAAGTCTCAAGGCCATGAGACTTATTGTATCACAGTGAGGAGTTTCTCACAGGGCTAGACGTAACAAGTTCCATCCCCGGCAGGAGGATAGATGGCGCCGCTGAACCCCAGTCCATGTAACCATGTCCCGCCCCGAACCATTCCAAGTCTAGACTCATAATTCGCCAAGTTTACTGAACGTAGTTCCGACCCGAACTCAAAAACTTGAACTACGGGATCATGATTACAAGCCCACTGGTTCCAGGTGATGCCAATGTAGTGAAACTTGTTCGCTTGGATGGATGCCGTTCCGTCAGCGGGAGTATATCGATAGGGGGCGAGTGTGGAAAGCCCAGGTGGAGATGGATAGAGGATGGAATATATCTACAGTGTAAGTGTGTATTGTTCAACACCTTGTTACCCCGGAGATGCCGCATCCAATGCCTAGGACTGTCCACATCATCACTGAACCACAATTTGCAACTTATCAACATGTGACTTCCACTACTATCTCGTCCTCCATCCCCACCTTCTCCTCTACACCCTGCAAACCCTTTGATCTATCAGCCTGTACCTCCATCATGCAACACCTCGCCAAAGCAGCTCTAGCACATCAGCATACCAGCCCCACACGTATAACACAAATCTCGTATCATACAACGTCACCGGCAAACTCTTTCTCTTCCAGAGATCATTCAAGTAGACGGCAGAAGCAAGCGCAAGGCAGAGAAGCGAACAGAAGTAACCATGTGACCGTAGATCGAGAAACAGAAACAGAAACATGTGACACTAGCACACTGTTTTACCCTCTATTACAACGCTTGCATCTAGCGTACCAAGATGCATCTGAATTTCACGCAGGCAGGCAGGCAGGGTTAGCATGCGAATATCCTATCCCTATAACTAGTACTTTGGTTCAGAGTTCCTGATCCCATCCCTATCCCGCGCCCGCCCCGTACACATCACTCACCAGCTTGAGCCCAGCATTTTCCCGCGTCATCCCCAACCCAACCCAACCCAAACCATTCCATCTCATCCCACCTCTTCTAAAACACAAACACACACACCCGCCCCCGTCCAACCCCTCCCCAAACCTACCTCTGCGCTTATCCCACGCTTATCCCAAGCGTACCAAACTCGCCCCCAGCCTCGTGGAGCACAAAACGATAGACTCAAATTACAGTATACGGATGCCTGTATGGCAGTGTGGTGTGGCAGTGAAGGGGTGGGTTGGGAGTATAGATGGTGGGTCAACTTTGTAGTTGTGGATCTAGTGGCGGTGGTGTGGTGTGGGGGAGGTTGGGCGTGAGTTTTGTAGTGGGTGTTGTGCTGGATTGTTGGCAGTGTGTTATGTATTGTTATGATTTGGGAGTTGGAGTAGGGAGGGAGCAGTGAAGTTGCCCGTGTGAAGTTGGAGGAAATGGGGGTTAAGTTGGACTTGGTGTGTGTTTTGAGGGTTCGCTGGGGAGATGTCTTCTTTATCGACATGGCCGTTCCTTTTTTCATGATGCCTTAGACATGGCTTATGGCCATCATACTTTGTTTCGACCTAGAGCAGGGAGCGTTCTATTGAGAACTCGGTGGAACAGGCCAAGTACCACGGTGACGTATGTTGGCATGTTGGCTGAGATTGTAGTGTGTCATCGCCCCTCACTCACTACCCAGATCATTCTTCACAGGCGGTGGTATATGCTGCTGATATCTGCTGGGTGGGACTGAGGCAGAAGGTCAGAATATCAAAATGTGGCGGTGACGTTGCTTGTTCTTGGCAGGCGTCGTCATAAGCGGCGCGTGAAGCAACCAAGCCACAGATTATGCGCGGCAGAGGCTCGCGAGACCTTTGAGGTTTGGGACAACAACAACATCATCATCAACGACACAACTGCACAAGCTCGACCATAACGATAACAAGTGCTGGCCTACACCGGAGAAAACAGATTTACTGGAACATAACTCGAAATCAGCAGTCATGTCTGAAAAGCCCAGTACGGACAAGGTATGGATAGATGGCCCCCTCCCCGCTTGTTGGCTGCCTGCATGTCGCCGCCCACTGACAGCTGTAGTCGCTGGAGAGTCCAACGACCGCGCGTGAGCTCGACTTTGACGACGACGATGATGCGCCTGCTACTTCGGCCAACGAGCCAGCCGCATCTTCTTCCCCGACCTCCAAGTCGCCCAAGCCAGGCGTGCGCTTCAACGAGGAGGCGACTGAGATCCCCCCACCAAAGCCCCCACGACCCGTAGACGCCCAGGCCCAAGCCCAGAACACGCTGATAGAAGCGTTCCCAGACATCGACAACAATGTCATCAAGGCCGTCTTGGTCGCAAGTGGAGGCCGGGTTGAGCCAGCCTTCAACGCGCTGCTGAGTAGGTCAAATCTGGGTTGGAAGATGAAGGCGCGTTTCCATTAACGACTGTCGCAGGCATGTCCGACCCCAGTTTCCAGGCTGAAGAAGTGCCCCCTCCCCAGCCACCGCGCCCACAACCTCGTAGCCAGCTCGAGCAGGATGAACTGTATGCGCGACAACTGGCCGAGCACTACCAGGCACAGGCTGCGCATGGTGCTCATGGTGGCCAGGGTCCACGTCGACATGGCGATGATCCCAGGCGGCAGCAGAGGCCTGGTGAGCCTGAGAGGGAGCACAGCTTCTTCGACGGTACGTCTGTCCATGCCCATGATACCTGTAATTCGGCGCTGACTTTGCGACAGACGACCTTCCGGAGATTCGCAAGAACATTGAGCAAGGCTTCAAGGAGACGCAAAAGACGGTGACCAACTGGATCACCAACTTCACCAAGAAGCTCGACGGCGAGCCCGACGACTATGACCAATACGGAAATCCAGTACTGCCCGCCCGCCCCAGTGGCCAGCCCTCGCAGCAGCGCCAAAACTTTGGCCCCTCGCAATCCGACCAGCTCCACGGCATCCGCAAGTCGAGCGAAGCCCGTCGCTCCGCAGACCACAACCGCTACGACGCCGACAACCGTGTGCTCGGCGACGACTTTGCCCAACTCGAACTGCGCGACAACGAATCCCACCCGCCACGCCAATCCACCCGTTCGCCCGCAAACCCCAACCTCTTCAAGCCCACGCCCGTCGCGCCGCCTCAAAGCGGGCCCGTTGACGAAGTCGACGCGCTCTACCGGAATCCCTCGCCCAGCAACCAGAACAGCCAGGGCAAGTCGGGCGGCAAGAAGTGGCAGCCGCTGACGTCGGTAGCACCGCACCCTGAGCCTGATGACCATGATCCCTTTAGCCTGGGTGACAGCGACGACGAGGATGCCAAGACCAAGGACGTCAACGCAGAGGCGACGGAGAGGCTGAAGAATGCGGCGCAGAGCAAGGAGGGGACTGCTGCTGCTGCGCCGGAATTAAAGCCTGCAGAGAGGAGTGGGAGCGTGGGCCAAATCGATGCAAAGGCCGAGGCGCTGATCAAGGAGGCCAAGTAGTTTTCTGTATCATGATGGCCATGTATGATGACCAAGACACGATGAATGGTTGGTATATACTCTCAATCACAGCAATTTAGCACATGAAGGCCATTTATTTGATTCGCCATGGCTGTCATATGTGAGACTCGTGTCTTGTGTGCAGTGGATTTGACGACTTGGGTGTCTGGGTATCAGCAGAAAAGAGGAGGACAGTTTCTGTTAATGATGATAACGTGGGCGTTTAGTAGGACACTGAGTTGATAGAGGAGTAGGGAGAGGGACAAATACAGTACGATCACGTCACGTGCCTTGCTCACCTCATCGACCTTGCAGGCCATGCAAGTACGCGGATGACTGTGGCAATGTCAGCGAAACGCGATACTCAATCTGATGCCAGATACCGCAAGTTGATGTATACTATCCATGCAGTATACGGTAACTTATCGGCACAGTCTGGTCTCCCGTGCCTACACAATGCGGGGAGAGTGACGGGTGGCTGCTCCTCCCCCGCACTTGAGTCCGAGGAAGGTATGCCGAGCCATTGCGCGTGGACAAATACGGCATCCCGGATTACGAGAGACGAGATGTCTCAATTCCAAGATTGTGTGTGCGTGTCACCGTGTGTGTGTGTGTGTGTTGGTGGGAGTATAAGAAGAGAGCGTGTCATGGGTAGGTTGGGTTTTGGAACAGGTGATTTGATTTATAGGGTTTGTGGTCTTCATCGCTCGCTCCTGTACGGTACTTGCGTCGTCTGTTATCTTGTTCTTCATCTCCTTCATCTCCAACATGGGCGTGGGCGATGAATCCCTCCCGTCCAGTGAACGTCCCGAGTTTGGCTCTGTCAACATAGCCCTCGGCGAATATCCAGCAACGTCAACAGATAGCAATGTCGACGCCAATCAGGTGGCCGACGACATCATTGCGCAGTTCAACAATGCGCTGTTGAAGAGAGACGATGCAGCCACGGCCGCCCTCTTCCTCGAGGACAAGAGCTATTGGCGCGATCACCTTGCTCTGACTTGGGAGCTGCGAACGATAAAGGGTCGTGGCAAGATTGAGCAGTACCTCGAGTCGGCAAAGGTGTTGTTGACCAAGGTATCGGTTGACAGAAGCTCGCCTGTTCGCGCGCCCAAGTTTGGGCCAATTGATGGCTGGGGCGATGTCAATGGGATTACCTTCTTCATCAACCTTGAGACAGATGTTGGTCGTGGTGATGGTGTGGTTGCCTTGGCTGAAGACCATGGTGTGTGGAGGATTTTTACCATGTATACGTTGTTGAAGGAACTCAAGGGTTACGAGGAGCCTGTGGGTCATCGCAGACCCAGAGGCGTCAAGCATGGTGGTGATCCGAATCGTAAGAACTGGGCTGAGTTGAGGGAAGAGGAGAGGAAGAATATCGAGCCAACTGTACTCGTCGTGGGAGCTGGACAAGGTGGACTCACTGTGGCAGCACGCCTCAAGATGCTAAACGTACCCACGCTCATCATAGATGCCAATGAGCGCGTGGGTGACAACTGGCGCAAGAGATATCGACAGCTCGTTCTCCACGATCCAGTCTGGTACGATCACATGCCTTATGTTCCCTTCCCCCCTAACTGGCCTGTCTTCACCCCCAAAGACAAACTCGCCGAATTCTTCGAAGCCTACGTCAACCTGCTCGAGCTTAACGTCTGGACCTCGACCTCCATTCAATCCACCAATTGGGACCCCACCAAAAACCAATGGACCGTCGAGCTCTCCCGCCGCCTCCCCGATGGTACCACGGAAACCAAAACTCTCCACCCAAACCACATCATCCAAGCCACGGGCCACTCCGGTAAACCCAACATGCCCTCTCTCCCCGGCCTCGACTCCTTTGCCGGCGACCGTCTCTGTCACAGCTCTGCCCATCCAGGGGCCAACCCTGCCTCAGCAGGGGAAAAAGCAATCGTAGTCGGCAGCTGCAATTCAGGCCACGACATCGCCCAAGACTTTTACGAAAAGGGGTACCACACCACCATGATCCAACGCAGCACCACCTGCGTCGTCTCCTCAACCGCCATCACCGACATCGCCCTCCAGGCTCTCTACTCGGAAGACGCGCCCCCAACCGACGACGCCGACCTCCTCGCCTGGAGCACACCCAGCGCCCTCGCAAAAACCACCCAAGTCAAACTAACCGCCAAACAAGCCGAACACGACAAACCGCTACTCGACGGCCTCTCCAAAGCCGGCTTCGCCCTCGACAAAGGTCCCATGAACGCCGGGCTCACGTCGAAATACTTCCAACGCGGCGGCGGTTACTACATCGACGTCGGCTGCTCCCAACTCCTCATCGACGGCAAAATTCACATCAAACAGGGTCACTCCGTCGCCGCCATTCTCCCCCACGGCCTTGAACTCACAGATGGCACGCGCCTCGACGCCGACGAAATCGTCTTTGCCACCGGCTACCAGAATATGCGTACCCAGGCGCGCGAGCTGTTTGGGGATGAGGTGGCGGATCGGGTGGGGGATGTGTGGGGGTTCAATGAGGAGGGCGAGTTTCGGACCATGTGGCAGGCGAGTGGACATCCGGGGCTGTGGTTTATGGGGGGGAATTTGGCGATTTGTCGGTTTTTTAGTCGGGTGTTGGCGTTGAGGGTCAAGGGGGTCGAGGTGGGGTTGGTGGAGAGGGGGTGAGTGGGTTGCTGAAGGGTTAGCAAGTAGGTTGCGCGTGTTTTTACGTTGGTGAAGGTTTGGGCTGGTATTTAGGTTGCTAAGGAGGAGTTTGATGATGATGGGATATATGATTCTTTCTGTGAGGAATACATGAGGAATACATTGTGAGCAATATGCAGAGCCGTACTATAGTTTCTGTTGTGCTAAAGGCTATAAATTGTTGTGCGGTATTGCATTTGATTTCAAAGCACGGCAATCAAACAAGAATGCAAAATGCACTCTAGGAGATAAGAAGATATGGCGAAAATAGTAGTGCAAAGATGAAGCGGTGGTGAAGGGTAGGTATCATGTACAAATCCGGCTTAGCGCCAACACATTCCCCCCCCTCTCTCTCTCGTACCTTGCAGAATCCTGCCAAAACCCATCTCGACCACCCAACCCCCATCATCCATCATCCATCATCCATCATCCATCATCCATCATCCATCATCCATCATCCATCATCCATCATCCATCACATGTACCCATCCCAATCCCAATCCCCACGCCAACACCCCAATTTCCTTTCGCAATTCCTCGCGTCTGCCCTTTTGACCTTCCTCTCTCATAGCATCGCCCCCTCTGCAATCTTTGGGCTGGCCTGCAAAGCGGACCACCAACCAGTTACCAGCCTCGTCTAACCGGGTGGCCGGTTGCTTGGTACCGCTTGGCAACGCCGCTGTGTGCTTATCACCTGCTCGATGAGGCAGCTGCTATGTTTGCAGGTCGTTTAGGTCGACGACACATGCACGACGTCGACCACAGACCATGGCGGCGGCGTATAAGAAGAGGGGGATGGTTTGGTGGATAGCTGGTTTGCGGTCGTGTAGTTGTTGCTTTGGTTTCGTCTCGTCTTTTGTGCGACGCCCCTTCTTGGTGCTTGAACTACCGGTACCCTACCGTCCATAACTAGCTTGCAGCTGGTAAAGCGAGGGCATTGTGGGAGACACCATATCTTGAATCAATACAGCTATCAACTGGGATTCAGTCTATTCCTCGGTAAACCTCTCGCTTCCTCCCGCGACAATGCGTTCATTTGCTGTTCTCGCGGCTGCGCTGCCCTGGATCCACGCCATCGAGCCTCCTCGCATGCCACACCAGCCTCTTGGTAATGGTACCAAACGCCTCACCTACAACATCACCACCGATGCTCCCGGTCAACTCAGTCCCCAGACTAGGTCGTTCAGCTGGGTGGGTACCGGTCAAGATGGCGATTACATCTACACTGGCGCCTCGGGAGACTTTCTCTTTGAAAATGTAGCCACGGGCGAATCGTCGACCTTTATTTCGGCCGACAAGGTGCCTGAAGACTACCACGACTTCTTCATCTCCCCAGACGCCACTCATGTGCTATGGGCTGTCAACTACACCAAGCAGTACCGGCACTCGTACTTTGCCGATTACTTGATCCAGGACGTGACAACTGGCGAGACTACCCCTCTTGACCCAGCGTCTGCTGGCGACATTCAGTATGCGGAATGGAGCCCCGTGTCGTCATCTCAGATTGCTTTTGTCAAGGGCAACAACCTCTACATGTCCACCAATGGCACCATCACTCAAATCACCGACAATGGCGGTCCTGACTATTTCAACGCCATCCCCGATTGGGTGTATGAGGAGGAGATCTTTGGTGACCGGTACACCCTGTGGTTTTCTCCCGATGGGGCCAAGATTGCTTTCTTGAGCTTCAACGAGACTGGTGTGGGTACCTTTAGGATCCCATACTACATTGATGACGGTGCCGAGTACGTTCCTGTCTACCCTCGCGAGCTCGAGTTGCGCTACCCCAAGGTGGGTACCAAGAACCCCACGGTGGTCTTGAACCTTTTGGATGTTGCATCTGGCGACGTCTCTAATGTGCCCATTGATGCATTCGAAGAGGATGATCTCGTTGTCGGCGAAGTTGCCTGGCTCACAGAGGAGCACGGCAAGGTTGCGTACCGTGCCTACAACCGTGTCCAAGACCAGGAAAAGGTTGTTTTGGTCAATGTCGAAAGCGTTTCTTCGTCAGTCATTCGCGAGCGTGATGGCTCGGATGGCTGGCTCGAGAACTTGATGCAGATGCGGTATATTGGTGCAGTGTCTGGCGCCAACGCCACCTACGGCAATGCGAGCACCGAGTACTATCTGGATCTCTCTGATGAGAGCGGCTGGGCGCACATTTACCTGTTTCCTGTTGACGGTGGCGAGAAAATTGCGCTGACCTCGGGGGAGTGGGAGGTCCTCACGATCCCCAAGGTCGACTACAAGCGTGGTCTTGTGTACTACACCTCGACCGAGCATCACAGTGCTGAATCGCATATTTACTCTGTCAGCTTCTCTGGCAACAAGAAGGCGCTTGTAGATGACAGCGTGACTGCTTTCTGGACCGGCTCCTTCTCGTCTGGTGGTTCGTACTATGTTCTTCGCTACGCTGGACCTGATGTCCCTTACCAGGAGCTCTACTCTGTCAACTCCACCGAACCCATCCGTACCATTGTCAACAACACGGCACTCTACAACCGTTTGCAAGAATATGCACTTCCCAACATCACATACCTCGACATGGAACACCCTTCGGGATACACGCTGGACGCCATGCTTCGCCTTCCCCCGAACTTTGACCCTAGCAAGAAGTACCCCCTGCTCCTAATCCCCTACGGTGGTCCCAACGCAAAGGAAGTCCACAAAGACTTCATCCCTCTCAACTGGAAAGCCTACGTCGCCTCCGACCCCGAACTCGAATACATCACCCTGACGGTCGATGGGCGTGGCACGGGTCGCAAAGGCCGCGCCTTCCGCTCCCTCGTCGCCTCCAACCTCGGCCAACTCGAAGCTGAAGATCAGATTTGGGCCGCCAAGGAACTTGCAAAGAACGCCTGGGTCGACAAGGAACACATTGGCATCTGGGGTTGGTCGTATGGCGGCTATCTGTCCTCCAAGGTGGTCGAGGTCGCCGACCCCATCATCAGCTTCGCCTGCATCACCGCCCCTGTCTCGGACTGGCGCTTCTACGACTCCCTCTACACGGAACGCTACATGAAGACGCCCACCCTCAACCCAGACGGCTACAACCGGTCCCGCGTCCACGACGCCACAGGCTTCAAGCAAATCGCCGGCGGCGTCGTCATCCAGCACGGCACCGGCGACGACAATGTGCATTTCCAAAATGCGGCGGCCCTCGTAGATCTCCTGATGCTGAACCGTGTGACCCCTGAGAAGATGCAGAATTCTTGGTTCACGGATAGTGATCATGGCATCAGCTTTCATAATAACGGGAGGTTTTTGTACAGGCAGTTGAGTGGGAAATTGTTTGCGGAGAAGGAGAGGGTGGGGGTGAGTGGGGGCCATCAGTGGAGTAAGAGGGGAGAGGCGGGGAGGCGGTGGGATTGAGGGATGGAGATGAAGTTGTGTTTGGATGTTGTAGATTCCAAGGTGACATGCCTGGTTGGTTGGGAATTCGTCTGGAGAAAGACTTGATTTTATAATCAACTATGATTTTTTCACTCATCGTGTTGGTCTGCTGTGATGGATTTGCGATGGTCGCTTTTGTTTTGGTCACTGCAGTTGTCTGCTCTGGGTAGTTGGTTCTGGACAATCGTGCTAATCGGGTCTCGGTGAGATTACACTGTATTGGTGAGTTGAACATTCTTGTACGAATACTTTGGTCGAGGAATAGTTGCGTAGGTCTTGGGCTTGGGAACACCGCGATTTTTTTCATTCAGGAAGAGTTTTGGTGGATGCGGGATACTTGGATATTTGGAGGTGAGCTGCGGCTATGTTCTCCTATGATATCCACAAGATGAATCCTAGGCTGATTTGCAATCATAGCGGCAAGCAACAAACCAAAGCTGACTAGTCAAATCCCGGTGAGAACCCCTGTCGCATATTTCTCGCAATATGGTCATTTCACAATGACTTGGGCCTTTTATGAGCGGCTTTCACCTTTGCTCAATTGGCGCTTTGTTCATCCACATCGCCTGTCAACCGCTTTGTTGTTTGCTCACCCTACGAACATGGTCCAACTACAAAGACACTCACCCCCCAAACAAAAGATCTCAATCTCCCCTCCCATCAACAAATTCTAATATATCACAATACTCACATTATACCAGCCTAGCTACCACCCCATAACAATGCAATACGCCGACCCCGACACGCCAGAACACTGGCCAACCGTCAAGCCCATCGTCAATGGCGTGATAGGCGCTTATGCCACCAGCTTATTCCTCGATTGGCTGCGATGCGGTAAAGATGGCGAGCGCAGAGATATCCAGCACGCGGAGTTACTGCGTGCGATTACGAAAGCGGGGGCAGCTCGACCTCGACCAGTTCGACTCGCGTTTTCTGCTATTGTTGGTGCGGAAATATCGCCGATCCCGGTGGGATCTGATCGGGAGACTGTTCGGCTTGAGGAGGTGATTAAGGGGTTGCGCTCGCGGTATGAAGGCGATATTGAGCTGCTCAATAAGGAGCGGGTGGAGATTGGGGTGAGGCTTCGGGCGGCGGAAGAGGCTTATAAGATGGAGCGCGAGGAAGAGGAAGTCGCTGCTGCTGATGCATTGGCGCGTCTGAAGACTGCATGTGAGGCGGAACTGAAGCGTCAGAGCGAAAGCGTGGAAGTGAGGCTTGTGGAGGTGGAAGAGTCTTATCAGATGAAGCGTGAGCAAGAAGAAGCTGCTGCCGCAGCTGAACTCGCGCGGTTGAAGACTGCACATGAGGCGGAACTCAAGCATCAAAGCGAAGCCCTCAAGGCACAGGCACACAAAGAATCTGCAACCAGCGTCGCATCCGTCCGCGAGCAAGTGTTGAAAGAATGCGAAGTTCGCTTCAACGCAAAGCTAGCCGCCACAACGAAGGCACTTGAAGAACAACACGAGATTTCCCTCGACAACGCACAGCAAGATGCTGAAAGTGCTCGGGCTGCGAATACCGCCCACCAAGAGACCATCACACAAACGGAAAACGCTTTGAAACGCGCCGAGTCGACATGCCTTTCACTCCAACAACAACTCGCCACCGCAAACACTGAACTCTCATCATCATCCGCAGCACTGAATCTCAAACTCGCCGCCGCAACCGCAGAATCCAAAAAATCCGCCGCAGCGCTGCAGACAGCACAGGTCGCGCTCCAAACCAGTGCCGAGCGCGAGACCCAGCTCACTGCCTGCCTGGACAGCAGCGAAATCCGGACGCAAGATGCAGTGCAGGAGGCGCGCATGGCTAAGGAGTTGATGAACAAGGTGAGCGCTGCTCTGAAGCACAAGGGCGATAAGCTCGATGCAGCCACGAAGATGCAGGCAGCGCAGGAGAAGGAGATTGCAGAGTTGAAAGCACTGCTTCGCGATATAACCATATCGACGCCTGAGGCAGCGATTCCCGCTTCTACACCCTTGACAAATGCCGGCAGTACGGTTGTCCCAGAGAAGCAAAAGGATGCAGAAGATGCGGGTATAGCATCTTCAGTGTCTGTCGGTGTACAAGGAGCGCCGAGTGTCTTGGAGACGACTGCTCCGTTACCCGCGAAGACCGCGGACTCTGCTCCCATCACGACTTCGCCGCTTCCATCCGGAGAGACAGGTGCATTGGATGCGCAGAATACGCCCGTGCAGAAGAAGAAGAAGGTTGATTGGGGGGATAGTGATGATGAGGGTTGGAGTCCTATTGCGGCTTTTGAAGAGTTCAAGGATAGGATTGAAGGTGCCAAGGGTGTTACTACTCCATTTGTACCGCCTCGCGACGTGGAATCAAATGGCCTGTTGGAAGGCGATGGTACGGTGGTTCGAGATACACCGCGTCGACCCTCCGCAGCAGAGAAGAAGAAGTTTGAGTTGCTAATGGGTCCATATCATTTCACTCCTGAGACAGGGTTTGTCAGCCCTGAGACACTGGAGTTTGCGAGGAAGGTTGGGGTGGATGTGGATGGTTTGGGGAGCGGTGGTGTTGCGTCTATGACTGCATTGGTGCCGCGGCGGTCAAAGAAGGCCAAAGAGAAGTATGAGGAGATTATGGCTGGGTTTGGATGGGATGCTGGCGAAGCGTCGTCAAAGACTGAAGATACTCAGCACCCTGAGCTGGAGTCTGCGAATTCACCCCCGAAGACGAAGAAACTTGACGACACTTCAAACGCACCTGCTGTTCTTCCTCTGTCCGAATTTTCCACTAAACCAGCTGCATCAACAGCTGAACCCAAAAGCACTCCAAAAACGGCCGCTCCGAAATCTACTACATCAACACCCGCCCCCAAATCTACTGCATCCTCACCCGCCCCCAAACCAACTCCATCCTCACCCGCCCCCAAACCCACCCAACCACCCTCCAACCCCAACGAATGGAACCCTCCCCCCAAACCCACATCCATACAACACCACAAAATCTGCCACAACTGCAGCACACCCTTCTACCACCCGAGCGCCACCCACGACCCCCAAAACCACCTCCGCCACCGCGGCATCTTCCGCAAACACATTGCCCACTGCAAAAACCAATTCCGGACATGCGAAAACCAAGGCTGCGGCAAAGTCATGTCCAACGATTGGTTCTACGGTACCCACCAGAAGGAATGCCGCAAGGCGACGCTGGCCAAGGGCCTCAAGCTACACGATCCCAAGGCTCTGCGGGAGAAGCAGGCGGCGCGGGAGGCGGAGAATCGGAAACGCGAGGAGGCGAGGCGGGGGGAGAAGCGGGTGGTGGGGGAGTCGGCGGGTGAGGTATTGGGTTTGGCTACGGGTGCGGCGACGGGGCTACCGGGGGGATTTGGGGCGGCGCATCCAGGGGCGCGGGTTTTTGAGTTTACGGGTGTGGGGGAGAAGAATTTGCGGTCTTCAAAGTATGCGGTGGAGTTTGGTAAGGGGTTGACGACTTCGGGTTCGACGACTCCAGCTCCATCAACTCCTGCTCCAACGACTCCTGCTCCATCAACCCCAACACCACCCACGCCAACCCCATCCACCAGCACACCAACCCCATCCACCAGCACACCAACCCCATCCACCAGCACACCAACCCCATCCACCAGCACACCAACCCCATCCACCAGCACACCAACCCCATCCACCAGCACACCAACCCCAACCCCAACCACCCGCCCCAAACCCCGCACCATCTCCCCCTCCTCCTTGCGCCAGGAGCCCGGCATCCACAGCATCGACGCCAATGTCAACCCCGACGCAACAGTGACGTGTATCTGCGAGCACTGTAAACAGACCATTAATCTGCCATTCAGCAAGACGGACCGCGGCTGGTTGGTCTGGGATTGGACTGCGCATAAGAAGGTGTGTGGTGGGGGAGTGCAGAAGACGACGCCGAAGGGCGAGAGACCGACTGGGGTGGATAAGAAGGGTAAGTGGGGTAGGGGTAGGAAGTAGGGGCTTGAGTTGGGAAGTAATGAGTGGGGAGGGGAGATATTTTTGTGTAAGTTATGTATATTGTGGAGATGGATTTGGTTGTTTGTTTTGTTCATATATATATCTCTGTGGGTAATATTGTCATGTCCCTCGTTCTGCCTCATTTAAGCAGTTACTATGTTTACCCTTTGTTTCACAAACCTTGAACAGAGCATATAGCTCGCTTTTCTACACTCTCAACTGAGTTGCTTCTCATCAACCGTCAATCCGTACCCAGATTCACCGCTTACAAATTTGAAATGCACAGGTCACCTCGTACCCCAGCACCATAAACTGTACATATCTCCACTACAATGAGGTTGCTCGAGTATCACGGCAAGAAATCATGACTGTTTGATGGCGCGAGTTTTCCTATTTTCCTCTCAGAGGATGAATCATTTGACTGCTTGGAAGTTTGTCAGTCTGCAGTGGCTTGGCCAAACTGGATAAGGGCAAACATCAAACCACACAAGAAAACTATAGAATAAAGACATTCGATCCCTCCTCCCAAATCCATCCTCATCTAAATCACCCCCCGAATCGTACAACTCCCAATGGACTCCTGGTTCCGCAACCTCGGCTCTGAAATCGCCAATACCGGGAAAACCATACACAACAGCTTAGACGGCTTCGGCCAAAACGCCGGCTCTGCACTGGATTCCTGGGGCCAAGAGATGGGGAAAAACCTAGATCCGAGCCATCCCGCTCACATGGCCATGAGAAAGGCGGGAGAAATATCGTTTGGTGCGGCTGGGGAGACAATGCGGTGTTTAGATGGGTTGGGACAGCAGACGGAGAGGTCTGTCAGTGGAGCGTATAATCACGCACATGAACATGTTTCACGAGTGGATTGGGATATGCTGGCGCAGGAAGTCAGGGTGTGGATTGAGTGCACTGCGAATGGGATTGGAGTGGCGGTTCACGATGCGGTCAGGGATGTCTTTTGTGTTGCAGAGTCCCATCTACCAGGGGAGGTTGGGCGGTGGATTGCTGAACACCCTGGACAGACTGTGTTTATCATCTGTGCGGGAACTGTCTTCTTTGCGCCTTTTTTGATTAGAGTTCCCGTGTTGTATAGTCTTGGATTTACGGCTGATGGTGTCGCTGCAGGTAGGTACCTACCTACCCCCATGAGTGAAAGTTGAATAAGCAAAGCTGATTAGACCACAGGATCTGCTGCTGCGGCTGTTCAGTCCATGATCGGTCCTGTAAACACAGGAAGCATCTTCTCGCTCTTGCAGAGTGCTGCTGCTGGCGGGTCTGGCATCGCTGTTGTTGATGCAATGGTATCCACAGGTGCTTGCGTCGGGGTAGGTGTAGTCGCAGGAAGTTGCGCTGAGAGGGAAGTTCGCATGTAATCTTTCGATGGACTGAATATTTATGAAATACTTCAGTATTTGTCGTGGCATGCCTGGTACTTTGGACGGGAGTGATCGGGAGCTTAGAAGGTGCTCAGGAAATCATAGAGAGACCTACCTAGACTGAGTTTCATGTTTGTTTCAACCCTATTTCTCCGTCACTTTTTACAAGCTGTCAAGTTAGCTCTGCATGGGTCAAATACGCTTTCCTGACTATATATATACAGGAGATCTTATGCTAGCACGTGCTTAGTTGTGTCACAGGAATAAGTATAGTATATAATATGCGAACTCCTGTGTGAGTAGAGTAGTCAACAACATGTGCAAATTCCAGTTGATTTTCTGGTTACAATAATAATATTCCCCACTAAGTAGCAAGAAGCACTCCGTAACGAGATGTCTGCACGACTAAATCGTCCCAAGTCTCTCCTACGCAAGTACATGAAGTTGTAGCTAAAGTGGAAGGCGGCCAATCACAAATCTACTGCCTTAGCCACAGTCATGTTAGTTATTGGCTCTGTGAGTTTGTGGCGCTGTTGCTGAGTCAACCACACGCCCCAGCTTTCCCACCGTCAGTTGGTACGCGCGATCGCGACGGCAACTTCTTGATGCAGCACAGCATACGGCTATGTTCATATCGCAAGCAGATGTGATGCATCGTCAACATGTTACGCCACCCTCAAGTTTCATATTGCAGTCTTTGACGCCTCCACCAACTAACAGGAAGTTCTCTGCTCAAACCCGCCAAGTTTTCCACGAAAGTGTGTCAGCGGCCTCCAACAATGCATCAAAAATGATGCTATGATGACAGTGGCAGAGAAATCTGCGTGGAATGCGGCTAAAGAAGGGGGAATGAAGTTATTTTTACCTGAAAAAGGTGGAAGCTATGAGGTCTTCAATGATCGGCCTTTAGCAAAGAAGATCATCCAATACTGCGTTCAGGATGTACAATTCTTGCCACGGCTCTGGTCTCATTACCAAAGAAGGCTTTCTGCATCCTGGGCAATAAAAGTACAGGTGGCGACGGATGAAAGGGTCTTGATGTCGCAAAGTGAGCATTACAAAGGCCACGGCAAGCACAAGGCTCTGGCCCCGGCAGGATGGTATAGCCCCCCAGCTCGAAATATCATGTGGGACGACTATTGAATATATGACTTTGTTTTATCAAGCAATACATTTGCGATTCTTGTGTTCATTATAACCTATTAATTTCCTGCATGATCTAAGGCTTATCCCCCACATGAGTATAATAATGGCTACACTACCCTTCCCATAATTCTCCTTGTTGCAAGGCTACATTTAATTTCATCAAGTCTAGTAATCCTAGCCCCTTGGCAACTTCCTAGTATATCTTTAAAATCCTATCCTACACGTGCGTATCTAGATCCTTGTAGGAATAGAAATATAGGGACGCCTACAGTAGTACATAGGGATTGTTTATACATGGGGTTGAATTTAGCCTTCGAGAATAACAGCAAGGCTAAAGGGGCTAATCTTACAACATTATAACTACTAGAAGTAATGCAAGGTGAGTAGTAGGGCTAGAAGATTTATTAATTATAACTCTAATTTTTGTTTATAATAATAGCTAGTATAGGGGCTTAATATCCTTATTTAGTAGGTTTTGGATTTTAGTGTTCGCGGGCGTTCGGTGGGGGCGGGCGCTCGGTGGTGGAACACGTCCATGCCAAACCTTTCCCGCCACCATCCCTTTGTCAAGATAACATCTTGCGACTCCTGCCTGAAAGCAGCTCGCTATTGCCTCACACAGTCGTCAAGCTGCCTGTGGCAAGCTACAGGCCGTCTCATTAACCCCTCGCACTTTGCTCTGCGCCCTCCCCAAACCGCCTAAAGTTCTCACGTCGTCTCTCTGCATCAACGTGTGGTGTGTCCACATCGCAAAAGTGCCAGGTGCCTTTGCTGTGCCGTGTCCTGTAAGTTCTGGGCATGCATGCTGTAGCTTCAACTCACCTTGATTGCACATGTCTTAACCAACGTCGCAGATCGTCTAGCCCAGCGCGTTGCGCTGTCTTCCCCGTCTCCCGTGCCTCCTCCACTTCGTCCACGCCCCTCCTATCGCGTTTATCTCCAGTGTCCACTCTATAACCAAGCAACTTATCCACTGCCCACCGTTCCTCTTTCTAGGCTGTCATACCATCGCAGCTAGCCACGATGAGTGATATTACTCCCAGGCGGGTTGTCCTCCAATGCCGTGAACAATACTTTAGAGAACAGCGTACAATGGTTGAAGCTTTCTTCCAATCGCAAGATCTTTTAAATTTGCAGGACTATGGCATACACATATGTGGAGAACCCTCCTCTCGTGCTCTATATCTCGTCCTCAATCTCTATTGCAAGGAGGTTCCTAGTGTTAACCTTGATTGTTTGAACCTTTAAGTATTTAAAGTATCCAAAAACAAGACATTGTGCGTTGTCTTCCCTAGTAGTAAGGCCTCACTAAGTCAGATCTATCTAGTACGTTTAAAGATCTTGGAGAGAATGCAAGCAAGGAAGCTCTTAAACGATCTCTTACACTAAATTAGGGGGCTAACTAATCTAATCAGACGAGTTAGACGGTGTCACTCCCTTGCAAATAGGTTAGTCTCTAGCTATATTTGTGTCCTAGATGTCACGTTCCAATAGAAGATCCCTTAGATGCCCAGATGGTGGCATGCATGGGTCTCTGCTTGGACAATTAAGTGCTGTTCCACAATAGATAATTTGGTCTCGATATTCGTGGGCAGGGTTGCGCAAACAGGATTGGAAAGTTTTACAAGCCCAATAGCACATGGTTGCAAGCAGGAAAATGAAGTCATGTTGTAATTCATCGAAGAACGCAAGACCCTTTCGCTTTCTTGGATCGATAGCTCTCGACCGGCTCGCGCGGCCGTGAGCGCGCACGACATGGATCCCAAACTATTCCGCGCCGCCCAAGCTATGCAAGCAACAAATGCTCAGCCACGAATTCGCTGCGGGATGCAAAGTCTTAACGATATTGTAACGACGCAGGTAAGTAGGGCATCCGAAAGGTATCCAATACGACTCAAAGGCATATAGGAGTGCGCGTGTGTATAGAAAAGGATAAGATTCCTACACCTATAGGTCTGGTACAAAAGGACAAGAAGAACTTGTCTATCTATCTATAAGTATAAGGCTCCTTTTATATATAAAGGTAGAGGGGCCTTGGGCTAAAATTTAGAGAACGGCTCTCGTCGTAGGGTGGCTCGCGATATAGGGATAGACGTTAGCAGCTATTAAAAGGTAAAGGAAGACCCGCCTTATTCCACCCACGTAATGATATACAGGTAGAGAGACAGAGACGTAGAAAGGGCATTTCCAGCTTACTAGTCCAAGTACCTGTGATTTTTCTTGCTAGAGTGGTGCTCGCTATGTAGTGGGGGATGTTAGTACGTGTACGGTATACGTAAAGAAGACAGGTGGATCAAGTGCAAAGAACAAGAATTCATGAATGGCAGCAGCACCGCCAGGTAAATCATTAATTTACTCTAAACGCTAAAATCGTGTCTGTAAAGAACAAAGGCACATGTCCAGCACAAGACTACCCTCCAGTCCAACGACTTCAGATGCCCAGTTTCTCAAAAGCACAAAGCACAACCAACCATCCACAAACCAAACACCTCAAACCTACTCCCCCTTGCCCCTCCACTCCTCCAATAACCCCTCCAACATCCTAACCTGCGCCCCCTTCGCCGCCAACTCATCCCTCAACCCACGATGCCCCTTATCCCCACACCCCCCACGATCCCGCACACCTGCATCGCGCGCAACCTTCTCCCAATGCCTAGCCGACACCGCGAGCTGTTGCATCTCCGCCTCTGCACTCTGCAACGCCTTGACAAAGGCGTCGACGTGTGCGGTGGGTCCTTGGACCTCGAGGCGCGAGGTCTTGGAGATGACGGAGTGGACGCGGGAGAGGAGGGAGAGGGCTTTGTGGTCACTTGGTTTGATGTGGATTGTGAGTGCGATGTTGGGTTTAGTGGTGGGGGGATGGCGGGGGGTGGTGGATAGGGAATGGGGTTTTGAGAGGGTTAGGTGAATGGTGGGGGGTTTGCGGGCTGGTGCGTGGTGGAGCATGTGTTTGATGGGGGACAAGGCTAGGGAGAGACGTGATGCGGCGGTGGGAAAGACGGGGGGTAGTGAGACTACGGGCTTCACGCTTGAGAGAGACAGAATGACTCGCGTTTTTTCAACGGGAGTGGCCAAGTTTGCTGGGCTTGCTGCCATGCCGCGAGCAGTCTGTGCCACCAAGGCTGAGCTAGCACGGCCATAAAATGCTGGCGGTGTGGGCTCTGACGACAACGGAGCAAACTTGGGGCTGTGAATCGTCGACGGAGAATCGCCTTGGCCTCCAAGCTCAGCCTCTAGAGACTGGCCAGCGTCGTGAACAGCGTCCTCGAAAGCAACGCGAGATGGGTCAGCGGATCTAGCCATGTCAGACAGCAGCTGCACATTCTCTAGCACCAGGTCTTCGATACGCTGAGAGTCCTCATTGTGCTGCTGTTGGAGCAAGTCATTCTGGGTCTGCAGGTATCGAAGGGCTTCTGCTTCTGCCTCTGCCGCGGCCTGGAGCTGCTTCGCATCTTCTACTTGATGCATTGCTCGGGTGCCGAACTCTTGGCAAGATTCCTTGGGATGCGAGATGGCCATCAAGGTCGCATTCTCTGCCCGTAGGCAGTCGAGTTGTGTCTGCATCTCCTCGAAGTCGTCGTGGGTTGGGCCTGCAGCCTGGGTCGTCTTGAGAAGCGTTTCATGGTAGTTGAAGTACAAAGCATTGAACTGGCTTTGCTCCGATTTCACTTGCTCTTCAAGACGGGTGATGATCTTGGTCACATTTTGGATTTTCCCATCCTTGATTGCGAGTTGCTGTTTCATCTCGTCATTTTCCTCCTGCAGTAACTTCATCTCGCGGTTGTTTCGCGCGCAGGATCCGTTCATTTGGAAAAGTTCCTGCTGTGAATGCTGGAACTTGTGCTTCCATTGGTTTCGCTCTTGCAGCAGAGAATCCACCTCCCACTTGGTGTGTTCGAGCTCTGTCTGCAGACGGTGATTTTCGGCGTCCATGTTGGCAATTGGATGTGATAGCTTTTGCTGTGATCAATAATATGAATCGTTGATACAGAGCGGTGATGGCTATGTTAATGGATCTTTTCTCCGATAGACTGAGGTCTGGGGAGTATCCCTCTCCATGGGGAAGTTGGCAAATATACAAGTTGAAAAAGACATTGTGATGGTGCGAGACATTGTCGCTAGGTGCTTTTGAAGCCAATAAGCACACTGCGATGCAATGATGGACAAAGGGGAATGCCAGAACAATGAGTGATATACGTGTACAGTGAAATTGCAAATGTGAAAGGAGTGATTTTGGCTTTGAGGTAAGAACTAGAGCAAATGTAAGTTTTCAGGCGCTAGCTCATCTTGGAGCTGTGGTACGGTATGGTCCTCGGCCGCGAAAATGGTCCTTTTGGCGATCTACAGATTTTAGTATAACTTTTGAGCGCCATGAGCTGTCGATTTCGACAACGTATGTATTCTCACTCGAACGCGTGTTTCAGTTGGGAAAGAGGAAAAGAGAGATGCTGACGACGATGGCTGACGACTCGGAGTAAGCAGGCTATATGTAGACCCCCAACCGTGCACCATGGCGGCGAAGTGAGTCATTGAACCATTGTAAAGAATGGGAGTTTGAAACTTCAGGCGCCTTGTCGCAATGGTACGCAAGACATGGATGAGATCAGATATGGTAGGTAGTAGGTCCTGATGGTCTTGTGATCATGACGCTCTCTCTGTAAAACTTTTAACTTTACATCTCTCGTTGTCTAGTCCAGCGATGGGGCTCGCTAATCGTCACCTAACATAGAGTTTCGAATGTGCCGTCCGTGCCGACATTCCTGGACGCCGCGTCAGAGATGAGGCGGTCGAGGTACACCGCCACCATCACAGAGAGATGTCGCAGAAGACTGTGTAGAAGAGCTGTTGACCTCCAAGAGCAACACGGGTACTTGAGTGAAGAAGGCGGTTGTGAACAGCAAGATGTGCGAGCAGCGGCCAGAATCCAGTAGAAATCCATCCAAGACGAGCCAGGCAAGGCAGAGCAGTGGTTGTGGTTCGTCGTGTAACGCGTCGCATCGTCATTCGTGAGATGGTTCTGGCTAGGAGTAAGGCGCAGTCCTTCACCGCCAACAAATCAAAGCATGGGAAGTGGATCACGCGCCGCCACACCTCCTACGTCACTCTTCAGAATCAAGACCTCCCTGTCGTGGCAGCATCATCGGTCCTCCGGCTTGCGTATATAACTAATACAAAGGCCGGGGAGGGGCTTCGTCCTCTGCACCACCTGGAATCCAAGTTGCACACCCACACCAACACCAACAATCACTTCTCCGTAAACGACCACTGTTCTCGCCAAGACAACAGATTGGACCTCCATCCCTCTATCCCTCCATACCTACCGGTACCGGTACATCCTGCAGCCACAAGCTCGCATCCTCCCGTAGTCCCTGCGTCCACTAACTATACACCAACACTCAACGCTACCCTACGCTACCCGCAGACCTACTACTTCGCGTCTAGCCTCACATTTGCAATATGGTTGCTCCCGCCATCGTCCTCGGCCTTCGTGGCGTGCAGCTGTTGTTCTCAGTCATTGTGTTGGGCTTGTCTGCGTACCGTATGCTACCCCTGTCGAGATGAACCCATGTCCATCGGATGCTGACGCCATGCTCCAAGTTGTCGATGAATACTGGTGGTCTCCTCACAGCGTGAATTTCATGCTGTTTACCTCGCTATGGACTCTTCTTGCCGTAGCCTATCTCGCGCTCGCACCCACACGCTTCCCACGCGCGGCGCACAAGTTTGCCATCTTGGGTGTCGAGTTCCTCACAATGTTATTCTGGTTTGCCGCTTTCATCGCTGTTGCCGTCCGGTGGGGCAACACGGCGTGGTGGAGCGGAAACCGTGGTACTTTCTACGGATGTGGTGTCGCTGCCATTGTCTTCTCGGCCTTTCTTTGGTGAGTCTTGTATATCCTCTGGTCTGGTAATCAGAAAACACACTCACATTGCATAGGTTGACCTTTGCGGTTACTTCTGTTCTCGCGGCCCTGCATGTCCGCAGCAGCTCTCGAAATGACACTGCTCCAGCTCCAGCCATGGCCGCTGTATAAAATATTTGATGGTCGACGAGAATAGAGTTGAGACGACCTGAACGCTGTATCTTCCAAAGTTTTTTGATACCCTCAGTTCTTTCTGGTTTTCATGATGTAATGGCGAGGTACTTTCATGACCGCGGCGCTTTTCTTGCCGTCCAGCCGCCTGGATTTGCAAAGCATGAATTTTTCCAATAGGCGAATACATTGTTATCCTCTATCATACGATCTCGGATTTGAAGCCTATTTGGATGGTGCGCTCGCTATTTTATTTTTGTAGATTTTGCGACCGTCGCCAATGCTTAGCCTGAACCTCTCACACGGTCATGCCATTCCACCGCACATTGCACCATCACGCCCATGCCTCTCCACATTTGATAGGCTTCACGCCGAATTGAACCCTTGACCTTGAAAGAAGTGCTGCAGTGGGAGATGCGCACTACTACAGGCTCCAAGTAGTCAAGAAAGGAACACAACTGCAATGCAACTTCTTAGCCAAGGCAGCCAAATTCTGGCTTGCATACCAAGGGAGGAAATGTCCAAGCATCCCAACATCTAGCGGTTATGTCATCATGGCATGTCTGACAGTTGTTTCATGCCATGTTGGACTTTTCTCGAGCTAATGCGTTGATGACATGCTTACTGTACCCAATCTCGAGTGTGTCCGCCTCATTTCGTCTCACAAAATTGGGTTTGACCTGCAGAAACTCCGTTCGCACGGCCTTTGCCTAGAACCTCGGAGAATTCAGTCTACCTATTCCTCGAATAGCTCAGAGAAGCTAGAGTATCGCCATCGACTCGATCAAAGAGGAAAAGAAGGACAAGCGGGCTGAAGGAATCTTGTGCGGTACGGTGCTCACCGGTAGGCAGCGTACCGGTACCCACCGTACGGTACCTGATTTGCTTCGAGACCGCCCAAGGCACAACATGACATCTTCTCCATGCCTGATTCGAGAACTCTTGTTGGACTTTGATGAATTCACCTGTTTGCAACCAATATTCCCCATGTCCCTATGCAAAAGCCCTCATCTGCAGTCTGCATGTCCCGTAAGCGTACTCCTGGGATCTTTTTTCATCTACGCTGCTCGCTTATGAAAGCCTCAGCCGCGCAACCAACTACGGTTGAGGCAGCCATACATGTACCGGTATGCTATTATGGTCCGCCTTGCCTTGTCCTAACTCACATGAATCGAAAAGCAGGCGCGGCGCACCTTACCGAGTCCCTTTGGCTTCGGTGTTATGTCTGGCTACTCCTCGACATATCCCCATGCAAGCTCGTGGCACGGCCGATGTACGGGGAGACAATACCCCCGCGTTGGCTCATAACTCATGCGGTCGGGTGGTTTGAGTATCATGTGATTTGCCACTGCTACATCCTGGCTAGTTTGATGACACAAGACAAGTAACGTGATCCTCAAACTAGCCGAGATCACTAGTTGCGACCTACCTCTGTCCTCACCATCCTACTCTACTACTTTGACCGCGTTACCTGCACGCCACCCAACTAGAGTACGCCGCAATCTAACAATCGGGGCCGCACCGGGCAGCTTGTGGTACTTCGTCGTGTGCGCAAATTCTTCCAACTCCCAAGCATGATTTCACATCTACCTACGGGGCCCTTGCTACGGCGTCACGTTCACTCCTCTGGGCTGAAAATTCCCCTAGCCGCTCCTTTTGCAGCACGGCATGCAATCCAACAGGATCCACCATCGCACAACAGCGATAGTAACTGTCGAATCAACTCTCGGACGAAACCAGGCTCTCGGGCTCTCGTCTCAGGTTGGTGCTGGCCCAGCCCGGCCTGTAGGGCATCAGCACAATCTCTGCTAGCTCTCCGGCCGTGAAGCCGTGTTGCGATCTGCCGTCGAAGCGGTTCGCAGCAAGGGTGAAAGGATAAAGTGAGGGAGCTGGGGGCTCTTGGAAATGGACCCTTCGGTGGGATGACGCCCCGGCCACGGGAAAGGACGCCGTCTATTTAACCGGGGGCCAAGGGAAACAACCAGGAACGCCCAGACGCGCTTATCCAATATAAGATGTTGATTCGGCAGGACGGTTAGGCTCTCCGCCTCCACCCTGTAGAAAACATCGGAACATCTGGGGGAGAGAAGCCGGGGTTGTGGGACGGATCCACCTCGTACGTTGGGGGCAGTTGGTTATAAGGTCTGGCTTCGGCTGCAATGGCCTTGTCAAAAGCCTATCCCCATTCCCTGAACGTTCTCCATCATGGGTCTCATCAAAGCTCAGGATGGCACTTCGGATCCCATCATCACCCGCATGGTGGCGGATGACAAGGTGCGGTGGTACAAGAAACCAAACCTGCGGGTGATGTACTTTTATCTGTTTTGCTGTTGCATGGGTGTTGAGATCACGTCTGGGTTTGACTCTCAACTCATCGGAACGCTGCAGTTCTCGGCACCATTCAACACATGTAAGAAAGCCTTTGCGTGAAAGCAATCGATGCCCTGGTTGACCAGATTAGTCTTTGGAGATGGATACACAAAGGATGGCAAGCCTGGAATCAAGCCATCCATCATCGGCATCATGTCTTCCTGCTACCAGCTCGGGTCCATTCTGGCCGTGCCAGTCGCCCCATGGTTGAATCAAAAATATGGAAGACGTTTCTCCATCATGCTTGGCTCAGTGATCATGGTCGTCGGAGCTCTTCTACAGGGTTTCTCTCAGCACAGTATGCCCATGTCCATGTTGTCCAACTCGCCTGCTGTGTGCTGATTTTTACGTCCAGTTGGCATGTACATTGTCGCACGTATGCTTCTCGGATATGGAATCCTATTCTGTATCATCTCGGGTTCCGCTCTCATCGGAGAACTCGGTTATCCCAAGGAACGTCCCTTCTTGACCTCGCTCTTTAACGCGTCCTACTTCATCGGATCCATTATTGCAGCAGCCATCTCGATCCGCACTACAAGCATTGTCGGCAACTGGAGTTGGCGCGTTCCATCTCTGCTGCAGATGTGCCCCTCTTTCCTCCAGATCGCTACTGTTTAGTACGACGCCCGATTCTCACTGACGGATCAAAGCTAACATGTTGCAGCTTCCTGCCCGAAAGTCCGCGTTGGCTCGTTTCCAAAGACCGTGACGAGGAAGCCTACGCAGTCTTGGTCAAATACCACGCAGAAGGCGACGCCGACTCGGTCCTCGTGCAAGCAGAGATGGCTCAAATTAGATCCACCATCAGGCTCGAGATGGAGCACTCGAAACAATCATGGCTAGACATGGTTCGCACGCCCGGTATGCGCCGCCGAGTCATCATCTCCAGTTTCCTCGGTCTCTTCACACAAATGAGCGGTAACACCCTGCTCTCCTACTACCAGAGTCTTTTGTTCGGACTCATGGGCTACACTTCCAACTACGCAAAGACACGAATCAACATCGCCAACCAGTGCTGGAGTCTAATCAACGGTGTCATCATCGCCCTGACCGTTACACGCTTCCGCCGCAGATGGATGTTCATGCTCTCCGCCGGATCCATGGTCATGGTCTTCATGGCCATGACAATCTGCTTCCAGAAACTGCAACACGCAAAAGCAAACAACTACACCAGCAACGCCGCGCAAATCGCATCCCTAGTCTTCTACTTCGCCTACTCACCCTGCTACAACATCGGCAACAACTCGCTCACATACACCTACCTCGTCGAACTCTTCCCCTATGCCCAACGCACAATGGGCATCGGCATCGAACAGATTTTCGGCAAGCTTGCCGGCTTCTTCTCCGTCTACGTCAACCCCATCGCGCTCGACGCCATCGAGTGGAAATACCTGGCCGTCTACTGTGGTTGGATCACTTTTGAGTTTCTCTTCATCTACTTCATGTACCCCGAGACCTACAACCGCACGCTCGAAGAACTGGCTTTCTGTAAGTTGCAAATATTACGGGGCTGTTGCGTAAATCACTTGCTAATCGTGCCGCAGTGTTTGAGGACAAGGCGCTTGCCGACGAGGCTGTCAAGGCGGTGGAGAAGACGGTCAATGAGGGCCATATGGATGGACATGAAAAGACGGGCACTACGATTGCGGAGCGCCCGGCGTAGATGCGGATTGCCGATTTCTGCACGCCGGGATGGCGCTGCAAAGAAATGTGTAGATTTGCCAATGGAAATCACGTCATGGCTTTTCATCATGTTCAAGCAACTTTTGATGAAAAATATTATGGCTGTGCTGTGATGTATCATCGCACCCTACCATCGTAGATCTGATGCCGAATCGGAAAGCAATGGAAATCGCCTTCCCCGAGCGATTAAGCTTGAACTTCTACATCGTTCACGCTTGTCTGGACGTGGGATTGTGTTATCGGCTGACAGACTATTCAGTCTCCTAATAATAGCAGCTCCGTCGTAGACAGACGTCTTCCGGAGATTCCAGGGCGAATATTCATCTCACGGAACATACATGAGGTTGACGCGGGGCGACGTGGCCAGCATACTTGACGCCTGTCCTCGCATCCGTGTCTAGTTTTGTCTTGCTCAAACAACCGTTGACTCTAGATCAATCTTCCCTTGTTAAGATGGACTCAGGTAGCAACGGAGTCCGTCATAACGCAATGGAATGTACATTGATCGTTGTCCATGAGAGGAAAAAGATTTCGAATCAAGATATGTTTTACACGATTTGATAGGAAAGTTAAGATGTGACTAGCTTCTACAAGGAAATCTTCCAAGTAAATCAATCAAGGAAAGAAAGACGAAATCCTTTTCACACAGAACACCAGACCCATTCATCAATCACGCATCTCGATATTCCCATCACTCTCCTCGGCGGCTTGCTCAGCGTGCCTGGCCTCCATGTCCGCTGCAAGCTTTCCTACAAAACCATACGCAGGCATGGTACTAAGCTTGGTGAAGCTTGGCTTGGTTTTGTGTATTCTTTGAAAAGGCAATATCTTGTCAGTTATGCTGAGATCGTCTTGGTGGTATTGATAGTACATCCAGATAGGATACGGTTGTGCCAGGTGGGCTGTAGGATGTCGTACATGAAATGGTAGACATTTGCCTCTGAGGGCATGGTGCTATCGTCAAGGGAGGATCGCAGGGAAAGAGACAGGTTATGGGGACTGTACATCAGGATGCACAGTCAGTGACGGAGTAGCCGGACTTGCTTGGACAAATGCGACTGTCCAGCGACGATGCCTGCCACACGGCTAGAACGACGGAGACTGGTTGGTTGCTGTGGGGATTCAAGTCCGGTTGCGGGTTTGAATGTGCCTGAAGGATCAGAATCAACAGCCTTCTGACTTGAGCTTCTAGGTTCCCCAGTCTCAGTCCCAGAAGCCATCGAGCCGTTGTGTTTGCTTGCCGGCGAGTTGATCGTGGTAGACGTGTTCACGGCGCCGTTGGAGACTTTGCGATTGTGACGGCTTAGCGCCATCAAGATGTGCGCTGCGGCGATACTCTCATCCAGACGGTTGTTCGCCGTTCGTGTCGAGGACTCTGTAGCTTGATCGGCAGCGACAGGTAGGACTGTGGGCGAATTGGAGAAGTCAGGTGGCGTCCTCCACGTCTGCAGATGCAACGGCACGTCGCTCGCCAGCACCAACTCGGTGGCAACTGGCAAAGTGAAGGAGAAGCTGGGCGTCCTCAATAGATCTATCCGTGCGTTCGTCAACAGGAGGATTTGGATGGCTATTGGCAAGGCGGAACAGAATCGCGGCACCCTCCAGATCTTGGATGGATAGTTGGTTGTTTGATGAGTTATCCATGGCTAGGGTGTCGTTGGGTGTGAGGAAATGGGGTGTTGGTTCTTGTTGTGTTGTCAAGTTTTGCAGTTGCTTGGGGTGAATGTGAGTTGCTTTGAAGAACACTTCAGGTTTGGAGAAAACTCTTGAGAAGGGTTCATTCTCTCTTTTATGCCCTTAGGTCTCAGCGCTATGACTCTCACTGCAAGTGAACGGCTTCCTTCCATCCTTGGCAAGTCGGTGGTCAGTGTACGCTCGACTGCGCTTCACCTTCACAGTTCAAACGCAAGAAAGGTACTAGAGCAAAAGTAGATATAGCGTGGAGCTCAGAACATAAGAAAGAGAAGTAGGTTGACTCTACAGGGCATGTTCTTTTGTAACATATTAGGATAAGTTGTTGTATATACTCTTGTCGAACGATAAGAGTGCTACGCACAGGTACGTTATATGGATGGCCGTTGACATACACATGACACTTTTGACCACAAGGTCAATGATTATTTTGGATTAAATTCTTGTGACGCATTACTCAAGCAATCTATGCCAAGGACAAACAATATCAGGCCTTCTGTCTCTAATTTATACCCATGAGCTAGACGCCGTTCCTTCCCCCGAACTGCTGCTTTGTTTGCTTCTGTCGCTCAGACTAGTCTGCTTCATCTTAGAATTCCATGTCAGCATCTACTTCCCCACCCCAATCTTCAACGGTCCAGTTATTGGCGCTGTTTCCCGTGTTGTATCTTTCATGACCCGCGGAAGCTCTCCTGTTGTTATTGGATTCAAGCGTGATAGCTGCAACAGGGTACTTGTGCGGCCAGCCTTCTGTACGCCATGCATTGAGTCTCCGTGTTGCATAGTATTGTTTCGAATCATCGTGCATATCAATACGCGGCGTTGCGTACTGTGGCTCCAGCGGATTCAAAAGCAAGCTGTTACTGAAAACACTGTGATCTGGTCCTGCGTCTACTATCCCGAGGATGACCTTTGACTTAGTCTTCACCTCATGTATCAGAGCTCTGTATCTTTCCGCTTCATTTCTTCCGAGGAAGCTTGAGGAAGGTGCGAACGCGGCTTGAGTCTTTGTTTGTTGCACCTCCCATTCCGCAACCATCTCGAGGGCTTCGTTGTAAACAGTAAGGACTGCAGCCCTATCGACTGCGCAGCAGATTCTGTTTTTATTGTTGGCTTCAAATCTCCGTGCAAAAGAGTCGCGTTCGCTTCGGAGCCGTTGCGCTGTGAGAGTTGAAACTGCGCCCTCGCAGGTATTTGGAGACGCTGACATTCGGCGCCTGGAAGCCGGTGTGTCTTGAAAGAATTGCTCATACTGGGCAGACTTGTCCCTCTCTACAGTATCTGTATACTTCGTTGGAGGTGCGCGATGAGGTACCGAAATTCTGCGTGTTGCAGAGGATGTTTGATTATCGCGCGTTCTGCCACCAGACGCAGTTCTTCGTTCTGAAGTCTCCGATGTGGAGAATAGTGATTCACTTGGCCTATGGTCGCTACTAAAACCCATTGTTTCTGTATAGTTGTTTCTGTATAATGTATTGGCCGACGTGTGTGTTGTACCGAGAGTGCATATGGCTGTCATTAGGGGCAATCCTCTGTGGGCTTGCATGGTTGCCGACCTTCAACCCGCTCTTTCCCGAGTTGGTAGGATGATACACACTCATCTTCCCTTTATTACCTCACTTTCACTTTGATCTCACTTTGATATATTCATTCTAAATTATTTTACTATAACTAGTAAACATCTCTTGGAACTGCATTCACTAGGAACATTCTCGGTCGGGTTTTTCTTTGGCGAAGATCACGGGTTCGTCTTCCCACTCCGCTGTCAGTGTGCTGCATTTCAACATTCATCGCGATGCCTGGTCATGGGTTCGTAAGTGGATAGTCATAGGATGATCATAGGCAAGCTCTGACCATGTTTGTGAGATGCACAAGGTCATTAATACTCATAGATCCCGTCAATCATAGGTACTGAGGTACTGAATACCATAGGTAGACGTCGATTTGATGCTGAGCATGACAGGTTTTGGGCAAGGACTAGAGATTCTATCGTTATTTCATTGCGCGTGACTGCATTAGCAATTCATTGGCAAAGGTCCTTTCACGTGGTGTAATCCAGCCTTATGATGGCCGTCGGATTATCATTGGGAGATCGCGGAAGGGAGATGGCAGGATATACTACCTACTGGAGGATTTTATCGATGTTACGGACCCAAGAGGCAGATTTGGGGAGAGGGGGAAACAATGCTTGCCAATCAAGCCTCGCGATACATATCGCTCGTAAAGAGGAAGAGAGGATAGAACGTCGACTAGAACCAATCACAACAAGCTGATTCAGAACCTTGAATGCCAGGGATATACTGGAACGGACTAGCGCCGAAACCTTGCACCAACGGCATGCTTCGTCCGTCTAGTAGCTCTACATTGACATATGCTCACCAATATAACATTCCGCATATATGAGAATATAATTGCTTCAATGTAATATTGACTACAGGTCGGCTGGGTCTACAATGCTAAGATGCCAGCGGCACCTGAGCTGCAACAACATCGTTATTGTTTCTCAATCATCAACTCTGCCCTGCATGGAGAAATTGAACCGACAGGAAGTGGTACCCACTCATCTTGGTGGGACGGGTAACGTAGTTCAATGGGATGAAAATCATGGTCGGATTAGTTAATAAGGACACAACAGACGAGGGAGCTAAAGGAAACCAGAAGGATTTTTGGAAGCAGAATAGGCCTTTGACCTTGTTGCTTTCTGATGTGTATCGAAGATGATAGATAGTCCTTCCCAGCCCACTCGCGCCCATTCAAACCAATTGCATGACATATTCAGCCTGCTCCCAGTTATCACCTTGTGCCACGGCACAATATCCCTCCTCTTGCTCAACGTCTCAACTTGCGCAGTCGCATTAACTCTTGTTCACGTGCATGAATTCGTGCAGAGGATTAGGCATTTCCAGTGGACTATGGTCATCTTCTCATCTTCTGGATCAAGACCGAGATTCTTTTTTCTAACTCATCTAGCCACACCCAAATTGAATATCAGCATTCAAAATGGATTCTTCATACCCAAGACACGCCATTCGTGCTAGGCAATTTGTCTGATTCCTCGGTTGATCATCAGGTCAACCTCCCCGTTCAAGCTGCGGAGAGCTAGTCGCAGATGACTAGTCTTACTGGCGAAACGCTTTGGCCAATAAATGCCACGTTTAGATGTGCTGGACAGGAGGTTTTGAATGCTTCTCTCTATTCCTTATCGTTATGGTTGCTTTGAAGTGCACGAAGGAAATGTATGCCGCAAGCATGTTTAATACCTTAGCTGACTATTTCTTTGACGACCAGCGCAGCATGGCTCTATTCTGGACGCAATGCCATTGCTTTGCAGTTAATCTCGATACATTTCGTTTTCGATGCAAGACGTACAAGCACGCTGACGACAGCGGGAACGACAAGCCACTTTCAAATAAACGAGCAGCATCATCAATACTGATGCTGTCCCTCATATCCGCTCGGCAAATCATGCTATAAAGATATTTAGCCTCAAAGTGCTCAGCACAAGTCCTGTCTAGAGTCAGGGTCCGCTCGAGGTGAAGGACTCCTGGAGGCTTCCGTAGAACGCAACAGGACATTACTTCCAACTAGAGAGACGCGCAACCTGCTCTGCACCACGAACTTTCAATGCTTGTAACAGTTGATTCTTAACAGATTTTGTGAGGAACGCAGGGAAAATGGTAGGTTCAAAAGCATGGTCTCTCGTGCAAGCGAAGAGTAAAAAAAATTGGTGATGTTGAACCGGAGAAAAAGATTGAGCGGGGAAGACCGCAAGATGAGACGAGGAACATTTTGACCTTTTAGCAAAGGCAGGGAACTGACGTGACAGAGTTATGGGCAGATGTACCGTATACAAGCGAAAGCAGTATGTAAAACCATCGATCTGAGGGGACGAACGACATTTGCAGCAACACAGGAGGGAAACGGGCCTTAGCGCCGGCTTTAACGAGCAGCCAGCCGGGCGTAAGACGGGCGGCCACATGGAGAAGATGTACGGCCAAGCTACGTAGAGATGATCCTGACTTGGGAGGAGAAAAGACCGCGTAAGCCTACGCAGGATAACTCGCAGAAGGCTACGTCGATGACGGGGCCACGACTGGTGCCAATGTACAGCCAATATCGACAAAGGACTGTAAATAATATCTGGCAGCGGTACAATACAAGGAAATCGCGATGCGATCAGTGTCGCACAAGATCTGAAAGAATGTCCGATCATCAGGCGATTGTCGTTCTCTCTCAGATCTGTTCGGATCCCAGGAGTGGCAGCGTGCATTGAGACGACATCGAATCGTTTTCGAAGATATTGCGCCAATCACTGTTGTAACCGTGCCATATCGCATACTCTGTAACCAGGCATGGACTCAACAGAAAGTCGAGCCAGTCCAAGGCCATCTCTTCCCCTGAGATGAAGCCAAAGAACATGGAGCGCCCGCGGGATTGATCAAGATAACACTGAACCACCCTTGCTGATGTCGCCTTGCAGCAGGCAACAATGTTTAGCTGCGCTCCAAAGGAGGTAGTTCGTCTCGCTTGCAATGACATACAAAAGACAAGCACAAAGACACACTTGCTTGAATCTAATCAGCAGCACCACATTCGAAGCACTCTGCTGTGGAGGATGAATGTAGGAGGGAATTTGGAAAGAGTGTTGCAGCGATCTGGGGGCGAAATGCCGTCGTTCTCACTTCGGGGCCACGTCAAATCGCGTGGTCGCACATACGGTACAATGACCGCCAACATTGAAACGTTTCAGAATCACGTGCCCAACGGAGCTGCTTTCCGATGGAATCGTGTCCAACAACTGACATGTATCGTAACTTTAGACATCGATGCATCTGCAGCGTGTTCCGGGACAACTACGCTCATGGGCTTAGTACGCGTGTCTTGACGAATACGGATGACGCCCCACCAAGGAATGCCTTGCGCAAACCCTCGGCGACTGGGACTGGCTCGAGGGTCTAGTTTCGCATCCCTGAATGCTCCTGAACACTCCTGAACTGCATCCACGCCAACGTTTCATGGCTGCTCAAAGCTGAGCCAGACCGCGTGGACTGGTTTCTTCATTACCCTCGTTTTAGCATGCAACACTTGGACGACTCCAAGACATCCAGGACGACCATGTCTACCTTTCGCAAGCATACGTCGCGCCCGGTGCGCCTTATCATCCTTCTGATAGTAACATACGCCTTTTGCTGGGTGAAAGGCTGGCCAAAGTACTACGACGACGAGGAACTACCCCCCAGTCAGCGTCTGCGGTCGGAAATCTACGGTGGACCGCACGGTGTTGGACACGACCACCTCATTGTCTCCCTCACGGCCACCGCGGTCGACGTCTACGCGAAGTTTGCACCTACAATAATCTTCACGGCCGAGGAAGATCATGGACAGCTGCTGTTGTTCTCGGATCTGCAGATGGAAATCGGAAAGTGGCCTGTCTTCGACGTGCTTTGGCGGTATCCGCAAGACTTCATCATGGAAGCCAAAGAACTAGGCAGGTACAGGGCACAGGTCGATCACGCGCGGAAAAGCATACCAGTCGAGCAATTAAAGAAGCAAGATGAGAAGGAGGAGAAGGACATACAAAACATGTTGGAGAAGTACAGGCTTTTGCAGACCATGGCAGCTGCATGGGAGTACCGACCAGACCGAAGCTGGTACATCTTTGGGGGCGACGAGACTTGGATAAATCGCGCCAACCTTCGAGACTGGCTCAGTCAATACGATCCCAAATCGATGCACTTCTTCTCCAACCCACCCAATGTCGAGCTGCCAGAGCCTTTCGCAGCTGGAGGCACCGCCATCATACTGTCAGAAAAGGTCATGCATGAGCTCTTCAGCAAAGATAGCAAGAGACACAAAGACTTGATTAAAAGATGGCAAGGTCGCATTGTCGATCATTGGTCGGCTTTTGACCTGATATTCAATCTGCTAAAGGAGGAACTCAAGGTCGAGTTGGAGAGCGCGTGGCCTATAATTTCTGGCTTCGACCCAACCAATATACCATGGTCGTCAGCCATATGGTGCGAGCCAGTAGCGATCCTGCATCACATCACCCCCGACATGGCAAGTGATCTGTGGAAACTGGAAAAGGAGCGTAGCGAAAACCATCTTTCCAGCGCACCCTTGCGAATGGCAGATCTGTGGCTACGCTTCATGCTCCCTGAAAATCTTGACCATCCGCGCAAATACTGGGACAACCTCTCGTCTGAATCATCGAATTCACGGTGGAATATCCTTTTCGAAGGCGACAAGCCTGACAGCGGCCGAGCAAAGAGCGGGGAAGAGTCTCCAGAAGCGTGCGCAAAGGCATGTGATGAGAATGAGTTTTGCGTGCAATGGTCGTATTCATCACTCCCGCAGCCAAATTGGAATGCGAACCCGCCGACAAAATGCCACCTTAGCAGCAGCATGAGATATGGATCTTACAAGCCGCCACAGGAGTTGAACAATGAAGGCGAGCAGTCCAAACTGATCTGGATGAGTGGGTGGAATAAAGCAAGATTCTGGGCTTGGGCAACTCAGCATCGATGCAAAGCGCAACATCAGCGGTAGTCTTCTTCATCGGTTTTTTTGCTTCTCCCTTAGCGATTCAGCGCAACTCATTCATCGTCAACTCTCGCCCTCGTTTTCATTTTTCCCTTGGCGCTTCACAATCTCCCGACATTAGTGGCTCTACTCCTCCAAAGACCGAGAGTCCTGATGATCTACCACCTGCGACGAAAGAAACAATATCGACAGCCTCAGCTTCGCCTCTGCCAGGCCATACAACCGAAATGTTTAATTTCCAGTCGCAAGCGACTTCACCGTCCAGCACACTGTACACGACATGCAGTCTCAGGGACGACTCGGGCACAATTACAGCGCCTCAAAGAGTCACGAGATCGATTTGCGAACAAGCAGCAAACCGTCTATAAAGGTGCAGCCTTGGAGGCGATATTAGAGCATGTCGTAGTACCACGTGTACATCAAAGAGTGGAAAAGAGTGGAAAAGAATCAACTTGCCTTCAAGATCAGTGATGGACGTGCGCCAATGATCCGAGGTATAAAGAACAAGGTTTCAATGCAGAGGAGCAAGCGTGAACAAGCGTGAACAAGCAAGAGGAGGTATATGCATCGCAGTCCTTATTAGAGATTTGGATGGAGACATACAAAAGCACGTGGATCGCTTGACGCTGATAATTCACCAAACGACTCGCCCCACAGCACGTACGTAACCAGAACGGACCTCTAAAGCCATTGCGCGGAAATAAGGTCTTATGTATAAAAGAGGGAGAGTGAGATCCCACGGTGTTGGATTGACATAAGCATCATTCTTTGGGCTTGTCTTGTACATGGTGGTCTACCTCGGCGTTAGTATAGACGGATTGCGACATCTCGCATACCCCAATTTCATTGTCCCCACGTCATTCATTTGTCTCATTGGGGGGCTCTATTCAGGTGGGCCAAAGCTACATGGCTAATCGGTTGAAATACACAGCTTTAGGCATAGAATACAAGTTTCGTAACCACCCCGTCTGCATATGCATCAAAGCCGCCAAGATGACCATAAGCCTAAGTTTTGTGTCTCTGCTCACTATTATAATATCTACGTGTTAAGGAAATTTGGTAGAGATTAAGCAGATGTCTTTATGCGCGGCTTCTTCTCAGTAAGAGGTTACTTCCATGGGCTTAGCTTCCTAAATATTTCCATGGCTTACCGGACGGCGGACTACGACTCCCCAAATTATAGTCATCCCACGCCATATATTATTTAACACTAGATTGCAAGTACAGCATTTGAAAATGATGGCATTTACATCCCTTGCACCACCCAACACACCCAAAAGACACTACAACCATGATTCGAAGACACCGCAGATCCCGTACGCGTAAAATGCGAGGCTATAAATTCATCATCACGCCTTTGCCCAAAAGCTGGCCGGGTATATTCCTTCCTTTCTCAAAACCCATAGTAAAACCCATGGTTTCGACTGCGTTTATCGATTCGGATGAAGAGAGCATGAGACTGGAAATCGGCGAGGGCGTGAATGGAAACCGCGATGAACAGGATGTCGAAGATGCTGAGCTGGGCCTGAGAAAGATAGAAGGGGAGAGGAGAAGGTCATGGAAGAGAAGGATCTCGTGGAAGAGAAGGATCTCGTGGAAGAGAAGGATCTCGTGGAAGATGAAGACGCTCTTCAAGTGGAAGACGGCTGCGACACGGTTGAGAAAAGTGACGATGATGGGGTCTTTTATATCTTCACGCACAAGGACTACGGAATGTCGCGGATTCTAAATTGCATATGCAATGTGGTTGAACCTGGCCTGGATACTGTGGGGAAAAATCCCAATTCCATCTGACCATTGTGCACCAGAATTGGACTAACTCAATGCCTTTGAGTGTAAGATTGAGATTGGTTCAAGCTGCAATATCAGGGCTTCAGTATACTTAAGCGCTGCTTAGATTGCAATGCTAGGGGTTTCGGGAGAAGCTGCCGTATTACTTTCACGGCTGGAGCCATCAGTACCTGGGGAAATAGGAAGCAAGTCATGTTAAACAAGGTTTGCATAATTGATCAAAAACTTGCTGTGCAGCACAAAGCCACAGTGTATATATCCGTCTTCCAGAAATTGTACTTGAATACCTCTAATCCCCAGCTTATCCGGCTCGATCAACAAATATCGATCAACCTAATCGTATCTCATTCTTATGCCAGATTTGCAAATTTTTCCCGGAAAGCAACGCCCAAGGCAAAGCCTCCTTCCCCTTCCAACTGAATTTTACGTGCAGTCAACTCACGGATCTTCTCATCCATTTCGCGCAATTTTCCTGCCGCATCAGAGTGAGCAGCTTCGATTGTTGCCAGTCTCATCTGCATTTCAGTCTTCTTTTTCTTCATCTCTGTCACACTGTGTTGCCGGTTGGTCTCTGCCTCCGCGCGCCTCTCGCTGAGAACTGTATTGATCACTTCGAAATCAGTTATATGTTCTAGGTCACGCTTGATACTAGCTGCGTACTCTTTCGCAATTCTTTTCTGCACCTCGTCTAGATCTTCGCTGAGACTCGCTAATGTATTCTCCAAGTCATCGGTGTCGTTGATGTATTTTTTTACTGCATTGAAGAGGGGGATGTTGGCGCTTTGAGCGTGATGGAGGCACTGAAGTGTCCTCACGTATCTTTCTAGCATTTCATGAACTTCTGAGACTTCTTCATGAGCCACATTCCGATCTTGTTCAATTAAAGCTGAATCTTCAGGTAGAAGGTTTTGGTTACGAGCCTCGTTGTCTGGCGACTTAAGATTTGTGGGTCGTGAACCATGACTGGAACCATGAACTGGAACTGAGCCACTCTCGTTCGCTGAAATACTTGTAGCGGTCGGATTCTTCAGGGGTAGCTTACAATTCCGAATTGCTCGCGGTACTCCAGCACTCTGGTTTCCTAGGTTTGGCTGCGTGAAGGTCAGATATTTATCCGTCAAGTAGCCGATGGACAAAGCTTGCTTTCGCTCTGCGGTATTCATTAACAGGCTTACAATTCTCTCCATTATAGTTAATCGCTTGTCCTCATTATGATTGATGACACTGATAGCGTCCTTAAAATATTTTAAGCCATCGTTGAAGTTCTTGAACTTCCTGCCAGGCGCTGCGCCCCTGAGGACGAAGACAGCCTTTACAAAGGACTCAATCAAATCTCCAGATAAGACACTTCCAACTTTCTCTTGCGTGAACAAGTGAAGGACTCCCGCTAACTTCGTGTGCTTGAGCTGGCTCCCGTTGAATGACTTGGTAGAGTTTTTCAGTCCGATCGCCAAGGCTCGCGTCTCGTGTTTACCGGTACCATTCAGGGATCGGGCAAAAACAGGACCACCTTCATTGAACCCCATCAAAAGCCTCTTAACAGAAGATCCGGGGTTTGTAACCCACAGGATGGTGTCCAGGAACAACGACCACGGCTTTCCAGTTACTGTGGTTATGATGTCCTTGAGCTTCTTGATCATTTTCGGTCGAACAGCTTCGGTTATACTATGTGTCAACCCCTTTTCTTCGAATGCCTTCTGTTTTGTTTCAATAACTTTCAGCGCATCATTAAGCAGCGCTAACATCTTCTCTTCAAGCGAGATCGGATAGGCTCGTGTATGGCCTTGGAGAATGAACAGAGTCTGTATCGTAGCAGCTATCATGTCAACGCGTGACTTCCAACGTATCCAGTCGCCGCAATATACTTCAGTGGTGCGATAAGCATTGAGTTTTTGAGCACGTCTAATCCAACGGGCTCCACCTTCAATATCTCGTAACAGACTACTCTGAGAAGTTTGAGTTCAGACTTCCAAAAGTCTAGTTTCTCGTCGGTTCGATGGTATCTCTGTTTTGCGAATATTTCATCGCGGTGCTTGTCAATCCCAATGAGCAGCATCTCATTGGTAAATTCATCATTTTCCTTGAGGTCCAACCATGTTAGGTACCTTGTGTCGAGTACGTCGCTATGATCTGTGTGGCGATGCAGACACTCGACAATTGCCGATACATCTGGGGCGTTGAGATCTGCTGCGGGGGTGGGCGCAGCAGACCACGGCGTCGAGGGTTCCAATTGAGACATGGCCCGTCGCTGAAGCTGTGCATGTGAGCGCGTAATTGGAGGCATTTGGGTGTAGGGTCAGATTGAGTGATTTGTCCACTGTGTGGGCGCGAAGGTTATACTGTCACTACAGCTGTTGAGGAAGGATACAGCTTCCAGATAGAAGGGTCCACGTGATTCTTTGCATTCATGTGGCCGTTTCTCTTTACAGCTCCCGCGCCAAGGCCTTCGATCCACCTCTACCTGCAGTCCGTTTGCCTAACCCTCCTTTTTGCACGCGACGAACCACTGGCTCTAAAGCGAGATTTTACTTTGTCAATTTCAGAGTGAACGATATATACTGTGTGATGGATGTTTACGGTACTAGCCCCAGAATAAGTATGTAATCGCTTACTCTATAATGACATCTCCATGCAAATACCTTTGACTCGGCCATTATCTTCCACTGTCATTCCAAAAAGTCCCCTACTATTACGAATCAATAGCTAAATTGGCTTTATCTGTCTCACCTAGCCTAACACTCCGTAGAGGTACAATGTCATACTAGATATGCCAGGTACCCAAAATTCCATCACCACAACCCTAACAAAAACATTTCCAATATCCACCACTTCCCTCACCACATGGCCGAATCCAGACATGAACATTAGCCAGCGCGAAAAGACACTAAGAAAATAGTAGCAGCCCACAACTCCTCCCAACCTCCCTAGCAAGCGTACTAAACAACCCATCCTTTCTAGCGCTATTGTAGAATGGAAAACAACTTAAAGGAAGTGGAAGGGGAAGTATTGTGACTCCTCATTCCATCATTGAACACGACACCTGACTGTTGAATTTCCGAGTTGTGAGGTTTTGTTGGTTACAAGTTCTGAAGAGTATGGGGGATGGTGGGATGGACATGACAAATCATGATGATTACACGTACATGAATTAAACCACGGAGAATTGATTATAGAGATCATGAGCACATGTCACAGACAGCACACCACACAGTCCCACACATAAGAGTACTACACAATATCACAACACCAGCCCCCCAAAAAAGCCCCTCCCATGCATCTAGTCACTAGACCTATTCACCACAAAACATCTCAAGCCCCCACCGTCTCCCCCGCCCCCTCACCCTCCACACCCGCATCACCCCCCAAAACCTCACCCTCATCCAACATCCCCCCAACCTTCCTCAACCCCTCGACAACCCCACCAGCCCAGCCCACCAACAACAACTTCTCCGCATTGCCCGGCAGGCCCAGGAAAGTCGGGGGTTCGCGTTCCGGCAACTCGGCCACCCACTGCATAAACGCCTTCCACCCGGTTTCACTCGGGAGACAGAGGCCACCTGCCTCTGCACCGGCACCACCAGTTCTAGGCACCAGTTCCCAATCGGCCTCAAACGCCGCAGGCGTGAGGACGCGCTCCACGAGCTGCGATAATGTCTTGTAATCTGCCTCATCGTCAATCTTGCCACCGTACATTTCCGTAATGAGGGTGCGTATCATTTCCCAAGGAATCTTGCTGGGCGCAATGTTCGATCGACCGCCAGCCACACGCTCGACCCAGACGTCGATGATGAAGGCGGCGCATTCGTAGTCGCTGTCGTTGAACTCCCAGAAGCCCTTCCATCCGAGATTGGGCGCGTACCGCAGTCGTTCCTGGACCACAGCGTGCAGGAAGCTGAGGAGCAGGTAGACCCTAGCCTTTTCAATCGGCGGCTTGGTCGCGCGGTCGGAGAGCGACGAGAGCGAGTCTCGCATGTTGGCGCGGATACCCGCGGGTTGCTCGTAGCTGAGGATTCTGCTGGCGCGGAGGAGGTTGACGGGAATCTTAGGGCTCGATTCCATGGAAAGGAAGAGGCGGAAGTCTGGGTTAGGTTTGAGCGCCTCGAGTCGCTTCTCTAGCGACTGCAGCCACTGTGGTGCGAGATGCACGTTCTTGACCAACACCCAATTGCCCGTTGTAGCAGCATTGGCAATGGCTTTATCCGCCGTTGCGGCACCTTCGTTAGAACCCATGGCAATATTGGAGCATGTGACTTGTTCACGCGAAACGAGGTTGTCGACTTTATAACTGGCGTCGAAGCCGGGAGAGGAGCTAAGGGCGACAGGTGTCGTTGCATTGACTTGTTTGACAATGTCGCCGAGATCTCCACTGGCATCTAGCAGACCCTTTCCAAACACCTCGGTAACGAAGCGTTCGACAGCAGGTACGAAGCGGTCCACACGGAACAACTTGACGAGGATCAAAGCGCGAAGATGCTTGTCAAAGTTTGCGAGATCCTCTGGCCACACTTGCGGTACATGTCGTTCAGCCAATTCTTCGTTGAGGAAAGCGTCCCAGGCAGCGGCTTCGACCTTGGGCAGTTCTTCTCTGAACATCGGAATCTTGCTTGCTCGTTCCATAGCCTCGTCCTTGCGTTCAGTCTCGGTTGACACATCAATTCCCACAACATCTGGATCCAAAATCTTGTCAATATGGGTCTTGTCCATCTTGTAGGGCGCTGCCTGCACCAACAACATGGCAAAGGTAATGCGATCCTTCTGTAGCAGCGACAGCGACGTCCGACGGTATGCATCAACAAACAGCTCCGATATAATCTGTTCAATGCGCGCCGCATACCCTACAGTTGACGAATTGCGAATCTTCTTCAGCACCGTCTCAAAAATCTGTGTAAAGTACTGCAGCGAGAACTGGTAAAAGTGATTGAGGTGGTGCAATTGCTCCAGTACGGCAAAGATGGCAGAGCAGGATCTCGCAACGACCGTGTACTCTTTTGTAATGTTTTCGACCTCGGTCATGACACCTGCAGTCTCGGAGACCTTGTCGGAGATATCCTTGGCTTCCTTCTTGAGTGTCTCCAACGTCTCGATAACGCGGTCGTCGTCGAGAATATTGCCTCGTGATTCGTTGAGCGCTTGAAGGAGACGCTTCTCCAACTGTCTCAGATGTACTGCAAACTCTCCTTGCATCTTGATGAGATTCGAGCGCCGCTCATCCACATCTGGCCTCTCCGACTTGAGTACCTCATTGAGCGTCTGCGTCTGCAAACTACTCTGCGTGACCGTGAAGTTGACAAATGTGGTCCTACTGCAGATATCCGGTGCAAAGTTGGCCGAGGGATCGCGCGTGGAGAGATATAAGCGGAACGAAGGCGAAAAGTCAATCTCTTGCTTGCCAAGCTGGATAAGCACACGCCCACCAGTCTTTTGGTACTCCTTGTTGAGCACATGGTTGAGAATCGGATCCAAATGCTCGGCGTCCTGGATGAGAATCGGATTACCAAACCGCAAGGAACTCTCGAGCTGCTTTGTGAAGGAATCGTCCAAGAAACTTGTGACGGTAAGACGACGCTCTTTACACTCATTCTGCAAGAATTCCGTAGTCCTACCCGATGGATCGATGATAAGCGGATAGCGATTGAACCTCTGCAGGATAATCGCATTCTCAGTGCACAGATCATCGACAGGCAGACCATTGTGCTGCCACGTGAGGCGGTCGTCGGCGGTCGAAAGGTACTCCGTGAAGGGATTTGGCGATTTGTAGCTGATACCCGAGTGCTTGAGGTGGTCGAACCAATCTTCCGTAAGTGCCTTCCTATACTGTTGATCGTAGTAACCGGCATATGCGATGAAAGCCGCGGCAACCAGTACATCTCCGACAATCGTGTCGATTTGGGAATCGAAACTCTTGCTGCTCTCCTCCCAACGAGAACGTTCAGAAGACAAGCTGTCGAGCAGACGTACACTGCGCGTGACCTTGAACTGGACCGTCGACATTTCCGTTTTAATAGCCTGCGTCTCACTAATGAGCGCCGCGTATTCCGTCTTGTACCGCCCAATACTGTCCTCCAGATTCTGAATGAGAACCTCCGTCTCCTTGGCCCCTTCCTCCGTCTTTCTCAACTCCATCTGCAAATTGTCCACCTCCGCACGCAGCGGCCCAACGCGGTCCAAGATATCAGAGTAAGTGACCTGGGCAGTAACCCACTGTACAAGCGGTCCACAAGCCTTGGATGCACGGTTCACCTTCTCAAACGTAAACTCTTCCTTGGACAAATACTCCGTCTGCATCTTCCGGCGATGTGCAGCAGTCATCTGCCTCTCGTTGTCAAACTGCACGATACTCGCAATAAAGTCATCGCGTCTGACAATCGACACAATCGTCTTCCATCCATCCGGCAACTTGTGCCCAAGAATTGTACAAACAGCTTCGAGCGCCAACTTGACACCAGCAGGAGGATTCTGCATAGATCGGACTTCGGTAAGATGCTGACGCTTAATGTTCTGCACACTCTTTTGTGCCTCAATGACAGCCGGCTCTGCAGCTGCGAGATCGTGTTCTACCACTTCTTGACGTTTTTGAATCTCATGTTTATCCTTTGCAAGCCTGGCCTGGATCTCAATGGACGAAGCCTTCTTTTGTTCTGCCTCTCTTTGATCTGCGACCATGCGCTGCAGCTTCTCATTAGCCTCGGCATCCTTCTTCGTGAGTTGCGTCTGCTTCTCCGCAAGACTAGCCCGCAACTCCTTGACCTTGTCAAAGGTTTCGCGGAGCTTCTCTAGACCGACGTTGAGATGACGTTGTTGTTCCTCCAGATCCTCGCGTTTCTCATTGTATAGCTTGACGTATTGCGCGACAAAGTCAAGGAAGTGACGTGGAGTGAGGTACATTTTGCGGTTCTGTGTTTTCTGCAGTTTAGCGTTCTTGCTGCGGAGCGAGTGGTGCACCGCAACCATGGCATTGACAACGCTCTCACGGTGCGATGGCGGAAGACTGAGACCCCGGTAAGCAATTGGAATCGTATCGGGAGCGACATAGTTTGTACGATCTAGATCCACAGAGTGTGTGAGCTCGGAGCCGACCTGGTAGAGAGCCTGATCCGACCAGTCTCCAAACCAATTGAGCACACAACGGTTGAACAGCGCAGGACTAGTAGCCGCCTTGGACGAGAGTCCTTCCTCAGGCGGGTTCATCGTAAACACCACGTGAAGGTTCTTGACAATCTGCTCAGTAAACCACTTGTACAGCTCTTCCTGCGAATCAAGAATAGTGCCCTGTCGTTGTGCACCCTCCTTGATCGCCGTCATCAATGAAGCATACTCATCCCCTTCAAACAGACCGGGGACCTCAGCATTAGCAAGTAGCGTATTCATGCGCTCCAAGAAACCCGAGTCAAGGACATTGGCTTCATCCATGATGAAACAGATCTTCTCGCCCTTACAACCACAGCGACGCAGCACATTGCGCAAATCTTCATCAAAGTCTTCGCCAGAGTACTTGCCGTGCACCTTGATCTGGTACACGCTCAGACCATTCATCCAAGCCACAAAGCGCGATAGTGTAGTCTTTCCAGATCCACTCACACCAATAAGGATGAGATGACCCTGAGGTTGGCGGAAGACCCGATCGATGCGAAGAACATGCTCGAGCACATCGTTGAAGAGGATAAGCGGCACATCGACTTCTTCCTCGCAGAAAGTCCGGAGACGCGCCTTGACAAAGTCACGTAGCTGTTCACGTTCGACAGGGACGTAGTTCTTTGACAGCCAATTAGAGAACAAAATGGGTCCTCCGAGAGCCTTCTCCTCGTCGATGGTGGGGAAGTGTTCAGTTGCGATCCGGTGTACACATTCCTCGGTCCATTGCCGCTCTTCTTCAGCAATGAGACGATCCTGGAACAATCGGAGAGCTTCATGGGCCCAGATCCTCACAAGACCTTCTACGGGGAGACTCTCCAGCGGCCTAAGAGCTTCATAGATACCTCGGACCCAGCGCGTCAATTCACGAGGCGAATAAACGTAATGGGGCTGAATATCAGGTGTGAATCGCTTTTGTGACTCGGCATAAAGCTGAACCATAGCTTTCGTGAGAGCATCCGCATATCCTCGCAGCGTTGGGATAATCTTCAACACCGCAGTATTGAAAGTACCATAGATCTGATGTAGTGACGTCTCACCGGGGTAATCCACCATGATAAGCGGCGCATGTCGTAGGAAACGCAGGCCCATTGGCGTACGACCAGCATCAGTGGGAGGGTTGCAAGCACCGACAAATTGGATGCGGTCAAGCGAAACCCAGGTCTTGTCCGACGTCCTCCAAAATCCATTATGCTCAACAAGCTGCCTCAAGAAAGAGATCGCGCGTTGAGTGCCATACTTGTCTGGTGCCGGCAAATTGATCTCATCGCAGAAAATAACGAGCCAACGACCAACCTGGGTTGGCGTAAGTTGCACACCATTAAGCGTCTTCTTGTACTCGCAGTGCTGTTCAAATGTCTTGATAAGCAGGTCGGGCGTCGTCGCGCTCGAGAAATTGAGGCCAACGACCTGCATATTTGGCAGTTTTCGCAATGCACTAAACAGCGTCATCGTCTTTCCAGAACCAGGAGGACCACAAAGAAGCAGTGGCTTGTGTTCCGCGAGCCACGAGTAAAGAACATCTTCGTGGCGGACAGTATCAAGCGTGGGAATGACAACGTCGGTTTGGGTGACGGAGTGAGTGTTGACTTCGACGTGGGGCACTTGGTTCTGCCACATATCCCACTCTGGCTTGTCAGGCTTAACATCAAAGTCAATGAGAGATGTAGACTCGCTCAGCGGTGGCAGCTCTACATCCGTAAGACCAGCAATAAGGTCTCCATACTGCTTGCGATCAGAGAGCGGGCAGTCACCCACCAGTGCCCACACAAGAGCTACGAGCAGCTTCTTCGCAAGGTACGTCTCCATTTTCTCATCCTCGAGCTGGAAATCCGGATGCGAGACATTGTACTCCAGCACATTGCGACACGCCTTGTTGAGCAGCGAGAACAACGTGTTGAGCGCACGAATATCCGTGTACTCCATGATGTGGTTGAACTTCCTCGCCATACTGAGCGCCTTCTCAACGAAGCGATCTTGCGTGAGCTTGATGTGCAAGAAATCGGCAATGAGTCCCTGCGTTGCCAACGTCTTCTGCGACATTTGACCCGGCGCAACTGAGTCGTCTTCAATATCATCAAAGGCAACCGTCTTGAGGTGATTGGTGTAGTTCGTAATCATCATATCGACGTCAACCGTATCGTCGCTGAACCAGACCATACCGCAGCGAGACACCGTCGCAAGGGTGGCGTATTTGAGCGTCTCGACTTCAAACATGATACGAACATTTGACGGCAGATTGAGACGTTCTCCGTTTGGTAGCGTAAGAAGCTTGTTGTCGTCAAGAACAGAGTTCAAGTTCTCAACCCACTCGGGATCAACATCACCGTCGAAGACGATCCAGTGGCGCTTGCTATCCTCACCACGAAGATTGTCAACAATCTTGCGGAGAATGCTGGTGAAAAGACCATCAGTCCACTCGCGGGTCGTGCTATCCAGTGTTCCGTAAAGTTGTTCCTTGGACATGACTTTCGGATCGATAACGTGGCTGACACCCTCTACACCCTCGACCATTTGCATTGCCTCAAGGAGTGTTCTCCAGGCCGTTGATTTTCCGGAGCCCGACGAACCTACCATCATGACACCGTGATGCAAGTTTTGAATCTGGTAGAGTTGGATAATCTTCGTCATCCAAGCATCGCTAACGACCAGTTTTTCCTTGGCAGCAACCTTGCGAATAGCCTCAGTCAGCTCATTCAGTGGGGCAGGGATGTATTCGACACCGGGGAATGATTCTTCTTGAATCGCCTTCATGAGATCAACATCAGACCGGATAAGCTTGGGTGCCATGGTCTCGCGAAGACTCTGAATGATGATTTGAGGTTCCATAATCGCTTCATCCGGAATCTGCGAGTCCTGCTGAGCAGCAATGCGTGCACGCTTCAGTCCACCAGAGCTAACCAGCACACTCTTCAGGGCACGTAGTCCAAAATCGTAATGTGCCTGCTTGGACAGACCAGTCGCGCACCTGTCGAAGAATGGGACGACATGTTTCGACAACTCCTTGGCCTGCGAGAAACCCTGCGAGTATAGCATGACTTCGGCAATGAGTTCCTTGTCCGGCTTAGACATGGCGACACTTCTGAACAGCTTCTTCAAATTGTCGGGCAAGTTCGATCGCCCCGCGTAGCCAGGGTTCATTGTGATGAAAACCCCAGTATTCGCATTGACCTTGAGCTGGCGTCCAATGAGCTCAATCTGCGATTTCGGATCCTCAATACCCTTCTTGAGACCGAGCTGAATGTTTTGAATCTGCTGCGAAACAGCGGAAAGAATGCGCTCTTCCAGACGATTGAACTCGTCGAAGCAGCCCCAAGCACCGACTTGGCAGATACCGAGGAAGATGCGACCCATGGCTTGAAAATCGAACGTGTCATCACAGCAAAAGACGAGCGTGAAGCGACCAAGTTGCACACCAAGAGCCTTGACAGATTCAGTCTTACCGGTACCAGCAGGCCCGTAAGGTGAACCACCGAGACGCTGGCAGAGGGCTTGTGTGAGCGTGAGGAAACAGCGATCTGTAAGGGGTGTGCGGACGAGACGATCAGCAACTCCAAGGTACTCGAATCCATAGTCCAGCGATGCGTTCGCCATCTTAATCTTCAATCGCTGCAGCAGATCATTGCCAGGCTCATAGCAGTAGCGCATGGAGAGCAGCCACAAGTGATGCGTAGGTGACCGCGCGCCTACCTTCTGCAGCTTGTGAATGACATCGCGTTGATGGACAAATTCGGTAATGAGATCCTCGCACTTCCTACGTTGGATAGATGCGAGGTCGCCCAAGACGGCCGCAGCAAGCAATTTGAGAATGTTGACTTGCTTCTCATAGAGCTGTGGCAGGCTGGTTCCCTCCTCTGTCAACGATTTCTCCACGGCATGGGTCCACGCAATCTGAGTTCCGAGAACGACAACCTGAGTGGGATATTTGGCAATGTACTCGTTGAACGCCTCGGGATCCATCGCATCCGCCTCAACAAGCTGCAAAAACTCCTCGTAGGCTTCAAAGGTCAGCTCAGCCAACGTTGTCTTCATATTCGTCTCCAAGGCCCCAAGCCACTCGTTGATCCTTGGTGTCTTGATGAGCGAAATTTCGTTCCTCAGCATAACCTCCTCGCCCTCCTTGGACGTGAATCCCTTGATCACGCCGTCTTCGTCGGTAATCAGTCCGGAGATACCAGCAAACATCTTGCGCAAATGTTTAGCAATACGCATGACATCATTGCTGTTACCGATGATCTCCAGCAAATCTTCGTCACCAACAAAGTAGAACCGAGGGAATGAGACGCGCTCACGTTCTAGATACTCTCCAAGCGCCTTCTGGATCTTGTTGAGAAGCTCGGCGAGGCGCTCAAGGGACTTCTGCACACCTGAGATGTTGAGGACTTCGAGGACAAAGGGTTGGCGTGAGACCTTCTTCATGACAGACAGGAACTCAGAGTTGATATTCTGGAAGCGCGAGGATTCCATGGGAAGGAGGTGTTTGATATCGGCGTTTCCAGTAAAGACGCCTTCAAGGTACACCCATTGGCGTTGGACATCGATCCAGACATCAAAGAGGACGTGTACGCGATTGAGCTTGTCCTCCCATGATGAAGCTTCCTCTTCGAATTCCTTGTAGTAGGGTGAATGTCGCATAGCCTGCAGAGAATTGAGGTTCTCACTGCACTTTGCGAAGAGGTCGTCCCAGCCACGGATGAGTCGACACTTGTTCTGATAGTTGACGAGCTCCAGCGCATAATTCTGCCACGTCTCACGAACTTGCTTGAGAAATTCTTCGAGAGCCATCTCACCCTGCGCCTGGGTGATGACGTCGCGAATAATCTTCTCACTGGGCCCCAGCTTCAAGTCCCAGACATCTCCCAGAGTCAGGGATATGGCAGAGTACCGCTTGTGCGGCCTCAAACTCTTGAAGATGCGGACCCAATGGCGCTCACGTACGGCATCAGATCGCAACTCAGCAAGAATGGCATTCTCCTTCTGAAGTTGCTTGAGCGTAGTCTGTACATACTCGAAAGCTTGGTACTGTCGCATACGACTAGGCATGTCCTTGGTCAGTTTGACTAGGTTGTCGAGATTCTGACGAAGTTTGCGGGGCTGAATGCTCGTCCAAAGGACATCACGAAGATCGTTAATGCTGGCCCAGATGGTGCCAAGTGCAGACCAGACAGACTTGAAGTCCTGCACTTCCTCCAGCAAAGTCTCCAGTGCATTTTCAGGCGATGGGGGAAGTCCGAGGGCCTCCTTTGCTTTGGAAATGTTCCCAGATTCAGTCTGCAACTGGTTGAGCTTCTGGTCGAACTTCGCTAGAATTTGAGAAGCTTCGGCGGGCGCGAGGTTACCAGCAACAGGCTTGTTCTCTGCCCACTCGCCGGTAATATCGACGATCTTCTGGTTGACGACCTTGTCTTCCGCGGCGATCTTGGCACGTAGTGCGTCGGCCTGGTCATTGGCAATCTTGGTCTTGCGCTCCAGGACCTCAGTCAAAGTCTGCCATTCGCCATCAATCTGCTCCATCTGCAACCAATCTGGAGGGAACTGGTATCGTTGTCGTGCAAGAGTAGCCTGTCCTTGTCGGAAGGTCGAAATCTCGGGCTCCCATTCCATAACCTTCCTCTTGCATTGCTGGACAGTCGTAATAAACGACACAGCCTGGGCAGTCGAAGAAGCTTCAAGTGTCTGCATCTCAAGGTCCTTGCGTGCCTTCTCAATTTGCACGTAGACATCGTTCATGCGCTGACCCAGTCTACCCGCAAACTTGATGAGAATCTCTTGCTGCCACTGGTCGTACTTGGCATTCACCTTGACCTGCACTTGGTCATAGTCGACTGTGACGTAACCAAAGCGACGGCTAATATCGGAATTGTCAAAGGTAGCACGAGTCTTGCGAATTTCTTGTAGAAGTTGGAGCCAGCGCGAAAGGTCCTCGCCCAGGATGTCGTATACATGCTCGGATTGCAGGTCCCAGAGAGACTGGAACTGTAACCACTCGTCCACGTAAGAGGAAATCTCACGAAGTTTGCCCTCAACAGCGCCGTACACTTCAATCAAAGATTCAGTGCATCGACTAGGAAGATCAGAGAATTGGCTGACTGCTGTATCGCTATTTGCCTCGAGCCGAATCTCGTAACGCGAAGCCTTGATCTTTTGCAGGGTGCAAATGATCGCGAGCCATTGCTGGAGTTGTTCAAGCCAGCTGGCTCGCGCATACTCGACAGGTGGGCTGAGATAAATGACCTGGTTGCGCATGGTGATTTCAAGAGTGAGACGCATCAGGGTTGGCTTGACTTCGGGAGACTCTGTCGATGCAGGCTGGCTCACAGGTCGTCGCGTATCATCACTATCCTCCACGTTGTTAAAGACTTCGATCCACAACGAGATTGCTCGGTTGAGTCGCACGAGGAGGATAGCTTCAATCCGCGCATTCATATCAGAAACCCACGAGGCCAGATTGGCATAATTCTCCAGGTTAAGCTGATCAATGGACTTCTGAATAGTTTCAAGGTTCTGCTGGAAAGCATCCTTGTTGTAAGGGCAGGTCTCAAGATCCTTTAATGCCTTCTCGACCGTGGCATTAATGCTGACCAGGGTAGAAACTTTCATTTGAAGCAGCGAGGTTGCGGCAGCGAAGTCGCGCACAAACTGAACATGTTTACTCTCACTTCGAATGCTACCAGCTCCGGCAGGGAAACCTGATTGCCGTACATGCAGATCGTAGGCGTGCACGAACGATTCCCACTTGAGCGGTACACCCTTGCTGACCAATGCTTGAACATCGTTGACATAGTTGTTCAGCAGAAGCGAGACGCCAGTCATTTCACTAATTGAGCGTACAGTCTGAGTGTATGTGCGCACACTCTCCATTAGGCTGACAGCATATGGATAGACTCGCTTAGCCTCCTTGGAGATATTGTTGATGCCATGGGGTACCTGGTAGCCGCGCCACGTTAGGTTTCGCACTTCCTTGAATAGTGCTATAACCTGCGCATCGAAATTGACACCGAGTTCAAGGATGTTACCAGCCGCGCGATTCTTGCTGACGTGAAACAAGCGTCCCGAGATGGACAGCTTCCTCCTCGCAACTTCCTGAAGCCACGACTCAAAGATAGGCCGGGTGTCAAGCTTCTTCTTGAACATGCTACTCTCTGCCTGGAGTTTCTGGCCTTCGGCATGGAGCGCCCAGTCTTTGCCAAGAATGTCCTCTACCTTGCCCATGTAGCTCTCCAGCTGTGTCTCGATTTGACGGGCCCAAATCACGGCACCCGAGACGGGAGGGAAGTCGCGAAGCTGGGCCATGGCATGGGCTTCCGAATTGCCATACTGTCGCTTGAAGCGCTCGTGAAGAGCTAAAATGTCCTGCTTGACATTATCAATAAGCTGGGTCTGGTACTCCGAGATGGCTCCCCTAATCTTCGGTCGGACAAATAGAGGGTTGAACTTGGAGAAGACGCGGAACATCTCGCTAGCAGTCTTTGCGGTACCAAGGCGATCCCTCAGCCTAGCGATGATCGAGTTCTCGACACGCGAGGTGCGCTCGTTGTACTTTTGCTCGGCCTGCTCAAAGAGGCGAATCCCTTCCTGAGAGACATCCAGGACATCGACATCCTTGAGGACGTCGTAGGCCTCCTTGACTTCCTTGACGGCGTCTACATCACCAATCTCCTCGATAATGACCGACTCCTTGGTTTGCGAACCGTCGGATAGCGACGACTGAGAGCCAAGAACGCTGACAATAGTCCGTTGCAGCTGCTCGTGATTCTTGCGAAAGGTTGTGATGTACCGAATACGCTCCTCGGTTTCCTTGTGTCTCGCCGCAATCTTTATAGGAATGAACTTTTCGTTCCTTCGCCTCGTGACTTCACGAGCAACATTGGTGAACTCTTTGACATTCTCCTCCCAAGTGCGCCAGATGCTGTCTGCAATCTCCATGATGGCCTGAAACTCGGGGTAGTCCATGTGCATAAGGGTCTTGCCGTGCAGAAGTTTGTGCAGTTGACTGTCGAGATCTCCAGAAATAGCCTCTACGAGAGGTAGCGCTCGGCGGACAGGATAGGGGCAGATACGGAGCTTCTTGTTCATGTGGCTGAAGATGGCCTGAATGGCTTCCTGGACCGCTCCTAGGGAGGTAGAAGAAAGCAGTTGGTCAAGAGGAAACTCGCGCATGAGCTGATTATACTTTTGCACCAGATCGGTACTCTCTTTGAGTCCAGTATCTGCACTGAAGGACACAGTGGCTTGGAAACGCTTTGCATTTTTGAGTACATCCAATGTCAGCCTTACACCCGGACTCCCCAACTGTGTCTCGATGTCCTGCAGGCGCGACTCCATGGAAATCCAGAAGTTGATTTCCTGGGCGGCTGTCCCCGTTGACACATCGCGCGTAGTCTTGGTAATGGTCTGTATCGACTTGATCCATCCATTCACAGTCGCCTGAAGCCCATTCAAAAAACTGCTATCCTGCACAATGGCCGGGGGAATGAGGTCGGGCGAAGGCTTGATGCCCTTCTGATTCGCATCGTCCAATGCATTCTGAATCATGGGGTGCAGGGGCAGCAGCAACTCTGGGATCTCAACATTTTGCTGCAAATGCTGCAAGCTGAGCGCCAATTCCGCCATCTTCTTCTTGGCCGCTGAAAAGCCGGTCCTGGCATCATTGTCGCCCTTGTTGTAGGCGCTGGACCCGTTGCGCTGGGTCTTGGTGTAGGTGTCAAAGTACGGTTCAAAGGCAGACTGAAGGAGGGAATGAAGAAACTCCAAGGGAGTGCCGTCTTGGGAAGATGCATTATTAGGAAGAATAAAACCAGGGAAAGTGGAAATATGGACTTGGGCGGAAAGGGGTATCGAAGGGTCTATGGGTATCGGGCGCTTGGAAATGACAACAAACTGAGCGCAGTTGCGCGAAGCCGTGAGTTCGGTAGAGACAGTGTACGTGTAGTGCTGGGCGGTACCTGCAGACGTCAGTGGTGTGCTCGATCCTTCCACATTCAAGAGTATCGGGGAGCGCCTGCCATTTGAGCCATCCAGTGCGTCGACATGCGCATCGTCCGTCTTGTCCTTGATCAGATACAGGACCGACTGGCCCTCCGAGGCAAAGCGAGAGCAGCGCTGTATCGTATCGGTGAGTTTGGCCGGGGAGAGCAGACTGCCGGGTGCGCGGAGATCCTGAGGCGAGGCGTCCAGATTCACGCTGAGAACCTTTTCCAGGTGGTCGACGATGATCTGGGGGTCCATCAAGGGTGGTGCTGGGCTTGGAGCCCGTATGGTGCCGTTGGCCGCCCCTGGCGCCAGCGGTGCCTCCATGTTTGAATTTGTTTACTGGAGTGTGCTATGCGTGTTCCATGGGATCCTCGCTTCGGCTGAAGAGAGGTCGAATCCAGGGTACTTTATGTACGGGAAGGCCAATGACGGTACAGGTGGCCCAGTATGGAAGTGTATGTGTAAATGTAAACGGTGAGTGGTGGTGGTGTTGACTCTCTCCTGTGCCCGCGATCCACAATTGCCAGCAGTTGGACGCGACTTTGGGCACGGACACCCACTAGCGCCCTCCCGCGCTCCCCTGCAGGGATTGCGGAGACAACGTCATTTCATTGGCCCAAATGGTCGAGACCCTACACAGCAGATGAATGGGTCTCTTTTGAACCATTGCAAGACACTTTCATGGCAAGAAAGTCCAAGAAATGAAAAAAAAAGCCTTCTTATTCAGAGACAATCTGACAATTTTATCAACTATCCACGCCTTTGAGAACACCAATGAAAAAACAATGTCTAAATTTAAATTTCAAACGTCCATCTAAGATCCGAATACTACAACTACCGCAATCCCCTCCTATCCTCCAACTCCACCTCGTTCTCATCATTCCCACTGCCCTCCTCACCATCGTCACGATCCTCTCCCGCCATCCTCCCCAAATCCCTATTCAGTGACGGACTAACCAGCCTAACCTCCCCCTCCTCCCTCACCCCAGTCCACCTCGCAACCCCACTTCTGACCAACATCTTCCTCCCCCAAGCAGCCAACCGTTCCATCCTCTCATCCTCGCCGATCCCGGCTCCACCTCCGCCATGACTACTTCCACCACCACCAGCATGACCCCGACCCCCGCCCGCCTCGACTTTAAGCTGGTATTTCAGACAATCCTTGACGGTGACCAGGCCCGTTAGCCGTCCGCGGTATTCAATGAGAATCACCCTCGGCCCCATCTTCTTGAATAGCTCCATGACCGTCTCGAGTGGGAGACGAGGGTGCACAGCGAGTGGTGTTGGGTCGAAGAAGCGTGAGAAATCAACCTTGTTTGCCGAGCCCATGGTGGATTCGGTCGTGAAATTGCATTGGGTCGATGCCTTTGCGCCGTCTTTGCGCGCCCGGTCGATCGCATATCGCAATTCTGTGCGCCCAATGTAGCCCAGTAAGGTCTTGTTCGAGAGGTTTTCCACAATGGGGTAGCCCTGGTAGAGCTTCTCGTTCATGAGGCGCTCGAGTTGTCGTAGTTCCATGCCTGTGGCTGGTAGACAGACGACTTTGCCTGCCATGACTTTGCTCACTGGCACACCGAATGAATGCTCTTCTTTGCCATCCAGGAAAGGGTAGCCGTTGAGTCCAATCATGCGGTCTGCAATACCGCCATGGCCCAGACGTTCCGACACCGCTTTGGTAACACCGACGACGATCATGGTGGGAAGAATATACGTCAGGGCACCGGTAATTTCAAACATGATGACCACCACGCTAACGGTGATGTGCATGATCCCACTCAGCGCCGCCGCAGCACCCAGAAAAGCGTAGGTACCGGGGGTGATACATGGACCGTCTGGGGCACAGGCACTGAAGAGCGGAGAAGATGGATAGGATTCATGGAGGGCTTGGACTGTGATTCCCAGCGCGCGACCAAACGCGGCACCAACGGCCATGCTGGGGACGAAGATGCCGGCGGGGACTTTACATCCAAAGGATATGATGACGAGGAGGGTACGTATGATTACCGCAATGATCAAGGCGAAAACCATTCCCCAGCGAGTATCCTTGTTACAGAGATTATCGTAGCCTTTGCCGCCGTCACATTCTTGGAAGAGGACTTCCATGCTCTCAGTCATGTCGATGCGAAGGAACTTGTTTGGGTAGCAGATGACCGCCGTGAGGGTGGCGAGGACGACCGCTTCGGTGACGGGCCAGGCGGACAAGTACTTTTTGCGAAAGACTTGCATGCGTAGATTCCAGTGCATGACAAAGGCGCCATAGAGACCGCCGAAGACACCAATGAGAAGGTAGAAGAGAATTTCAAAAAAGTGCCAGGAACGATCATAGTGCACTTGAAACATGACCAGTTGACCGGTGCGAAAGGGGTTCATCGCCTAGGTGGAACGTGTTAGCACATGTTCTTTCTTATGTCTTTGATCCTCGACAATGCGACCATGGGACGTGATTATTGTCAAAGAATAAGACGTCGAAGATAGCATGTGGAGACTTACGGCAAGGACAGCCGTGCCAACCAACGCACAAAAATAACTTCTCCAGAGCGTCTTTGCAGGAAACGTATTACTCATTTCCTCCAAACTGAACAACACACCTCCAATCGGACTTCCAAATGCGACTCCCACTCCAGCTGCCGCACTCGCACTCAGAATCTCTCTCGTCTTGGCCGCATTGCGCCTGTATTTGTCGAAGAACCGCGAAATCACATTTCCGGTGCAAACCGCATAATGCACACTTGGGCCCTCTTTGCCTACACTCAATCCACTTGCAATCGCCAATGGCAGCCCGATGCTCTTGATGAACAGTGTCGTAAAGCCAAGGAACCCTTTCATGACGAATCCCGCAATGATACACTTCATCTCGCTGATGCCACTGCCCGCAGCATAAGGCGCGAAGCTCTTGACCAGCGTCGCCGCCGTCCAGGCAAAAACGCCCGCAAACAAGATATATGCCAGGTAATTGAAGAACCCAAAACTCGACCAGCGCTTCCATTCTGGACACTCACCCTCCGCGCCCCAACAGCAGAATGACTCGTTGAGGTAGAATGCGGTGGTGCAGTGCCCGAGTTTGATGTCGCTGAGCCATTCGGTCGCAATGTTCAAGACTGCGGCGTTCAATCCGATGGCAGCTCCGACGAGTGTGACAACAATCCAGGCTTGGCCTGCATCATACGCTTCTGCAATCTTGCGACGCCATTTCCCGTGGCCGCGGCCAAGGAAGGCTTTAGCGCCTAGATGAGCGTGTAGCGGGTTGGAACGTTCTTTGCGACGGGCTTTGCGGCGCAGAGATTCACGAGCGGCGTCTTGGATCCAATCTATTGTCGTGAAGTCCTCGTAGCGCTTGATCTTCGCTATCTCTTCGACAATGGCATGGTCTGTCGAGGTGGTCTCGGCTGCCTCGGGGTCTGAATCAATGGACTGAGCGTACGAAGACGCGCGACGGCGAAAGGATGAGGCATGGGATGCGCGACGGGTGGGTCTCGCGGGTTGCGAGGAGGATGGGTTGTGTCGTCCAGCTTGGGACGATTGTGAAGGTTCGCGGGCAGGTTGCGGGTGTGAGGATTGACGGGTGCGCGAGTGCGAAGACGAGGTGCGATTCATCGCATAGTTGTATGTCTATTGTGTTCGCACTGTAAGCAGGGGGGTGAATGGCCTCATTGAGGTGGGTCGGAGCTTGAATGGGATAATGGAGTAGGTGGATGAAACCAGGGTCCAACAGCCTCGTCGATCATCTCGGAGGTCCGCTCACTTCGCCGCACAACGATTCAAAAGTACATGTTCATTCATATCTAGCTACAAAATATATCCAAGTCATCGGGTATCATTAAAAAAAAATCCATCATCTATTTATGAGCAGAGCTCTCGGCCTGTCTAAAATTTTCGCATATTGGAGTCCGTTCGTTGGAGCGGTGCCATAGCCAACTCTATTATTGCAGCAGCAGCAGCAGAAGCACCTACTCCATCTCAATAGTACCGGGCGGCTTACTCGTAACTGCGATCCTGTTAGTTAAAAAACGACTTCTCAAGACAGCTGAAAGCTAGCAACTTACTATCATAAACCACCCTGCAGACGCCATCCACTTCATTCACGATCCTCCTGCTGACCCGCTTCAAAAACTCGCCGTCAAACGGATACCAATCCGCAGTCATGAAATCACTCGTTTCCACCGCCCTCAGCGCAATCACCTGATCGTGCACACGCTTGTCACCCATGACGCCCACTGCCTTGACAGGCAAGAGCGCTGCAAACGCCTGGCTGATGCTGCGATACAAACCCGCTTTACGGATCTCTTCGATGAAGATGAAGTCTGCTTCACGCGCAATGCGCACCTGTTCGCGTGTGACTTCGCCGAGGATGCGAATGGCGATGCCTGGGCCGGGAAAGGGGTGGCGCCACACGAGATCCTCTGGGATACCAAGTTCCACGCCCAATTCTCGAACTTCGTCTTTGAAGAGTTCGCGGAGGGGTTCAATAAGCTTGAGATTCATGTTTGCGGGTAAACCGCCGACATTGTGGTGGGTTTTGATGGTTTGGGAGGGGCCCTTGAAGGAGAGGGATTCGATGACATCGGGGTAGAGGGTGCCCTGGAGCAGCCATTCGATTTCACCAGCCTTGGACGAGGAAGCAGCCGCTGCAGCAATCTTCTTGGCTTGCTCTTGGAAGACTTCGATGAAGGTGTTGCCAATGACCTTGCGCTTTTGCTCGGGGTTGTCGGTAATGCCGGCGAGGCGGTCGAGGAAAAGATCCGAAGCGTCGATGACGGTGAGATTGATGCCTAGGCCTTCGTCGAGTGTCTTCTTGACTTGGACGGCTTCATTGAGACGAAGAACACCGTTGTCTACCATGACGGCATGGAAGCGATCGCCAATGGCCTCCTTCATCAGTTTGGCGGCAACAGTAGAATCAACACCGCCGCTGACTGCGCCAATGACCTGGCCCTTATCTCCGACCAACTTCCTGATGCGCGCAATCTCCTGGTCAACGAACTTGCCCATGGTCCAGTCGGTGGTCGCCTGGCAGATATCGACGGCGAAGTTCTTGAGGATGATCTTTCCATTTCGTGTGTGTGTGACCTCCGGGTGGAACTGGATGCCGTAGTACTTGTTCGTCTTGTGCGCGATGCCCGCATACGGCGCATTTGTCGTCGTCGCAATCGTCGTGAAGTCCTCTGGCATCTTGCTCAATTTGTCACCGTGACTCATCCACACTTCCATATCCTTTCCGACGTCCTTGAACAGCTGGTCCATGTGTCCGCCGTGGCTCTCAACCTTCAGGTTTGCGTGACCGTACTCGCGCTTCTCGCCCGCAGCTACACCGGCATTCTTTCCAAAGTGCCAGGCCATCTCCTGAAGACCGTAGCATATGCCTAGAATCGGTACGCCGAGATCAAAGACGGCGTGGTCGACGTGTGGCGCATCTTTCTCGTAGACTGAGTAGGGGCCACCCGAGAGAATGATGCCCTTGGGTGTGAAGGGCAGCTCAGCAATCTTTGTCGTACATGGCAACATTTCCGAGTAGACGTTGAGTTCGCGCAGCCGACGAGTGATCAAATGCGTGTACTGGGAGCCGAAGTCGAGGACGAGGATGGTGTCGAACGTCTTGTGAGGAGGAATTGGGTCAGAGCCATCAGTCGCCATGATGAGAGATAATATCGCGCTGGTGAGTGCAATTGATTTTGGTAGCAGAAGGAAATGTGTGAAAAGAAAAAGAAAAAGAAAAAGAAAGGCCGTCTAGTTATCGAGGAAAGTTGGGGTGGGGGGGGGTGCACGAAGTAAGTACGCGAGGAGGGGTACGATTGAGTCGCAGAAATTTGGGTGGGGGATGCTTGACATTTTTTCTTTATCGATAGCGGCAGGCGCGACCGCGTTCTAACTAAGTTGTGTAGTCCAACAGTGAATACTATCATTTTGCGACTCAACACCAATAAATACCATAGACACACACAATGGCAAAAAGAAAGTCAAAACACGACCCCGAAGACCTCCCCGATGCATCTGATGCCGGGAAAAACAACCATGCCGACGACTCTGGCAGCGACGAGGTATGCGCCTACACCACTACCAGCACCTGCAGCGTAGAAGCAACATCTCCACGAGCCTCCAGCTAACAACAGAATGAAATAATAGGACATGGACATGGTCAACGTCGACTTTGAATGGTTCGACCCTCAACCCGCCGTAGACTTCCACGGCATAAAAACGCTCCTCCGCCAACTCCTAGACATCGACTCGCAACTCTTCAACCTCTCTGAACTCACCGACCTCATACTCGCCCAACCACTACTGGGCAGCACCGTCAAAGTCGACGGCAATGAAACCGACCCCTACGCCTTCCTCACCGTCCTCAATTTAACCACACACAAGGTACTTTCCATCCCGCCCCTCCAACAACAACCCACGCACAACTCTAACACCCACAGGACAAACAAGTCATCAAAGACCTAACCGCCTACCTGGCCCGTAAATCCAACCCCTCGCTCCCCGACCTCGCCCCGCTCCTCGCCTCCGCAAGCGCTCAAATCGGCCTCATCCTAACCGAGCGCTTCATCAACATGCCCCATGAAATCGTGCCCCCAATGTATACGATGCTGCTCGAGGAAATCCAATGGGCGCTGCAGGAAAAAGAACCCTATGCTTTCACCCACTACCTCGTGCTGAGTAAATGCTACACCGAGGTCGCCAGCACGCTCACCACGCCCTCTGCGTCCACGGCGGGCGGCGCCGGCGCGGCCAACCCGAGCAAGAAGTCGCGCAAGGATCGGTCGGAGGCGACGTTTTACTTTCACCCAGAGGATGAGGTGTGGCATAAGTATGCGCTGGGGTGGGGGGACTACGAGTATGATACCCCGGTGGACGAGGGTGCGAGTGATAGTAAGCGCGCGTTTTCCGAGTTGGGGGTCAGGCCGAGGGGGCATTTGGTATTGGTGGAGGCCGGGCGGTTTGAGGAGGGGGTGAAGGGTGTGCAGGGATTTTTGGGAGGACAGCAGTAGAGAAGAAGTGAGGTGGGGGGAAGGGGTAGGGAGCTAATGATGTGATGGGGTTGGCTTTGAATGAAATCAAGTGATGAGGTTGGCTGAATGGACTAGATTGATGAAATGAATGAATAGGGAGAGAAATTGATGATGACAGTCTAAGTGGTGTTACATTTTGCCGGCACAGGCATTTCGCATACGCACATACATACACCCACGAATCCAAGTCAATCGCTCCCTCTCGCACTCTTCACTCACCTCATCTCATCTCAACACAAGTCAAAAACAGCCAAAGGCCCACAACAAGCCTCGAGGCAAAGCCAGTATAGCCACAAAAGAAAAAAATTGGTAATGCTCGCTTTCTCCTATTGACACAGTTGGCACATTTCCGTTGCCTCGTCTACTTCCCCTCTTACATCTCTATCCTCCTCTCTCCTCTCCTTCCAAGGCCGCAAACAAATACAGCTTAACCGATGACGACCTTGCCCTCCTCGGGGAAATCGTACGAGGGAATTTCCAGGTTGAGCGGCGCAGGCCCCTTTCTTATGCGGCCGGAGATGTCGTAGTGGGATCCGTGGCAGGGGCAGAACCAGCCGCCGAAGTCGCCGGCTTCGCCAATGGGGACACAACCCAGGTGGGTGCAGACGCCTGTTGAAGTGTTAGCTGTTTTCCTTGTTGCTGGCCTGTGGCGGTGTATCGCGATGTAGTTTGGTGGCTGGTGTGGCAGGATGGATAGTTTGGGGGGAGGCGACTCACCCAACATGATCAGCCACTCGGGAGACTTGACACGGTCGGAGTCGGGCTGGGGATCACGCAGCGACTGCCACTTGGTGTCCTCTGCCTCTTTGATTTCGCTTTCGGTGCGGTGGCGGATGAAGACGGGCTTGCCTCGCCATTTGATGATGACCTAGAGTGTACGTTAGCTCTTTGATTCTTTTGGGTCAGGCAAAGCCATTGTCTGCAGCCATATGTCGGGGACGTACGTTCTTGCCCTCGGGAATGGCAGCGAGGTCGATTTCGACCTTGGCTTGGGCCAAAACATCGGCGGAAGCAGACATGTTGACGAGGAAATCTATGGGCGCAGTGTGGTCAGCCGCTTTGGTTCTTCGTCATCTCATCACCCCATCCCCCCCAATCCATCTCCAAAACAGCCAATTGCGCTTCCCTAGCTTCCTCTATCCTCCCTTCACCCATGCCAAGCAGTCACATCCTTTCCTCTCAACTATCGCAAGGGAGAAGGCCTATAGCAAGGACAACCTACCTTGCACAGTCGCCTTTGCACCAAGCGAAGCCAGCGCACCCATGGTGCCCACCATGAAGTACTGGAACACCTTGGGCCCTGTCTCGCCCCCCTTATTCCTGTACGCGGCGAACGAGGGAATCTTTGTCGAATCCGGGCTCTGGCTCTTGAAGGGGCTGTCGAAGCTCGAAGCCGAGGCGGCGCGGGTCTGGATGGCGGTGCAGCCGGCCCGCGCAACAGGCAATTGGTGCGCAGTCCATGAGCGTGCGATTGCACGGGTGCTGGTGGCGAGGACGGGCATCGTGAAGCGTTGTGTGCGAGCAGTGCGTGCGGGTGGTGGGGGGGGGGGGGGTTGGGTGACGGCGGTGGGATGGAGGGTTCTCTGCTGTGACGGGTGACGGGACGGGGCTTGGAGGGAGGTTGCCGATGTTGAAGTTTTGGCACGGGCGGCGGAATTGGCATTGGGTTGATTATGAGGCAGCTGATTGGTTGGGAGGGGGGCTGGGTTTGTGCGAAGCGTCATCGGAACCGACTCGAGACAGCGCAACAACAACTTCATCATCATCAAATATCCAACGCGGTATAGATAGAACTGCACGATATTGGTTATTTGCAGTACCACCTAGTGATCTTGGGCTGTATGTCCATTGGACGATGTTGGCGATACCCCCACATTCTTGTCTTGCGCTCCAAGTTACAACCGACACCAAATCATCACTCCCACCCATCTCTCCATCTTTCCATGCATCAAGCCATCAGCATCGCGGTGAATTCAAACAGCGAAGTGATTCTATACATGCGTGATTTCCTCTTGTGTCTTGTGAGGCAGGTGCGGCTGACCCCCACGGCTTAACCACAAGCCTCACCCTCACCTCCCCCACCACATGGTTAGCACAACGGCGACACTTTGCATTTCCCACGTTGACGCATCAATTCAGCTATTGAGAACGCTCACCGCTCACCACTGATCATTCCCCACATAACATGTCTGTTTCTAGCCCGCTTCAAACATCGTCTTCATCTCCGGCCCATAACAACCTCGATAACAGCCTCGATAACTACAGAAGCATGGCTACAGACACGACGACAGCCAGCACTTCACATGAGCCTACCATGATGACGCCTGCCACCACCTCATCCTCTATTCCAGGACCTGCCAACTCTCAAGCCTCTCTCATCGCACTGGGCGCCTCACCACCAGTACCACCAAGTACATCTCAGCAGCCCAGAGCTGGAGTGTCCACTACTACACCACTCACCGAACCAACACTATCGCCCTCCCTCTCCATCTCCTTCAAAACTTGGAAACCTCCCCGCCTCGACTCCACCAGGTTCGAGAAAGGCTGGCTTGACCACAAGTTTCAGGCCATGGAAAGTACACGCAGTCGCCCCATAGGCCGCAATATTCGGCTCGAGTACCATTCTGGCGACATATTTGCTGCTCCTCCGCGTACTTTACTCATCCACGCTTGCAACGCATTGGGCAAATGGGGCGCAGGCATCGCTGTGGAATTCAAGCGACGGTATCCTCGCGCATTCGCCATCTACAATCGGTATTGCACTTTGACGTGGAATCCCAAGGCTAAACATGTGCCATCTGGTTCTGCATTACTTATCCCTCCTGTGGACAGTCAGGGCCATTGGATCGGCTGCCTTTTCACTAGTAAGTGTGTTGGAAAGAAGAAGGATCGAGAAGATGAGATCGTTTCCAACACCGTTTCTGCTGTACAGGATTTGCTGCAACTGGTCGAAAATGTAGATGGTGAAGCGGAGCATGGGCAAGTTACTGAGATTGGTCATCTCAGAATGTGCAAAATCAATAGTGGCAAGTTTGGTGTGGATTGGCAGGCTTCAAGCCACGCAATTGGTCGGACGACATGTCTACCAAACTGGAGAGATTCAATTGAGGTTTGGGTTCGCGAGGGCGAGGAAGACGACCAGCATGATACGACAGTGCATGCAAAAGGCGGAGACACGTGGGTCTATAACAGAAAGTCAGGTTTCCAGACCCTGATCGAAGGGAGACAAGCTGAGGATAGCAATTCGGTCAGCCAGGAGGTTCAGACGGGGAAGAGCCAGCCCATCAACCAGGAAGATCCAAATAGCACGATCAAGCGTGTAGGCTTTAGTGAACAGCGTGGGCCGAACGAGCAGCGTCAGAAGAAGAGGCCACCTATTGACGAAACTAAGCAACTCGACAAGGAGCAGGGCAAACGCCTTTGTTTACGCAAGTCGCTATAGGAGAGCCAGCAGATCGAGAATATCAGGTGAATTCCGAAGACCGAGAAAGAAGGACACAAGAAGAGTTGCACTCATCCAACTCCATATTGCCCAAACATGAATTTTCCAGTACAAGCAGCGAGGAAATGTACACCACCGCTGCAGCACTCCAACTTCATAACCCTTTCTTGTCTGAAAGATTTCAAAATGGCCCAGCGTATAGTAATAGAAGAATATATGGGATTGGGCCAAGTGCGGGTGTGTTCATATCCTTGTATCCTTTGCCTAGCAGACTTGCGACATCACGAGTCGAATGTTTCACCCCCATCAGCTCGCGAAAGAGGATATTGAGAAGAGTGTGTGGGGCGTGATCTGTGGCATTGGGTGCGGGGGTTGGTGGGTGCGAGGTGGGTTTTGAGCTGGAGAGGGGATGGGGGATGGGGGATGGACACTGGATCTAGGTGAATAATTGATTAAAAATCATTCAAGATCAACACATACCGCCTCACCGGGTCTTGACAGTTACACAATATACATCTCGTCTACCTACTCGTCATGTCTAACATGTGGGGATTGCTGTCTCTGGGGATGGGTGTGTATACATCTAGATGGATGAATAGCACACGGCGGGTATACCAAAGGGGTAATCGAATATGGAGAATGAGGAATTGTGGCCTTGGTTTTGTGTTTAGAGGGGTATGAAGGTATATATCGCTACTTTTTCCTCTTCCTATCTTGTATCCCCCATGCTCATGACATGTAATGCAAAATGCCCATGTATCCGTCCAAGTACTCAATGCAACACACCGCCAGCACCAAGACCAAGCCCAAAACTACGGTGAGAACTAACATCAACCCTGGATAGACCATCCAACACAACCCAACCCAACGCATCCACGCAGTCAAACACGACTACTTCACCCCGTTGATCGCTGTAAAACCCGACGTCCTTCTGACATTGTGCGTCTGTGTCTGGGGCTGTTGCGTCGTGGGCTGCACGACATGGTTTTGCTGCGGGGGTCCGCGCATTTCCATTTCGAGTTGCATGGCTGCTGGGTCGTCTTCTGTATCTGTTTCGTCCTGGTCGATTGGGGGGTTTTGGTGGTGGGGTTGGGGTTGGGATTGGGGACGGTGGTGGTCATGGGAGGTGTGGGTGTCAATGTCCATTGCGTCGTCGGATTTATGTCCGTTTGTGAGTGCGGCAGATGCAGAGGCAGATGCAGACGTGTGCTGGTCGATTCGTTGTTCGAGCGTTTGATTCTCCCTGCTCGGTAGCACATTTGCATCGTCCTCTCCCTCTCCATTTTCTGCCTCCGCGAGCCCCGCACCCCTTTTCCCAGCCCGGTTGCTGCCTCCATCTGCACGGCCTTTGCGCGCTGCGTCGCCGCCGCGCTTCACGGCGCCCCAGGTTGTCGTCTTGGGCACGACGTCGACGAGGAACTCGAGGTTATCTGTTTTGCTGACTGCGCTGCTAACGTCGCGGTACTGGATGTTTCGACGGGGTTTGCGCTCTGCTTTGACGACGTTGTGGGTGGTGGTTGCGAGGTGTTGGATGAACATTTCGGTGGCTAGGGCAATGGCGAAGGAGGCGTTTTTGGAGACGGTGAGGTGGGCGGGGTCGGCGGTGATGATTTTTTGGACGCGGGCGACTGTGAGGCGGGGGTTAGTAGGGGGTTGGAGAGGGTGGTGCTGGGAGAAGGGGTGGTTGAGGCTCATGGAGAGCATGCATGTGACTTGGAAATGGCAGGACAAGCAGAAAGATGGAGGCTTACGTGGAAGAGAGACATGGCCGGTAATCTCTTTGGCCGGTGCTATTGGCGTGTTGTTGTAGGGCATCTTTTTCAGTGGGACACTGTTCGGGATAGCGACACGGTGAGGTTGTGAGTTTGGTGTGGAGATGGGGTGCGGGCGCGTGTTGTTGGAGGTTCGTTGAGGGTACGCGTTGTAGGCAAGTTTAGCCGAGGCTGCCATACATTCACTTGACGATATACAGTCCACCACACCACACCCTCATGGTGAAAGGCGACCAGACCAGAGCCCGAGTCAGCCAGCAGCGTCATTTGTGTATATGAAAATGCTAGTGGAACCAATACACGATAAAAGGTCATGTACTTTTTGAACATCCAGTCTCTGACCCATTCCCACCTGGAAATGGCATTCAACCTCACGGTTCACCCGTTCGAGACCTGCCTTCCGCACACACAGGCCACGGTGCCACAGGATATCCGCAAACAAAACACCATCCAGGACCGTTCAGGGCTGTTCAGCCTTGCGCCCTAGAAGCCTCGTTCCTGAAGTTTGGCGCACTCTTCCCCACCATGATCTCATCGCGCTCCAAGCACAAACGTGACGTCACCACGAGCTATTTGTCTGTGCGCACAGTATGTGAAAACCTCCATAAAAGAGGGAAGGACAGTACTTACAAGGAGAGTATCAATTATCAAACTCCCTTCATCTCTCTTGTACATTCCCAATACCTCTCTCAAGTCCAACCAACCAATCCACTTCCATCATCATGTCTGGAAACTCCAACGTCGGCAACTCTGCTGTCTACCAGAACGATGACCAGCGCACCGTGCCTGACTCTCAGATTGAGCAGGAGAAGAAGGAGAACAGATTCCACGAGGGCAAGGAGAACTCACACAAGGCCACTGATTCCAGTAAGTATGCCCACCTATCCCGCAGCTCATGTCATCACCAACTTGACTACTCTTCTGGACAACATCTAACAACCAACAGAGGACGAGCGATCAATCGCCAACAAGCTCGAGCGTGAGAAGAAGCGCGAAAACGAGGAGGAGGACAAAGACATCGAGACGGTCCGTCGTGAAAAGGACGCCACTCTGCCAGCCCGCGCTCACGGCAACGAGCCATCCAAAGGCGCAAAGATTGACCAAGAGCTGAGGGAAGAGGAGGAGGCCGAGCTCAAGAGGAAGGGCAAGGCTTAGATGCCTCTGACCTGCTGCCAGGAAGATGCTATACCCCGCACCAAAAGTATCGAGTGCTTGGAGACCCAATTGAACGGAGGTACGATTATGGGCGATAGAAAATCAGAGCAAGCGAGCCGCATGGTTAGGAATGATACGAAGACATGATCCCAAGTCCTTATTCCTTTAGTCGTTCTACTTCGACGATGTATGCAAGTGATTTGTGTGTGATGAAGCTTTCGGCAATGACATAACTGCACCCCCACATTCCCATCCTCAACCCTCCCCCTCCATGCAGTGCGCCTGACTCGCGTACCTCGGAATTCCATCCACAACCCTCCACCAACCAGCAGCTATGGGCCGCCCACCTTTTTACAAACTCCGTTATCTTTTTCATAAGAAGCCAATTGCCCCCTGTGAATAGCAGATCCTGAGGGTACATGCCTCTCCTGCGTCCCTCGCATTTCTTCCGCACTGCTGTCACTCTAGCTGGAGCTCCTATCCGACCCCGCATCACACCATCATTCTCACTCTTGCACAGCCTACTTAGTGCAAACATGTCAAGCAAGCAAGCAGAACGCCTAAAGGGCAAGACAGTGCTCATCACCGGCGCCTCATCAGGCATTGGGAAGGCCACTGCAATTGAGTTTGCTCGTACCCAACCCGATGACCTGAAACTCATCCTCACGGCGCGGCGAGAAGATGCGCTCAAAGAGTTGGCCAAAGAAATCGAGGGTTTCGCAAAAGGCGTCAAAGTATTCCCTGTAAAGTTGGACGTCAGCAAACCAGAGGAAGTCGATGCGTTCGTTGGCAAACTGCCCCAGGAATTCAAAGACATACACATCCTCGTCAACAATGCGTATGCTCTCCCTGTCCCATCCTCCCACATCCTCAACCGGTCCTAGGAAGTATGCAAGCAATGCTAACCCAACCATGATCAAAACAACAGCGGCCTGGTCAAAGGTGTAGCCCAAGCACCCTCCATCTCCCAAGCCGATATCAACACAATGTTCTCCACCAACGTAACCGGCCTCATCGGCATGACCCAAGCCATCCTCCCGATATTCCAATCACGCTCCCCGCCCTCAGGAGACATTATCAACATTGGCTCGATTGCAGGTCGCGAACCCTACGCCTCGGGTTCCATCTACTGCGCCACCAAAGCCGCCGTCCGCAGCTTCACCGACGCCCTGCGCAAGGAGCTCATCGCCACCCGCATCCGCGTCATTGAGATTGACCCTGGCCAGGTGGAGACGGAGTTTAGTGTGGTGCGGTTCGGAGGTGACCGCGAGAAGGCGAAGAAGGTGTATGAGGGGGTCGAGCCGTTGACGGGCGAGGATATCGCCGAGGTGGTGGTTTTTGCGGCCGCAAGGAGGGAGAATGTGGTGATTGCTGATACTTTGGTGTTTCCGAGTCATCAGGTGAGTGTGATTTTTTTTTGGCGGGATTATTCTACTCTCCCCATGGGTTTGGCCCCGCATGTGTGGTCAGTTGTGCTTGTGTATGCTAATTTTGGTCATAGGCTGCTGCAGGCGTCATGCATAGAAAGACGACGAGTTGAGCGCTCACGATGTGTACATGTGAATGATGGATTTTTTTTGCGCAATACAATGTATCAATCAATATACGAAGAATCTGACATTTCGCCCACGTGCCCAGAAAGCTCTCTAGACTTTCATACACAAGACTTCTCTACCCCTTGACACATGTCACTTCTCCACCCATTCATGTCCCATACCCCCCAAATTCTTCAATCACAGAACCTCCCTCTACTTTATAATCCCCTCGTCCCTATCCCCCAGTCGCATCTCACCATTGACCAATCGCCTGACACCAACTCCCTGGCAATAGACTTCTACACCAGACCCAACTACTAACGTCCTCGCCACCAAAAGCCATGCGAGAGTCGTGGTAGACGGTTACTCGGCTATCAGTGCATCCAGAGGCATTGTTGTTTCAAGTGGATTTGAATGTTGCATTTGGCCGTCACAACAGATGTTGAATATGCTATAGCTGTCTATGTGGGGATGGATTGGACGGTAGAGTGGTGCAGTGTGGAAATGGAGATGGGCATGTTGATGTAGAGTCTGGGGATTGGATTGTTTTGCGGGCGAGGCCACGGGTTAATTGTGTTGTGGGGTTTATTGGGTCTACCGAGTCCTCAGTCCATCAAGCCCACCAAGTCCACCAAAACAAACCCCCAGCCCATCCAACCTCACTCAACCGTCCCCACACCTTCGCCATCTCCAAACCGATCACCGCCCAAACCACACACCTCCGCAGACCAGTGCCACTCCAACAGCGGTGAAGTGAAAGACACGCTCACGTGCTGGGATGTCGCCCAAGCAGCGGTGATTGCCGGGTGTGTAGAGAGGCGGGAATCGGGACGGAAATTGGGTATATTGTGTGTGTGTTTATTGTTGATGCGGGTTGACAGGGCAGTTTTTCGGGAAGGTGTGGTTGGGGAAGTTGCGGTTGAGGCAGGAGCAGTTAGGGCAGGTGCGGTTATGGCAAGTGTGGTTGAGGCAGGAGCAGCTGATGACGCGCTAGACTCATAAGGCAGGAACGACCTTGAGACAATAACAAAAATAGCCGTGGTCTACCGCCTAGCTTCGGCATTTCTTTCGTTTGTGTATATTCGAGTAGAAGGGGGGTTTGGGGTGGACAGGGGTCTGGATACCATTGTCTCCATTGTCAGTGCTGGATATCACAATTCTACAATAAATCAGCGGGACAGAGGCAATGCAAGAGCGTTTGCCCAGTCTGTGAGTCTTGCACTGGGGAGGTTCGAAACGACGCCAGATGCGGTGTTGCTGGTTCACTGGTCACTGTCTCGGGGCGGTCGAGATCCAAGTCTCGACGCCGCTCGAGTCGACGAGATCGACCATCTGTACTGTTGAAGTTGGGATTTTATGCTTGATATCTAGCTTCTGCAATGGAATGAAAGATAAAATCACATTCTACTCTCGCATAGCACACTAGCAAGACCCGCCTGACTAAACACCGTGAGAGTGAAAGGTGCCACACCAGCCCCCCTCCACCCTCCGTTTGCTTTCCCAGCGCTGTGTAGTAACAATGCCTTCTCGCCTTCACCACACCGCTGAGTGTTTAGCTTGTTTCCCAACCTCGTTGTTTTGCTAGAGTAGAGGGTCGTGCTTGTAGGCTGCAGTTGACACGGGCCAGATTTCGTTTGTCGTGTGGTCCCAAGGGCTCTGCAGTAGAGGTATATAACGCTGTCCGTACCCACGAGCTCTTCTTGTCTTTGCTTTTGAACTCATTCAACTCACGGTTTTGATTCTACTCTTCCTACTTGCTGTCTACGAATCTTCCACCTTGAGTTACTTTTATCTCTTGTTTACTTGGGCTTGCAACGCTGTCACCTTGCAACGGCTTTGCCTCTCAACACTTTGACTTCTCAACGATCTTAACTCACGACACTTCCATCTCACAACATCTTCATCTCACACCATCTTCATCTCACAACATCTCCATCTCACATCACCTTTCCAACATGCCGTCCAACACTCTCTACCGCCCCACCTCCTCTTGCGACTGGGCTGCTGACGACGACGACGACTTCGACTTTGAAGCCTGGAAAGCCAACGCTGACGCCTCTGCGCCCTCAATCTCTGAACTGGGGCCTCTACAACCCATCGTCGGCAAGTCACAAGAGGACGAGGCCACCTTGACCACACAATACCCCACCAGCCTTTCATCCTCACCGTCGATAGATTCCAACACATCTGACATCGACATCAACACATCCGACACCGACACCAACACATCCAACACGGACTCCAACACATCCGACACCAACTCCAACTCATCCGACACCGACTCCTACACGTCCGACACCATCTCCAACACATCCAACACTGACACCACCGCACTAATCTCTGACATCTCCTCCACCGTCAACGACATCATCGCATCCCAGGTCCGCTATGCTCAAGAAGACCTCGTATGTCACGCACTGGGAAAAGTCCCCGGACTACCAGCCTACCCCGAAATGAGCTATTACGTGTACCCGAACCTCCAGCCGAAGCATCGCACAAACTACGCTTCCAATTGGCAGCGCTTCAAGGCTGACAATGGATTCGATTGTCGACGCACTGTCGTCTTTCGTTGGTCTCGGCTGCGAATCGTTACGGATGTGGATGGGGATGAGAATGCCATTCTGCCTTACGTTGATGAGGCTGAGGAAGTCGTTCAGCCATATGTCAATACGGTCGAGGCTGCGTTCAAGCCATATGTGGATGAGCCCGAGGAAGTCATTCAACCGTTTGTGGATGAGCCCGAGACTACTTTTACGCCATTCGTAGACGATGTCGAAGCTACTTTTAAGCCATATGTGGATGAGGCTGAGGACGTTATCCAACCATGCATCGATGAAGCTGATGCCAAAGTCCAGCCATACTCCGACGACGACAAGGCTCTCGACGTAACCAGTGAGATGGACATTGACGATGTGCCCTCAACTACGTCTTCTAGCGATGATACCGACGACAGCTGGGAGAACTATCAAGCGTACTCGGACGACAACGACAAGGAGAATGTCCTCCCTACACACAGCTTCCCAGCTAAGCCATTCACGTCGGACGACATGTTTTATGGCTTTTCAGACGATAGCAACAAGGAGAACGTTCCCCCAGAGCTGGAGAGCTATGGGCATAGGACATTTCCGTCGGACAACACCGTTGATGACCTTGCAGACGCTTGGGAGCTATTCTATGAACTTCAGGAGTGTATACCTGAGCCATTGTCTATTGATGACATTGTCGATGGCGTCACCACTGAGATTCTTGTAGACGAGATTGCAGACGAGACAGATGATATGGAGTTTGCCTTTGATCTCGTATTTGAGTACGATGTGTCAACTCCTGATTCCGATGAAGATTATGACACAACAGAGTCATCGGATGCCGAGTCTCTGAGCGACCAGCAACCTCCAGCGCATCATCCTGAAGTTGCTTACGCGCGCCGTAACCTCTCCAATCCCCACAATGCGATGGACGCCCTCGCAGCCTTCCGCAACCAATTCGCCAACACCGAAGCCATGGTGGACGTCTTCGAGGATGATGACTCTTCCATCTTGCTTCCCTCATATTCACAGGCTGACCTCGGACTCGGTCATGGCCTCCTCGACAACCTCGACTTAGACAATTGGCCACTACCCTCCGCATTCAGCGATAGCGACGACGACGACGACGACCTGTCACCACTTCCAGAAGTCGACACCACACCCCTTGCACAACCGAAGCCGACTACTTCCCACAACACTACACCTGAGATCGCCATTGTAGATGATGAGCCACTGGAAGCTAACGATCTCCCCATCTCTCCTACCGCCATGATCCCTACCAACTCTAAATCCCGGATCCCTTTCACCCCTACCGTCGCGGTCCCAGTCACCCCCGCCGTCACATACACTCTCGCCACAAAGTCACAAACACCATCGATTTCCACAGCTGCTACCAATTCACACGGCGCACTCAAGCATTTGCTCAATGGCGCTACGGTCAAGGGCAAACACGACCTTTCCCTCATCCCCGGCAAGATCGCAGGAAGCACTCGAGGAGTCCTTGGACGCATATGGGCCCGCCTGTACAAGTCCTAAATCCATCACCATCACGACATGACAGTCGCGACTACACCAATGGAGACTTTTCCCTTTGTTGGAACAACATTGACATCTACATCTACACCCTCACCACCTTTCTTCTTCCCTCCCACCAGCATGACACAGTTGGTGCACTTCAGCGATTTATATAACAACTAAATCGGACAACGTACATTTTGTACGAGATACCACATTACCATTTCCGTAATGAGAAACTTTTGGGCATTTTCATGGGCATGGTGGGCGTTGTATACCACGTTTTGGGATTTGTATGGTTAGCATTGGGTTTGGAGTTTACATGAGCATTGTTAGCGTTGGGTTTGCATTGGCATGGACACTTACATGAGCGGAGAAAGTCACGGTACAAATCACACAAGCATGATCTTTTCATTCCACGTGATGTTGATCTAACCTCCCACCTCCTCCCCTCCCATCCATCCCATCTATCACGCTTGAAGTTCAACTCTCCCACTTATCCCCTAACCCACCCCCAAATCTATTATACCTCCATCCTTGCTTCCATATTGCGGTACATCCTTACCTCCCCTCCAATCTCAATGCATCTCCCACCCTGCTCCTATACACGCGGCTGTCGTGGCGCTGCAGCCCGGCGTGTGTTAGTGCGAAGAGGATGTAGGTTTCTAGTAGGAGTCCGGCTATGATGAAGGTGAGGAGTCCGGCTATTATGAAGGTGAGGGTGACTGGGTGCATCGTTTGTGTGGGGTGGTGTGTAGATGTCTGTGTGAGGGGAATGTGGTGGGGGTTTAGGTTGGATGGGGAGGGGGTGGGGAGGGTTTTGATACGTTTGGGGGCAGTGGTTAATGAGTATGATGAAGATGTTCGATTTTTCTTTTTGTGGTGCTGTATGGTGAAGATGTTTGGCGTGTTTGAATGAGTGAAGATGGAGATACTAGAATAGACTTGACAGAATGGCCGGACGACTTCACTGTTTTCCCCAAATACCCATTCGAGGACGCTGGTAACGTTACGCGAAATTCACAGTCATATTCTGACTACACCTACACCCTATCCATCAAATCCCAGCCACATCATCAAGGAAAAAACAATTACAATGCCAATGACACCACCAACAAACAACAGGACTCAAATCAACTTGAACCCCCCGGGAACCTGCTTCTGAAATACACCCTCAGGATCGTACTTGCCCGCCACCGCCCTCAACTTGTCCAACTCCTCGCTCCCATATCCGGCAAACGGATCCTGAAACGAGGCGGCGAAATTCAAATACTTGAATCGATGCAACACGCCCTCCTCTCTCGCCGCGTCTTCAAACAGCTTCAAGAAATCCTTGAGCGCTTCCTCAAACCCCGCGTCCGCAGACGCATCTTCAAATGTGAAGATGATCTGTAGAAACAGCAGATCCCGCTCTGGCGTATCCGAGGCCGCAAAGCCAAAGCTGTTGGGCGCGCTTCCGTTTCTGGGGGGCGCGGGAAGGGCCTGGAATGTTAGTTCTGCAACGGGTTTGGCATGGGCGTACAGCTTCGAGACTTCGGGGACGTGTTTCTTCCAGATGTCGTGGATGCGAAGGACGATGGTGGGGGAGATCTTGAACGAGGTTGTGGCCCAGACGGTGCGCTGGGGATTGGCGACGACGTTGCGTGAGGCGTTGCGTGTGTGCTCGCTGATCGGGGCCTCGACCATGCCGTTGAAGATTTGGGGTTGGACGGTGACGACTTGCTGCATTGCGCCGGGTTTTACTTGCGGCTTGGTGTGCCATAGAATACTGATGGGATTGAAGGTTGCGGCGGTGTGGTTGTATCGTACAGTCACCCATCCAGCAACATATGGGTCATATGTCCCGAGCTTCATTTCAGTGTAGGCTGTGAGAAGCGGGACGGTGGCGTTGGGTGCGTATAGCACACGACCACCCCATATCGGCCCAGCAGTGAAAGCTTTGAGATCGAATCGCGTGACGACGCCGAAGTTGTTTTGGCCGCCTTTCAGAGCAGCGAACAGATCGGAGTGAGACGTAGCGTTGGCGTTGACGATTTCACCGCTGGCAAGCACAACTTCAAAATTTACAACTCCATCACAAGCCCACCCTCGTTCTGGACTGAAGAAGGATACTCCGCCTAAAGATATCTTGGTCAGTGGCTGAGACGCGGTACAAAAGGTCACATTACGGACCTCCAGTCAGGAACCCAGGCACTCCAACAACACCGATTCGTCCCCCGAGAACAGTGAGATTCCGTTTGTCGCCCACATCATATACATTCTGCCACAAGGCCCCCGCACCGACTCTGATAACCTCATTGCCTCGCGAAATCTCGACAGCATTCAGGCTTTGCATATCAATAGTGACGCCATTTTGGATATTGTTGAAGCCCACATTAGCATTATGACCACCTCCTTTGATCGCGAATTGAGTTTGATTGCTCTCTTTCAAGATGTTGACAGCAGTAGATACATCGCGCGAAGATGTTGGGCGGACGATACAGGAAGGATGTAAACGAAGTTGAAGAAATGGGTATGATGATATGGTGGCATTGTAGGTTGGTGCCTCTGGGTAAAAAACGCGGTTTGGAAGGGCTGAGACGAGCTCACCACAAGTCGATGTAGTTGGTTTTGCCGATACAAACTTGCATCCGAGCAGAACGCCCATGTAGTACAACTTAGATAAGAGCATCGTGAGCCAGAAGAACTTGAAGCGAGCGATGGTCTTTGGAATATGCTTCGACTTGGCTGCCCATCTTGAATTTATCTCGCATCCTCAGGCTGACCGGACCGGACTGAGGGAGTACTGCACCACCATACTGCTGTGTGTTGCAGCTTTTGGGGTCCAAATACGATCTTCTGTCCTCGTGGCGTTACATACACAAAGCTATAACAAGCCTCGGCCTCAACCGAGACGATGTGATTTGTCAGAACTCACGTTGGCGTATGTACCAAGTAGAAAAAGTGTAAAGCCCTCTGTCTCCACGAGAGCTGGTGGCTGCAGAAAAGACTGCCTGTGGGGAGCCGTATCATCAGGGCGGCCTTACGAAGTCCATTTTGAGGTTGTGTGTGGTCACAGGTGAGGATGCCGAATGCGCCCTGATCTGCTCGTTCCCCGATTCGATAGGCTGAACATAAGTTTGGAAGAGCAATCGCCTATCTTACATACATTGGAGATATCGTGTACGACAAGTAAGCCTTCGTTGTAGTGTGCGACTCAAGCTTTCAGAATCGCATGGCGTGATGTATCGAAAGGAACGATGTTGTGTGTTTGTGTTGCAGTTCTGGTCCCTGCATGATTGAACCTCTCGGCTGACACCTTGCACGTTTTCGTAAGCTCACTCAGCCAGTCTCAGTGGCTTGACAAGCCGTCTTTCAGCAATGAACCCCGAGGACTGCGCAATGCAGTCAGCTCTCAGCCTTATACGAGATGCGTGTGCTGGCCCCATCCCATGTCCTGCTCTTTTATCGTCCTCTGGCATATACTGACGAAGGTACTTGGTGGGCTTGGAACATAGAAGCGAAGCGACCTGCCGTTCTGGATAACCCAAAGTCTCGCCGAGAAGTTGTCTAATAGTTATATCTCGAGGAATTTTCGGTCGTTAGAGGAACAAAGCAAGAACAAGCGTCATGGTCTTGGAATATATGGTGAACAACGCAGGAGGGAAACTATGATTGTGCGTCGCTAGGCGAAGATATCGTATCATCTGTTTCAAAATTGTGCAAATCGCTTGGTAACTTGTTTCGATGTCGAGGGCTACTGTCAGATATTGGTTGCTTAATCGATACTTTATTTAGCCAAACCAAATATTCTTGCGCGACTTGACGTCATGTCTGGCATGCAGAGCCTGTATGTCCTACGAGATTATGGTTGTACAAAAGAGGAGCTCTTTGTCACCCCAAAATAAATGGATACCTCAACTCCGCGCATCTTCAGAGTAGCATTGTAATTCCCGGCAAAACGGGTGCAAACTTGGTCGAACATGGTTGACGGTAAGCTTGTATCACCATGCTTGGATGAACGTATCATGATTCGATCGCAATAAATGCAGTCATACAATCCTACGTTCTGGATGGCAGAATCTAGATCGTGCATATGATCTGACCCTTGAACTGGAAAATGCTGCCGTCAGCCGTCCTCAGGGCAAGGTTGGTGGATGTGGTAGGTAGTTTTGTCTCAAACGATAATGACCGGAATCGAAATAACCAATACGAACTTGAGCATTGTGTTACTGGACTTGTCCTTTTGCATCACTCTTATAACTGACAAGCCTTCTGATTGACAAAGATGCGGAATCCAATGGTTCAATGATGATAGAGGGAGAAAGATGCGCGTTGATAAAATTCTTGAAGTGGACCGAATCAGGGCTGCTGTGCCCTAGGAGAGAATCTGAGAGATGCATTGCCAACTTTGCGAAAATTCCATATCACCTGGATAGGGTACAGAGGAACATGGGATAAGTACCCAGAAGTAAGCAATGCGTCATGGAGGAGTTCCACAGTGGCGGCTCAGGGTTCGTTCGGTGCCAAGGTACGCTAACCATATTTGGTTCTCGTGATGTGAATGCGGGCGATTCCAAGGTTTGTTACTGGGAGCTGATGCAACCGTCGACTCTCCTTGGCCAATACCGTAAAGCAGATTGATTGCGGCTGCGAACTGGCAGTGATAAGCGTGCCACATCATTACGCCAACTCAGTCGAGACTGCGTATTATCCAGTCCCAGCTGAACAAAGATGCAGTCCAGCACCACGGAGTGAACGTTGCCATCGTGCTATCTCCAGTCTTGGCTGAGCCTATGAAGATGCAATTATCCTAGGAATTGGTTTGTTTGTTTGTTCAGTTGTACCAAACTCTTCCATGTCACGGACAAGCCGAAAGAAGATTTCGTTCACATGCACAAAGGGTGGTGGATTGAGGGACAAGGTAGTTGGACATGTCGTCATGATGCAACACAGACCAATCATTCTTCAACCTGCCGTCTTGGATCTGAGCCGTTAAGCGTACGGGGATTAGAGCCACTGGACTAAATCTCCATCTATCTCGCGTAGATCCGTCTTTGAATAGTGTGGGCGTTACAAGATGGGATGTCTTCCCCGCTATATATCGCCTTTGTCCCACTGTGCCGGTTCAAAAAGACGACGACTGCAGCACAACCCTTCCCATCTCTAACGTGCAATCACCTGGCCGATTTTATATCAAGCCTGCTCTCGGCTTGAACTAGCCTTCTGCCCTTACTATGGATGCTCATTCCAGCGAGGACAAGTCGTCGGCCCCCCCTCCGTACGAGCAGGGACTTGATAAGAAACGCTCCAGTGCCCAGATACCTGTCTATAACAACGTGGAATTAGTCGACGAGACCGATCTATCCTTTGCAGCAATCCTCAAGGGAACTGCCGCGAATCCACTCAACACATTTGAAAAGAAGGCTGCGCTGATCAATGTTGAAATCGATAAATTTGGATTGGGAAGATATCAAATATGCATATGGTTCCTCTGCGGTTTCGGTTACTTTCTCGATCTCGCATGGTCGCAAGGTGTAGGACTTATTTCTTCCGCGATCTACCAGGAGATGGGTGTCGCGGACGACGATACTGGAACAATTTTTGCTATCGCTAACGCTGGTCTTGCGATTGGTGCTCTTACCTTCGGTTTGATGGTCGACGTCATCGGCAGGAAGTTGGCTTTCAACTTGACTTGTCTGATCACTTCAGTATTTGGACTCCTTCTCGTAAGTCTTCATTAGCATACCCTGACCTCAAGGCCAACCGACGTTAGGCTGCCCCAAAATACGATTATGCTGCTATATGCGGTATTTACTTCCTTGCCTCCCTTGGCTTAGGAGGCAATATCCCCATTGACGCCACGATTGCCCTTGAGTTTCTACCTCAGAACCGCAGGTTCTTGGTAGCCCTTCTGTCCATGTGGCAGCCTGTTGGTGTTGCGGTAGCATCTGCAATATCTTACGGTACGGCTGCCCGGTGGCGATGCGACCCTACTTTGAAGTCCTGCAGAGCCGTCACCGATGGAGAGCCATGCTGCACAGTGTCTAGCAATATGGGATGGCGCTATAATGTCATCGTACTTGGCTGCATGACATTGACTGTTTTCTTCCTCCGATACTTCGTCTTCACCTTCCACGAGTCCCCTAAATTCCTTCTCAGTCGCGGCAGGGAAGCAGAAGCTATTGAGGTCTTGCACAAGATTGCAAAGTTCAACAGAGTCGCCCTGCCTACACTTACCATGGAGATGTTTGCTGCGATTGACGAAGCAGATTCTCAACGTTCGGGGAGTGGAATGATCGCACCAGATATTCCACAAAGCACCACTGCAACCACGAAAAAGGTGCTTAGTGGGTTCGGCAAAGAAGTGAGGCGATTGAAGGGCATCTTCACAAATAAGCTCTCCTGTTTCATCTTCATCTTGCTCGCGATAGCTTACATGGGCGATTACTGGTCCTTCAATCTTGCCGGTTCCTTCCTACCAATCATTCTGTTGCGCAACAACGTCGACAACGGTCGTGGTTCTGTATCAGACACTTACTTGCAGTACATCATCATCTATACTCCCGGAATAATCGGTGCAGTCTTGGCATTGATCTCCGTGCAGATGCCTTTGCTTGGACGGAAGTGGTCGCTTGTCTTCTCGGCTGTCTGTCAGGGTCTTTCCATGGCGATGTACACACAGGTAGACAGCACTGCTGCCTTCGTCGGTCTAAATGCCCTTGAATATATCATGCAAACCGTAAGTGGCTCAATTTCGACCATCATGCGCTCGCACTAACAAAGTACCAGTACTTCAATGCTGTATTATATGCTTCTGCACCAGAGCTCTTCGATACCAGCTATCGTGGCAGCGTCAGCGGTATGCTTTCCTGTACGGGTCGTCTAGCTGGTATTGTAGCACCATATGCCGGTGCGCAATACCTCGCTGCACAGAGTTCTGGCATTCTATGGCTAGGAGCTGGTGGTATTTGGCTTTCAGCGCTGGTCATGGTATTTTTGCCCGTGGAAATGAGGAATCGGCAAATGTTTTAGATGGGTGTAAGACAAACTCTGAGACATAGATAGACCAGATAGAATTACTCACATCTCCATATGAGTATCTTCTCCTCGACAGATACCCTATGTGGACGAGCTGAATGCAAGCTGACACATGCCGGCTTTCCGATCACCACACAGCTTGCCTTTGTTCAATGATCATACGTGGACGATCGCACCAACTATATTTAGATATCGTCTGATTCATACCAATGGAGGAACGCCGCAAAATCTTCACTCGTACTCGTGTCATCACGCTGTGTTACCTAGGTAAGCGTCGTGGCTCCTGCCGCTGAACGAAACACCGTAACGATCTACCTGCAGCTTGTATGACGCTACACGTGGCGAATGAACACATTCACTTGTCAAACAACTTCTCGTACTTTAGAACGCACGGCTCCACGGACGGTCGTGATGAGTTTTTGATTCGGACCTCCCAAACCACAACATTCTTGCCACATAACTAAATGGAAACTACAGGACACACACATGAGTACCCCTCTCTTCGACAGCGCGCAGAAATTTGACGATGCTTGGGAAAAGCAACCTATTGAGTACTGCGGTGAGTAAACAACCAGGCCTGCCCTAGGGAAACGATTTGTCTTGTCATTTTTCAATTACGTTCTTCAGTTACACCATCATTTTCCCGAGAAGTGCATGACAGTACTATATTTACAGTATCGCTGCCCACCATTTCCTCGCTCAGGAACAGTCTGCATTCGATGTTGAGCAAATCGGTCGGTGAACATGACAGCCAATATGCATTGGGTGGTTGACTAGCCTTGGGTAATGTGACGACACCAGTGCTCGCCATTATGAATAGCCCTGGGAATTTGGATGTCAAGGGCTCATCTCAAAGATATGGTCACTCATAGTGCTTGAGTCATGAAAGTTGAAAACTGTGAGTTTGTCGACTGGCTGTTATCAAGCTTGGCTCCCTCACAATATTGTGCTACTAGCTGCGATGCCAGTGAAAATTCGTTCGAATGGTTCTTCGAAAGCCACAAAATATGCACTCTACACTCACCGTTTCGGCATTTTCATCATGCGACTTGTATTACATGTTGAACTACCTGTGATAGGTAAACTTATTATATTTCCACCACAGTCTTACACCCTACCTCTTCTCCATGCGGCGCATAAGCTTCGCTGGTTAGCCGTATGACTCTCAAAACTGTTAACGAGAATTATCTCTTCGGACATCTTCAAATTTCAGCGTTTTGCACATGTCATATCATATGTGTGCGTCAGAGTGATGATTACTCTGTATAACATGTTGATCAACAAGACAATAACATGTTGGAAGCAAAGAACCGCTTCTTTGACGCTCCACAATCACATTCACACCTTCGGAGTGTACGGAGGACAACTGTTACTGCATGATCTGGCATGTTCGTCTTCAGACAACCGCCGCAATCTGGTCCCCGATCTTCGTCTGCATTAGAACTCCCATACAAGTCACATTTTAAGGTCAAGTGGTACGGCTGCAGAAAGAAAAGTGCTCCCTCGTGCCCAAGTCTAGAAGACCAGCCTGGGAATTGACAAAAATGGGAGTGAGAAGCACTAGGAAGTACTGGCATATTCATTCATATTCAAAAGTGATACCTCGAGCATATCCGTTCTCGACCAACTCTGAAAGTGTCACTGTTCCGGCTGAGACATGCAAACGCAGTGCGGTGCAAAGAGCTTGGCTACATGGACTAAGTGAGTGAAAGGCTACCGCAGTCCTCGCCGAAGAGCCCTATTTGAATACTAAATTACATCATAGTTGTTTAGAAAGCTTTCCCTCTTCGCTTTATTTACCCTCGCTCACCTGCAGTTGCTTAACGACTCAACTGGGACTCACCAGAACCGAGCAAACGCATCTACGACTGCTTAGATTCTTTAACGCCACAAATCTTTTCATACTCCCCTCCATTAAACCTAGACAAAATGAAGAACACTGGCGATCGACACCATTTTCAGTTCCTTCTGTCCCGCGACTCACCACCGCCAGCGGCGCATGAGGGCGAAGCTCCTACTCCACCCTCATCGCCCGTGTTGGGGACATTCGCGCCACAGCCTGCGCCCAAAGCATCGCAACGGGCCAGGCCATATGCCCGTACGTTGTCGAGTTCCGCCCGAAAACCGATCCTGGCCCATGAGTCCCGCTGTGCGATCTGCAAACGCAAGATCCCCCGCTACTCGAAGCGCGGCCAAGTGAATCATGTCAACTCTTGCTGGTCCGCGCTAAGAGAAGCTGCGGAGACTGCGAAGACGAAGAGGCTGGCAGAGATGAATGCCATGGAGATTGCCGAGCGTGTGTTGAGTCGGGCGGGAAAGAATCCCAAGGGAGAAATGGGGGCGTTGGTCGAGGAGGTGGACGCCGCCACGGCGGATGCAGATACTGAGGCAGAGAACGAGGATCCGTTGACTGGAGTAGAGATGAACACTCTGCCAGAGGGATGCTCAGATTCTTGCTTGCCACCACCACCCAAGACTGCCCCAACGACATGTATTGTCTGCGGAGTGAAGCTGCCGGACCTTGCTCTCGATGCTCTCCTGCACCAGCGTCACTGCCTAAGAAAGGCATACCCTCCTCAATGCCCAGTCTGCCATATCAAATTTCCTCCTTCTCCAAACACTCCACTATCCACTCACACAGCCTCCTCACCTTCTATTTCTGTGGGATCTGCCAAAAAATGGACGCCAGATACCGTCCTCGAACATCTCCACTATTGTATCCGACGCGTTCCACCCGTCCAATCCGAACACCACGCCGACTTCACCGCAACACTAGCTGTCTGCGATCGCCCTTGGGCACTAGCAACGCGGATTCTCGTCCGAAGCTTCGGACCAAAGAAGAATTGGACCCTCCGTGACCATCGTCGCAGTAACAAGGACAAGCTCTTTGGCAAAGGTCTCGAAGTCGGCAAGGCTTATACGATCGCAGCTACTCCACTGAGGACTTCAACTAGCTTCATTGGCGATGCGTCTCAGAGTGATATGCAAATCACTGTACGCCTGAAGACGTGGTGCTGGACAGGCTTGAGGATTGACGCTTTCAGACGCATAGCTTTTGACAAGTTATTCGAGCGACTGGAGATGCCAATGGGGATGAATTACAACAATTGGATGAAGTTGGAGAATGTATTGACGTTTGTTATAAAGCAGCAGGAGTCACCGAAGTGTGCTTTGTGGGGGAACAAGGCTTCACGTCTTGGACTTTTCTACGGGAATGTGTCTGATGAGGAGCTTCCAGATGCGGGGTTCGAGCCTGGGAAATCTTCGATTATCGCAAGGGCTTTAGAGAGGGAGAAAACTAGAGTATTCGTGGAAAAGAAGGCGAGTGAAAAGACGGAGGAGACGAAGAGTGAGCAGAAAGCTATTCGTCCACCGCCTAGCTTCGAGCACGTCAAGATACCTCCAGCACGAGTGGATGGAACATTCACTGCGCCACACCCATCTCTGTTCAATTTCACCCCCTCCCGTCCCCATATACCCGCAACTATACCACCCCCGACACCCAGCCCCTTCCCTCGTACCCCGACACCACCAGAAATCCAAACCAGGATCGACCCCAGCTCCCTCGAATTCTTCAAGACCTTCCTCCAAACTCTCACACCCGCTTCAACCACCATCCCTCCTCAAACTCGAACCCCAGGCCCCCCAAATCCGCCCACGCCAGTCGACGGAGCACCAGTATCACTCCCCCACACACCAACGCCCGAAGACTTTGTCGCCAATTTCAAAGTCCTCTCCATAAACTCAAGCGCGAACACGGATGTAGCTTGCACGGCTACTGACATCGACCCGAGCCCGCGCACGCGTCTCGATTTTGACTATCCAAATCATCACACACCTCGGTACTCCACGGAATGCACAAAGCTATGCATTTCGGATGCTGCTCATGATCCGTTTGTTAGATTTGCGCGGAGGGTGAGGGGGGGCGATATGGCGGAGGAGGAGAGGGGGAAGCAGGATGCGGAGAGGCATGGGGATGCTGGGGAGGGTGGGGTTAGGCTTGAGGAGTGAGATGGGAGTTTGGGCTATGGTGATGAGGTTTGGTGGTGGGGTGATTGGTGGGGATGAGATTTTGCAAGGAATTCTGCCAGGGTTTGGATGAATTGATTTTTGGCGAGCAGGTACATATGATTGTGGTTGTGGATATTAACGGCTTTTGTTTGATCACACTTCCGCCTGATCATAGAGACAATTCATTCATATACACTGCTCATGATCGAGGTGCGGGATTGAATCCCATGTATCAGCTCTTACTTCCTCCTTCGTCCTCCCATTTCACTACCCTTACCTTCCACATGGCCCGTGATCTTGCGTTCAAAGAGATCGGGATGCAGGGTTCTGCCCGTCTTGTCCCTGAACCTCCAGCTCACTCTATCCCAGACCATACTGCAATCCTGCTGCAAAATGCGAGCCACAAGACGCAAGTCATCTGCTGAAAACGTGTTGTCAGGACTGACTTCAAGCTCAAGCGGAGCCGTGATGAGGTTTTGATTTGCGTTTTTGGGCGAAGTGTGCTTGAGTGGAGTCTGTGGGCTCTTCTGATGATGATGTGAGGAGGATTTGACCTTGGATGCCTTGGAGGGAGCTTTGGAGGCGGATTTAGCTGGAGATGGGTTGTTCCAATTGCCCCCGCATCCGAAGTTGTTGTTATTTTCGCCAGTTGTGGTGGGCCATGCATCCGTAGCAGCAGTATGGGTAGCTAGAGTATCCCACCCGGCGCCGGCGGTATTGCCTTCAGTTGTGTCACATCCTGGCGGTCCAGTGTTTGAAGCAGCAGCAGTACCACTGTTGTCTTGCTTTCCAGTAGCAGCTCCCGCGTCATTTCCGAATGAGTTTAGGTTGTCCCACCCGGTGTCGACTTGACCACCAGTATTGCCGGTATTCCAAGTAGTGTTTCCTCCGGTGTTGTCATTACCACTGCCCGAATTGTTGCCACCATCGCCTCCCCATCCGGTATCAGCATTGTTCTTTTTCGCGTCATTCTGTTTCCCGTTCTTCTGGCCATCTTTCGAGCCCGCATTGTTTTGATTATCGTCCCGCTTGGTTTTCCCACGACCACCTCCCTTCTTCGCCACATTGGGTTTCCAATCCTTGGGTTTGATGTTCTTGAACCGGCCTTTACACTGATCCGCACTCTTACCAACTTCGACAGCGATCGCATCCCAGGCCAAGCTGGCGTTTTCGGTCTTCAATTCCATCAATTTCGCATCCTGTTGCGGCGACCACCCATTGGTCTCAGCTCCCTTGCCTTGATCATTCTTCTCGGATTTTTTGTCATTGCCAGCTCCAGCAAATAAGTCCATCAGGCCACCTCCCGTGTCACTTCCAGGCTGCTCTGTAGCTGCCTTCTTCTTGCTTCTAGGGCCTTTTATCGACTGTTTCTCTGAGGGTACTTTGGCAAGAGTGGCTTCTGTGAGTCGTTGCCTACCTGAGCCTGTGAGCTTGCCTGTGAGCTTGCCTTTTCGACCGTCGCTAGCGGTCCACTCGACGACACCACCAGGCGTAGTGACCTACAATGTATGAATATATAGTGAGCGCAACTGTGACTCGGCACTCACCATGTGAAGTAGCGCATTGGGCTGAGGGGGGCGAGGAGGCGGGGGTGGGTCCTTGAATGGCTTGTTACTGAAACCCAAGATGTAAGCCATGGAGAGCCTCCGTGGAGTTTGATTCGGGTCAGCCATAGTAAAGGTGTGATGGAGATACTCGTGATGCACCTGTGTATCGATGTTGCGATGTGGAGACGGCAGGTGATACCGTGGATGCGGAGTCCTTGAGTGGAGAAATTGATACTTTATTAGCCATGCAGGTACGACTTTTTGGATTCGACACCGAGCAGGTCAGCGGACGACAGCAGCTCTAGTACTGGGTGTCGAATGAGGTGAGAGGGGACCTCGGGGTTGTCTTGGCATTGGCAAACGCCCTGGGCCAGTACTGGAACTTGCAGCATCGAGAAATCGCTGTAGTACATGGAACAAACAGATGATGGATTGATGACCGAAGAAGTAAACAGATCAAGGAGTAGGCAATGACAGAAAAGGCTTTCTAGCTTCCACTATAAGGAGACGCGACTGGTCATCAGTATATCCAGACAAGTCGTCCTACCTTGCCAGTACCTATGAGACAGCGTTTGGATCGACTTTGCGATGACTAAAACGTGAAGAAGGATATCCTTTGGCTGGTACTTAGTCCAATGCTAGCTCCCATAGAGACCCAGCTTACAGCTACGTTTCTCTGGATTGCATCTGCATCGTGTCTTGGTTCACAGGCCATGGCTCATGAGGGAGAGTGGCTGGAGGCATACGGTACCGGTAGACAATGCAACCAAAAAAAAAGCCAGTAAAGACGATGACTACAGGCTATACAGGGTGTTGTATGGGCACATAGATGCACTTGTGGGGAGTAAATATCAATGCTGCTACAGCAGATGGAACATGCAACCTTCTCTTGGAGAGCGAAGTCGTTTGTCTTTGGGGGTCTCCAGACGAAGGCACGGCACGGCCCGACATTCAGCCTAGCGTGTTTGTGTGCCCTTGCATGCCTGTGGTTGATCATTGCGGGCAACAGCTGTCCACTCCGTCTTCTCCGTGAAACTATAGCTTGGCACTCTCTCTCTTCCCCCCCAAAACACCAATCCTCAAACACACGACAAGACAACAGCTGCCAGCATCAGCACCGTCCCGAAGATGATGTTCCCTTCTCTCGCCATATTCGCTGCGGCGAGCAGCCTGCTGTCCTTTGCGACGGCGCATAACATCCAGATGAAGGCCCACCAGCGCGAATGTTTCCACGAAAACTTACACAAGGACGACAAAATGACGGTCTCGTTCCAAGTTGGCGACAGAGAATTCGGGGGTAGCGGAAACCTGGAGATTGACTTTTGGGTACGTCACGGGCGCAAAGCAGAAGATTGGCAAGCAAGATGAGGGAGACTGACTGCAGGTGCAGATCGAGACACCCTCGCACAAGTTTGAAGTACACGAACGCGGTGTACCAGGCGGCGACTACTCCTTCACCGCCAAGGAAGATGGCAAATACATATACTGCTTCAACAATGAACACTGGGGCGCCAATACCAAGGAGATCTCCTTCAACGTGCACGGCATCGTCTACGTCCCCGAGTCAGAAGCGCCCCAAGATCCGCTGGAGAAGGAAGGTAAGATATATGGAATGACGTGGTGGATGGGAGAGCGTTGCATACTAATCACCGCCACAGTCCGCCAATTGTCCGAGCTCGTCTCGCAGGTCAAGGACGAGCAGAGCTACATCATTATGCGCGAGCGAACACATAGGAACACGGCCGAGAGCACCAACTCACGCATCAAGTGGTGGAGTATCTTCCAGCTCATTGTGCTGATTGGTCAGGGTGTTTTCCAAGTCTGGTGGCTAAAGCGGTTCTTCGAGGTCAGAATTGTCTTTTGCACTACATCGTCCAAGCTCCAATGCACTGACTGTATGGCAGGTCAAGCGCGTTGTATAACATCTTCTTCCTGTCATGTTGCTGGCATGCACACGGCTCTCTTTTCTTTCATAGTCAAGCATACTGGCAATTGGCGTTTGAGCGTCTCTAGGAGCGGGTTGGGGGACGAAACGATCAGGCATGGAGGACTGTGTCTCCGTTGGGTCTATTTTGGGTAAGGTTACGTTGCTTGAATCAAATCAACTTACAAAATGGCGAACAGCATCCTTCTCCCCTTCCTGACAGTGGCTACTCATATTAGAAGCAGATTCAGCTTGCTAGATCCTCGGAGCGTCACCCTTGTGTTCAGCCAAACGAGATGAATCCTGGGAAGTGGACCTGAGAGGACCACTCCTGATCAACGGACAGCCATGTGAGGAACCTTCAGAGAAAGTGGCTTCTGGATCCATCTCTCTTGACCAATCTACGGGCTACTTGTGTCTAGCGTCGTGTCTATCAACGAGCATTTTCTCAACTTTTCTCCGTGTCTTCCAAATTGCTTTTACCGTCACTGTGTCATTCCATCTCATTCGAAATCATCTCACCCTTCACTGTCACTTTGGTTGATTCGATGTGTTATCAGACGAGTAGTAGACGCCACACAGGGGTGACAGTGCGTACTATGCATGAGCCTTTCACGGTCTTGCCCTCGCGCCAAGCCTCGTACCTACCTTCACCTCGAAAGCTCGTGCTTTGGACTGCACCCCGTGCCTATATAAACAGTAAACAAGCCCCAACGTCGTCATTGAAGATCAATAACACGCAACCCATTGTTATTGACAGTCATTCTCGACAACAATGGTACCTAATCCAGATCACGACGGGATTCAAATGCGGCCACAGCGTCTGAGCACTCCAACTTCGGATGATGTTGCACTTCAGCAGGATACGCATCAGCGTAGTGCTGAGTTGCCTGATAGTGACGATGATGATGGTGCAGACTTCTCCATGCGCAGAAGGAGTGTCGGCGAGTACATGTTGCCCAATATGCTTGACTTGTCTCTGCGAGTACTGTACCAGCATACATCAGATGGAGGAGTCCCACGACCGCCCACTCCACCATGTCAAGAAGATGAAGAGTGTCGTCCGCGAGACCACGGCAATGATACGTCTCATCCATACGAATCATTGTCAGTGGGAACGCCGCGTCGACCTGGGAATGTCCATCTTCAGCCGAGGTATGCATCAGGCTCTATTCTTGCGCCTAGTGCAACCCAGAATCAAATTGATGATGCTGACCTGTCTGCACGATTACCTTCTGTTGTCGAGCCAGAGTTGCAAAGCGAGACTGGTCCGTCCCAGGCAGTCCAATCACAACCAGATAAATCTCACGAAGCACTTGTCCAGAACCGTTCGACATATGATGTGGTCGGCCGTCCTGACAAGCCAGTTGGGCCCAGGAAAACAAAGCTCAAGGCACACATGTCCATTGAAGAGGAGACTTTGGTCAAGCAAGAAATCTACCGACAGAAGGGCGAACGGAAGAGGCAACAAATCCAAGAGAGGCAAAAGCAGAAAGCGGAAGCCATGGCTGCAGAAGCTCTTTCCGAAGAAGACCGGACCGATGTAGCAGAGTCGACGTCAACGTCAGATGACGAGCAGCAGGAGAATCTTGGGGTGCAGAGTACCTTTGAAGATTGTCCGCTTCCGACACGGACACCTTATCGGTGGGAAGGAGGCGGCATGCTCATGTATTCCTCCAGAGCTGGAACTTCCCTAGGTGGCTACAGATCGCAGGCTCCACTCCAAGACGGCACCGCAGTGTCCTCGTACTACGATACCCAACACGACCACCACTATCCCAGCGCCCACGTCCCCAATACCACCCATCAAAGAACCCCCTACATCTGCGCCTTCCCCCTCTTCACCCCCACTCCCCCTCTGGCACCCACCCACCAGCCTTTGTACGCAAACCCCACCCCCCCACATCACCACCCATACTTCAACCTCGCCGCAGAACCCATCCCAACCGACTACCCAGACTACAAACACGACATCACCCTCTACGCCCTCAATCCCGCACACAACTTCCCCTACGCCCAATCCTTCCTCGACGCCCTCCTCTCCACCACCCTAAAAGCGTATAAATGGCACGCCCACTCCTCGCGCGGCTTCATCCAACACGGCACCCACCTCTCCCTGCTCGTCTTGCACAACGCTGCAAACCCTTTTTCAGACGCCACAGTTTCCCCTTTCTCTTCCCCATTCAGTCCCACAACTCCACCACCAACAACAACAACAACCATAGGCGTCTACGGCCGCTACTGGTACACACACCAGGATATCCACTGGATCACACTCTCGCCATCAATCCCGCACATTCTCCACCTCGCACAATCATCTGGCCTCCTAGCCCACGCACACACTTGGTCGTGTAGCGACACGCACCCCGCCCGCCGCCGGTTTCACCGCGCGTATTGGCTTGCAGCGCGTATGTTGCCGTTGGGGGGGCTGTTGGGGCGTGCGGTGTGTGAGGGGGATATTGATGATGAGGGGATGGGGGAGGGGGAGGAGGAGGTAGGGGGCGGGGCGTTGCAGAGTGCGTGGGATGAGGGGGTTACGGGGTTTACGGTTGAGGAGGCCGGGTGGTTGTGGGAGCGGTTGGAGGATGAGGCGCGGAGGGTTGAGGGGGTGGGGTGGAGGGAGCATGTTTTTACGGGGGGCAGTGGGATGGAGGGGGGGTGAGTGGGGGGTATCAATGTATGATGGGGATTGGAATAGGCGAGGAAAGCAATGTAGAAGGGGAAATTAGAATGGTAGTAATTGGGGATGTGGGGATGGTAGTCTGGCTTAGTAATAGACTATGATACAGTAATGCCGTACTGCATCCTCCCTCTCTCTTCCCTTTCTCCTCTTATCCGTCCCTCCCAGAAAAACGCACTCGACTCAGAGTGTTCAAGTTTCAAATCAAGCCAAGAGACATCATTACCCAGTGGATACCACCCTGTCTGAATAATACAATCACCTTTCGAGAACAAAACAACCTCTCTCACAGAATAATACAGCCTCACTCCCCCCCACCCCCACCACCCTCCTCCCCTCCCTCGCCCTCCTTCCTCCTCGCCCTCCCCTTGCCCCTCCTCTTCTTCCCCCCACCGCCCTCCACCACGGGCGGCGCCTCGCGAACCCAGCGCGCAATAGCCTCTGCGCGATCCGTCGAAATTGGGTATTCGCGAGCGTCGTCTTGGGCCCAGCGCTTGGGTTGTGGTTGTGGTTGCGGTTGGGTGGGAGTTGGAGTTTGGGTATGCGTTTGTGTTTGCGATTGGGTGTGGGCTTGGCTTTGTGTTGGAGCAGAGGGTGAGGGGGGTGGGGCTGATGTTGATGGTGGAACAGGAGAAGGAGGATGTGTATGAGAGTTTGCATGGGAATTCGAATTCAAATGCAGACTCGCCAACCTAGCTGCATCTTCATCCTCTCTAAATCTGCGTTCACGGGCCCGGACAGCGCGTTGGAAGGACTCCTCGTCTACGACGCGCTCATCCGCCAATGCATCCAAAATGGCTTCGTGCTTCTGGCGGTCGCGCTTCTGGGTCTCGGTTTCGGGAACGGATGTATTCGCTGTGGAGGTGGAGGAGGAGGGGGATGTTGAAGAGGCGGTGGTGCTACCAGTTCCGTTCCTGTTTCTTGTGAGGTCAGTGTTTGCAGGGTGCGATTTGGCATGCTGCCCAGGTAAAGGGGCGGGACGGCAAAGCGTCTCCCACGAGGTGCCGAGGCCGATCCAGTTGCCTGCTCGGCGGAGGACTTCGATCCAGTCTGCACGTGCGGGGGAGCGGGCGGCGAGGAAGATGGGGTAGCCATCACAGATGCGGGCTAAACGGGCGGCGTTGTGTGCGTGGCGCATGTGTTCTTTTGGGGGTGTTTGGACGAGGGCGTGGCAGAGGAGGAGCGAGTGTAAGGCGTCGGTGAGGAGGGGATGGTAAGTTATGCTTTCGTGGGATTCAGCAAAGGCCGCTGCTGCTGCGGCAGAGGCCGAGGTTGTTGACGAGGTTGGGGGTGGCGGGTACGGTGGCAGAGAAGCAGGAGGCAATGGGGAGAAGAGCGAGGAGACAGTGTGGATTTCTGGTGGAGGCAGTTTGGGCCATGAGGAGCGATCTGATGATGTTTGGGTTTGTTGACGTCGATGGGGGACTAGGGCGTCGGAGGAAGACGAAGCGGAGGTGTCGGAGGATTCGAGGAGGCGATTCAGGTTTGGTTTCATCTTGTCCGAAGCAGAGCGGGAAGTGTGATCATGGCCGTTGGTTCCTAGTCGACAAAGGAAGTCGTCTGCAACGTCGGCCGAGATACCAGGTGTGTAGTCGAAATGGGAGAGGAAAGCGGTGTAGTCTCGAATGGCCCGTTTCGCGTTCTGGCGGACTTGCTTGCGGGCTTCGGCACGGACTCTGTTGCCTTCCCTCTCCTCTGGCGTTTCGGGGGCGACTTCGAGGCCGGCTTCCGTTTGCGCTTCCCTTGTTGCCTTTGCTTCTTCTGCTTCGCGAAGGCCGTCGAGGGCTGCGTGGACGTGTTGGTAGGCCATGGTAAAGTAGACTCCTGCTCGGTGGAACAAGAGCTGTGTCTCGAGCGAACTCGGCTGGTCTTCTTCTGCTATCTTGGCTTCGTGTCTCCAGTCGCGGCCATGTTGGTCCTGGTAAGTCTTTGCAAGCACCAATTGATCCTTGCCCGCCCGATGCTGTGCCATAAGATAGCGAGCGGTGCTCAGGGCGTCGCTCAAGTCTTTTGCGGCATTGCTGTAGTCTTCCTTGAAGATGCGCGTCAATGCGCGGGTGCGCAGGGGACTTCCGTCGTGCGGCCGTTCGGCTATGATGTCGTTCAAGGTGTCGAGCGGGGTGCATTGGGCCATCATGCGGCTGGGAATCTTCTCGTGGAAGAAGTGGACGTATTTGGCATCTGGGTTCGTGGGGTCGCGCTGCAGGACCAATTGCGCCACGTCCTCGAGGGTGCTTGCGCTCTGCATCGTGGCCACGCTCGCGGCGATTTCGTCCAGGTGGTAGGCCTGGCTCAACTTGGCGGTGGCCAGTTCTCGCATGCGATGCTTGCGCTCCCTGCTCAGCTTCGAGGTGCCTCCACCATAGCCTATGCCCAAGGCGGCCGCGTGCCCCAAGAGGTGGTGATGGTGGTGGTTGCCGCCATGCAGACTGCTGTTCAGGGCGGCGGCCGTCAGTCCAGAGGTGGCGCGCACAGCCAGATTGGTGGCCTCATCGACGGCCTTGCGTATCTTGAGTAGATCGTACAGGACGGCGGGGTCAATCGGGTGGGGGCGTGGCGAGAGATAGTTGCTGTGCGCCAGGCTCTCGAGCACCTCGGGCGGCAACTGCAGCCATGGGCCGTGGAAGGAGGAAATGTATCGCCAATGCCTGCAGTCCCCCCACGCTGGTCAGCCCATGAACTCTGTCCACACCGGGCAAAGAAGACGGAAAAATAAAGTGGAAATCAAAACAGGGGAAGACAACAGCGGGGCACGTTGTACCCGCCCAGAAACTCACTTGTTGCGACAGATGATGAGCGGCGCCGACGTCGTCGAGGGTTGCTCGTTTGCCGCCTTCTTCGCCGTCGCGGCGCCAACCTGGGCAGATGAGGAGGAAGCATGCGAGGTAGTGTTGCCGCTGGGGATGCTGGTGCTGGTGCTGGTGCTGGTGCTGGTGCTGGTGCTCTTTTTGCGCACCATGTTTCAGCTGGATTGGACCGGCGACTGGTCACGGGGAGGGAAGGAGAAAGCAAGAAAAAAAATAAAAATCAACAAACGGGCTGAAAGCTGGATGTCAGGATCCAAAGGGAAACCCTCCAAGCTTTCTTCTCCCGCGATCGCGCGCCTTTGTTGTTCGTGCCTTCTTCCCCGAGTTCCGACGTCGACAAATTTCGGCTTGGCGTTGGCGGAGAACGGAGGCGGAGAACGGAGACGGGGCGAGGGCTGAAATGGTGCCTAGGGAAGGTAGGTAGAATTCCGTCCAAGGCAGAGACTCACTCCAAGAGACTCTATCCCCAAGCATGACAAGACTAGGTCAGCCCTCTCTCCCCCCATCATGCTCGTCTTGCTCTCCTTCTTCTTCTTCTTCTTCTTCTTCTCCTTCTTCTTCTTCTTCTTCTTCTCCTTCTTCTTCTCCTTCTTCTCCTTCTTCTTCTTCTTCTTCTCCTTCTTCTTCTTCTCTCTCAGCTCTTCGTCTTCTTCCTCCTCTGCTGGTTCATATTGGAACTTGAACACAGGAACGCTATGCTAAGACTAGGTACCAGACAAGCCACCTTTGAAGGTCTAGCAGTAAGAGGGAACGGAGTGAGAAGCGGGTAGGCAGCCTACTTACTGGCCGTCATGTCACATGCAACAGGGGCTAGGCTACTTGCAGTCGGTAGTCGCTTTTCCTCTGCTTACATAACCAACCCACCGCGCAGCACATGAAAGCCGTCTATTCTTGGTCGCATGTACTGGCGGCTAATTGACCCATGGGCTCATGACGTCTTTTCTTCCTCCCTTGGGACATGTGACGAAGCCTTGTAGATACGGGTAGCTGTACTCTAGGCAAAGACAGCATAGCCTCCTACTAGAGTAGAGTACGATTGACCAGAAAACTATGGTAATGGGCCAATCAGCCATGACGTCCATGGGTCGCCTGACAGCCAGTCACCACCAACCCGTCGACGGGGCAGCTACTCTAAGAGTAGAGTAGAGTAGAGTACGAGCTTCCAGATGGACATGCACCATGTCTCCTCTGCATGCATGCCATGCCTCATCATTCTGCATCCACTCGGCCTGTATTCGGCGCAATCAACGGCCGGGTGGATATGGTGGTAGTACCGTACTCTGTCTGGATAACAGGACAATACAAATGCCCTGGCCGCATCACTTCTGCACATGGCCACATCTGACCGAACCCCTTAGGCCATCCACCGCCACAGCCCTTCAGCTCTTCAGCTCATGACCGGGTAGCACAACTGTCCCCATTGGACCGGACGAGGCTCATCAGAGCATCGCTTACTCTACAGTAGTACTCTACCTCTTCTCTCGACAGCGCGCCATCAGGGCCCCATGCAACAACCGACGCACGTTGAAAGAACAGCTACCGGGAATACCATCAAACAAGGATCCTTGGCCACGCACTCGTGGAGCTTGATGCAAAGCTTGGTTGGACTGGACCGGCGCTAGTCGTCGTGCAACTCAAACCTCCCCCATTACACCCAACGGCCACCGACTCCACCTCTCGTCTCGTCTCATCTCGTCTCGTCTCGTGTCCCCGCATATGGCGGACGGGAAGCTACTCTACTCTACCTAGGCTAGGGGACTGCTCTAGGTACCGGTACTGTACTTGCAAGAACACCGCCATCTGAACTGCGGGGTAATCCTCGCTCCTACTCTATCCAAGTACCCCCACCCCCATATTCACAACTCACCCATGCATCCATGACCTTGGATCGACTGCTAGTCCTTGTACATGCACGTCCAAGCATCCACCCATCTTACTTTACCACATCCGCTTCTCTACCTGGACTGGGAAGGTCGAATCTACTGTACTCCTACCTTCATCACCTCCTCCTCCTCCTCTCTACCATGACACTTCTCATTGGATCTCAGCCACGCCACTCCCCTAGCCCTCGATATCCCGCGAGAGCTGGCAGCCGAGTGGTCTATGAAGTGGCATGGGTATCCATCTCCACAGATCCTACCCGTCGCTATCCTTGGTGACAGAGAGGTCTGGCTGTCCTGTCTGTGCAATCACCACCCCATCAACGTTCCTAGGACCCCGGCTCGATCGGCACCGTCTCACTTTGCAGGCCCTGGTCACCACCCACCCCTCCATCTCCATACCATGTTGAGACTATTTCGGGCAGGAGCGCTGCATGGCCTGCTGTCATGCTATAATTACAGTCGTACTTCTCGCTCTACTACCTCCATCACCTGGCTCAGTCCTACGTGATCGATACCTGGCCATTCTTGCCCGCCATGGACTATCTCACGAATGTGGGTAGGAGTACCCGCGAGGCCATAGCCACCGATACCACTCTCCAACGCACCGTTCGATATGGTCGCAACGCCCTTCTGGCCGCTCCCTCTGTTGCTGGCCAATATCTGATGGAGAAGGCGCCCGTCATTCAGTGGTTGCCCAGCTATAAGCCGCGATGGATCTTGAACGATGCCCTTGCTGGCATTACCGTTGGCGTGTTGCTGATACCCCAATCCCTGGCATATGCAAAAATCGCCACAATACCTGGAGAGTTTGGCCTCATGTCGAGCTGGCTGCCAAACTTTCTCTACTTCATCATGGGTACTTCCAAGGGTAAGGAAACACAAGACTGTACATGGAAACTGAGAACATAGACTGACACACCGTATAGATCTTTCCACTGGCCCCACATCCCTCATGGGTTTACTTACAGCTGAAATCATCCGCGACGTGTCCAAGGACGGCTACACCCCACAAGCCATTGCCTCGGCAGTAGCCATGTCGGTGGGCATATATTCCATGGCAATAGGTCTCTTGAAGCTGGGCTTCTTACTCGAGTTCATCTCCGTCCCTGTCCTGAGCGGCTTCATCTCTGCGGCCGCTATTGTCATCATGCTTGGGCAGATCCCATCCCTGTTCGGCATCACCGTACCCACGGGAACTGCGAAGATTATTCACGATCTATTCGCAAAGATCCCCCAGTACGACGGCCCGACCACGGGTGTTGGCCTTGGAGGCATCTTGATGCTTTACCTAATGCAGAAAATGGGGCAACAATGGGGCAAAAAGAACAAAGTCGTCTGGCTGCTTGCTCTAGGTCGTAGTGCCGTAGTCCTCGTGCTGTTCACCGGCATCTCCTATGCTGTGAACAAGGGTCGTGACGATGATCCGGTCTTCGCGCTCAGCAAGGTCAAGTCTGATGGCATTGCCACGCCACGCATGCCTGACTCGACACTGATCGGTAAAGTATTCCCACGTGCAATTGCACCCTTCATTGCTGCAGCCCTCGAGCATCTTGCCATTGCCAAAGCGTTTGGTCGTAAAAATGACTAGTAAGGCGGACGACTCATCGTAAAGAACACACATACTGACCCAACGACAGTGTGACCGATCCAGCACAAGAGCTCGTCTACCTAGGCTTCACCAACTTCTTCAACGCCTTCTTCTCCTCCATGTCCGTCGGGGGTGCCATGTCGCGCACAGCCGTCAACTCCGAATCTGGCGTCAAGTCCCCCGCGTACGGTATCATCGCAGGCTCCGTCGTCATCCTCTCCATCTTCAAGCTCAGCCCCGCCCTGTACTGGATCCCCAAAGCCACTCTAGCCGCCATCATCGTCACCGCCGTATGGCACATTGTCATCCCCCCCAAAGTCTTCTACGGCTACTGGCGCACCTCGCTCGTCGACTTCACCACCGCCATGCTCGCCTTTTGGCTCACCCTCTTCGTTTCCTCTGAAGTCGGCATCGGCACCGCAGTAGGCTTCAACATCCTCTACCACCTCCTCTTCATGGCCTTCCACCGCGTCCGCCGCATCACTTGCCTTTCCATTCTTCCCACTACCCGCCTGCCCGCAGGCTCCCACGCCATTCCACCGGACACCCAAGTCCTGCGCATCCACCAGTCCATGCTCTTCTACAATGCCTACCGCATCAAAAACCAATGTCTCGAGCACATTCAAACCTTCCACTCCGGCGACGCCGCCACCCTCGAGGCCGCACACGCCTCCCGCAACTGGAGCATGGCCGGCCACACGCGCGCCCGCCGTCTCCGCGCCAAGGCAGGCGTGCTGGACGAGCCGGTACAGATTCGCACCGTCGTGTTGGATTTTGCGGGCGTGTGGAATATCGATACGACGGGGTTAGTGGCAATGGCGGATTTGCTGGCGGATGTGGAGGCGTTTGGGGGGCGCGGGGTTAGGGTGCTGTTTGTGGGCCTGGGTGCGCGGGTCCGGGAGAGGTTTTCAAGGGGCGGGTGGACGGTGTACGATGTCGATGGTGATGGTGGTAGTAGTGGTGGTGCGCGTATTGCAGAGGCGAATCCGGCTGCGCATGCGCCGAGCAAGCGGGTCGTGTACGTGTACAAGAGTCTAGAAGATGCAGTGTTTACATCTCGATTGGCAGGTAGAAACGAGGGCAGTGCTGAATCACTCGAAGTCCGCGTCGTCGGGGGTAGCAAGGAGATGGTCTAGCTTGATTCGAGTTGAGGACTGAGGTATGGATATAGACGTGAGATGTTTTGGTTTTTCACTGGGTATTTTACTGTACACTTGGTGCTTGATGATTGACGCATGACTGTGTTTTGCATGTTGAATGCGATTGAGGTTGTGGGGGTTTCCTGGTGTTGATGTTGTTATGAAGATGTCAAGATTACTGATGTCATGCCATTGACAGTTTCTTCTACCTAACTTTGGAGGAGAGGGGGAGAGAGGGAGAGGGGGAGAGAGGGGGGGGAATGCAAAGATAAGTGAAGGAGAAGAAAATGTTTCCAGGCGCTGTGGAAGAGGGATGGGGGATATGGGTGTAGGCATGGGTATGGATATGGTATTCGGATAGGGAGGTGTTGGATGTTAAGACAAGGCTAAGGTATAAAGTACAAGCGATGTAGTAGATGGTATCCTTTGTTCCAATAAATGATCAATCCCATCCCGACTCAAATCTAAATTGAATCCTCCATGTCCGATACCTACACTGCGATATATTTTGCCAGAAATGGTGATTGGATAGTTGGCCAAGAAATCTTCGTTTTGCCATCTTCCCGGCCGACTCGATGAAATGCCAGATGCGTGTATTTTGAACGGAGGGGGTTTTTCGTTGCAGGACATTGGCATACCAGAGGCGTCAATCTACACGCTATGCCAACATCCCCAACAAGCCCTCCCAAGGCCTCAACACCAACTCCCCACTCCTCGCCCTCTGCTCCAACTCCCTCTCCTCATAATTCCCCGCAACCCACTTCCTCACCCTGACATGCCCCAACCCACCCCACCCCACCTCCTCGCCACTAACATTCAAAACCGTGACAAACCCCTCGTCGCCACCCCACCGCCGAAACGCAACCACCTTTTCATGCTGCAGATCCAACATCTCGAAATCCCCGTATACAAAGACTTGCTTGTGCTGCTTCCTGTGCGCCAATGCGCGGCGCCAGAAGGCGTGGACGGATAGGGTGCCGGGTGTGGGTGTGGGGTTGGCCAGTTGGGCGGCGATGTTTACGGCGTGGTAGTCGTCGTTGACGCGCATCCAGGGTGTAGCGGTTGGAGCGGTGAAGCCGGCATGGGGTGCAGAGGACCATTGTACGGGTGTGCGTGCCGAGTCGCGGGCTTTGCGTTGCATGATGTGTGCTGCTTCTTTTTGCTTTGCCGGGTCTCCTGGGTAGAGAGTGCGGTATCTGTGGGTTGGGAGTGATGTTAGTGCTGTAGATGAGATGGAGGGCAGATGTAGCATGGGGGGAGGAGCAGACTTTTTGAAAAGGTTGATGGATTCAATGTCTTTGTATTCTTCGGGTGCCCAGGTGGCGGGGATGTTGCGCATGCCGATTTCTTCACCCTGGTAGATGTACAGGGTGCCGGCGAGCGTGGTCTGCATCAGACAGAGCAGTTTTGCGCCGTACTCGCGCCATTCGTCGCTGTCGTCGGTGTACCGGCTTATGCTGCGTGGCTGGTCGTGGTTCTCCACGTACAGCGTGTTCCAGCCATCCCGCTCCAGCATCAAGCGTTGGAGTCTGTTTATGATTTTCTTGACATCGACCGCGTTCCAGGGGTGCAAGGTGTACTTGAAGTCGCCGGGCACGTTGTCAATGTCGACGAGATCAAAGTTGAAAATCATGTTTAGCTCTCCCGAGTCGGCGCCAACGACGCGAATCACCTCGTCTTCGTCGCGGACAAAGGGCATCTCGCCGACAGTAAGGGTGTCGTATTTGTCCAGCACTTCGCGGCGCAGGTCTTTGAGCCATTCGTGGAGACGTGGGCCGTTGGCGTAGTGGGCAGCGCCTGGCTGATACTCGTGGTTCTCCACTACCACGTCTGCGTCGGGGAAAGATTGGACTTTGGAGATGAGGTTGATGACATCCATACGGAATCCGCTGACGCCGCGATCGAGCCAGAACCGGAGGACGTCATGGACAGCAGCTCGTACAGCGGGGTTCTCCCAGTTGAGGTCCGGCTGTTCAGGCGTGAATAGAGAGAGATAGTACTCCTGCGTCTTCTCCTCCCACGTCCATGCCGAGTTTGCTTCGCCGAGAATCTGCGCCCAGTTGTTGGGGGGGTGGCGATTACCATTTTCGTCATACTTTGCGGGTTTCCAAATGTACCAATCGCGCTTTGGGTTGTCCTTGGACGAGCGGGATTCGAGAAACCAGGCATGTTCTTCCGAGGTGTGGTTTACAACCAGGTCCATGACGAGTTTCATGTCACGCTTCCTGAGTTCGGAAATTAGATTGTCGACATCTGCAAGAGTACCATAGCTGGGGTCGATGTCTTTGTAGTCGGCAATGTCGTAGCCCATGTCGGCTTGGGGCGACTTGTAGATTGGTGAGAGCCAGACTACGTCCACGCCGAGGTCTTTGAGATAGTCGATTTTCTGAATGATGCCAGGGATGTCACCCCAGCCATCGGCGTTGGTGTCGAGAAAGGATGCTGGGTAGATCTGTCATGGTTATCAACGTGGTTCCGTCGTGGAAAGCAAGTCCAGATAACAGACTTGATATACGATGGATTCTTTCCACCATCGATGCTTGTCGGTGCCGACACAAAGGTCCTTCCCCTGCTTTGAAGTAGCGATTGACATTTTCAACAAACTTCACTTTGTAAAACTGGTGTCTGGGAGAGAAGGTAGAGTACCGGTAGGTAGTGATTTGATCAAGCTCGAAATTGGAATTTTCCAGCCTCACTCGTTCACACCTTGTACCCCACGTCATTCCCCCCCTTGAGAACCGCTTGTAGTGGGACCCCACAGGTTTCATACGTGGACAGACAGTCGTGGGGGGCAACACGGACTAACTGTGAATGGAGTCGCTTCCGCACTTCCACCTGACTGACCCAGCATGCCCATACCACATCATAACACGGGTGTTCAATCTGCACATCGACTCTGAATTACTGTGTACTCCTAGATGGTATGTGTATTTCTGCATCTCCAACCAAGCTTTACCGACTTCATCATGGGGTGTTCCCTGTCTGACGCTGCAGCGCGTCATAGGTCACGCTGCGTCTTCACAGGTGGGACCAGCCTCAGCGCCATCACCCAGTTGTGCAGGCCCGGTAGAAGCCTGCCAAGTACACATGGAGTACTACTACTCTACTCTATATGAGCATACTACTACAAGAGACCACCTTGCCCCATACTTTTGCATCTCTCCTGCAGAACAGCACTTTGTTGCATCTCAGTCCGCCGTCTCACCCGCACCTCCTTTGCTTCAAGATCTTGCCAAGACACTCGTGAAGCGATGACGTATGAGCCAGATGTAGAAGATGGAGGTACCACAGGCGAGCGAACGCCAATGTTGGGCAGCTCTGCAACGTTGCGCGGAAGTTCATCTCATCAGAGACGCTCGCGTGAGGCATCAGGAGATGATACATCAAAGCTCTGGTCGGTGATGCGATTCTTTGGCGGTGGCATTTATGCACCGGATTCCTCGACATATGATCCTCTTGAGATATTGCTGAATACCGAAGATGAGCAAGAGCGGGACGATTTGACGGTCAAGTGGAGAGATAACAAATTGAGCGAGTTGAGCTTTGTGGGTGTTGTGGTATGTGTGCTCCGGTTCCGTTCTCTCGCCATGCTTTCTCACGGTCGACGGCATCATTGACTGAAACATCATAGTCTGCACTCTTGGCCGGTGTTCTCACTTCCACTGGATCCTGGCCCAACATACTTCCCAATGGAAAATCCTCCCCATGGCCTGTCCGTACGTCCTGGTACTGCGGCATCATCCTCTCCCTATTCAGCATCCTCACCGCCGCCGACCAAACCGTCCGATTGCACCGGCTCTCCTCGCACCGTGATGGCCTGGACAAGATTCGAAAGTTGCTGTCCAAGAGAAATGGCGAGCGAGGTCATTCGACCAAGACGGGACGTCGGGTGCCTAGTATGCTGCAAATCATGACTTGGCAGATGCCGGTCATGTTCTTGACGACTGCGGCGATCTGCATGATTGTCGGCATGTTTTTGCATGTCTGGAGTGCGACGACGCACTTGAAACATCCAGAGATTTGGGATGATAATACCAAGGTATGTGCTTTTTGGCCCGAACGTGTTTTCTTTGCCATGTGACTAACCTTGAATCACCAGGTTGCAATCGTTTACAGTATTGTTGCTGTGACTGCAGTTGGACTCTTTTTCATGGGCCAGGTCACGCTCTACTCGCCAGCCAGGCGCTGAGACCAACATTTGCGGTTTGGTTGATACTTTTCCGTGCTCTAAACAATCGACTGGTGACAGCTAGCAGTATGCCAAGTTCGGATGATAACGTATGTTTCACTGTAACAATGTAAATTCTCTGTCAACCCGTCCTACAAGCTACACTCCCATGACTTCTTAACCCCAAAAATCATATCCTGATTTTTTTTCAAAGCTCGTCCGAACCGCTCGCCCATTTATAGTCCAGTTCTCCATATTTACCTACGTGTAGCCACCACAGAGAATACGAGCATCCTCTCGCTAGCCTTGTTTTTGTAGCCGGTAACTTGCCGCGCAAGACAAGAACTGGAGGGGTTTTTCTTTTTAGAAGTGGTTGGGTGTTTGGGATCTGTACTACAAGAAGACGTGGAGACGGTCGAGGGCTACATGTGGAAAGGATTCTTGATTGTAGATTGGGAGGCAGTGTGATGGTTGATTGCCGATTGAATTTCATGTATACCTTAGTAAAAGCCAGAGATGTCCGCTCAAGGATACCATGGGACTTGTCCTCATCCCACAGCCTATCACAATACTCGGGATGCTTACTTCTTCAGGCCTGTATTACCAGCGATGGTGCTGGTGCTGTTGCCATTCCCATTGCCGTTGACGTTGCCATTGCCGTGGACGCCAACGCCAAACCCATGTGCACCACCACCATTCTCTTTGCGACTCAGAATCTTCTTAGGACCCCAAGTACCAGCCCTACCACCAGCATCAGCACTCGTTTTCCCCAGATTCTTGTCTCCATCACCGCCAACAGGAGGCCTATTCTCCCGCAATCCACCACCCGAGCCCGACATATTTGAGACAGGCGATAGCGGATTCCCAACAGCGCCACCACCACTTTTTCTGGCCCTGCTTTTCTTGCCACTGCCAGTCTCAATCCACATGCCGCCTTCTTTCTTCGCCTTGCGTTCTTCCTCCTCCTTGGCCTTCTTGAGCCGCATCTCTTCCTCGCGCTCGCGGGCGGCTTTCTCGCGGGCTTCGCGGCGCACACGTTCTTCCTTGAGGCGCTGTTCGTAGTTTTGTTTCTCCTTGGCTGCGAGCTGCCGTGCTTCAAATGCCTAATGGCGCACCATCAGTGTAAATTCTATGATGAGAGATTGGCAATAAAATGACGTACCTTGGCCTCTGCGTCCTCCATCATCTTGAATTTGTGCTCAAGCTCTGCCCTCGCCTCGTTTTTGATGCACGAGTAGCATGGAAAGTGTGAGTTGCGGAGCTTGGGATCGTCGCTGATGTCGGGACAAACGGCATTGGAGAAGACGCCACTGTTGCACATTTCGATATAAGGACGGTCGCTGATGTCACCGCATGTGTGGAGTTTCTTCCAATAACGACACATTGTGGTAGGGTTGAGTGGTCTCGGGAAGGAGAAAGGGTGATGTGAGGAAATGCGGTGAGGACTGAAAGGAATTAGATGATGAGGCTCAAAGGAGTGTGTGAACGTGAGGTTCAAAGAGTTTTGTGATTGTGGGGATGAAGAGAGAGTGTAAATTGTGAGATTCAAGGAGCGCATATGTGTAACACTTGAAGAGCATGTGAGTGAGACTCGTAGTTGTGTGAAGGTTGGTAGAAACTGGGACGCGATATTCCTGCAAGTGAAGGTGCGAATCTAGTTCACCATGGCAGGCTAGGAAAGCGCAGTGAAGCCGTCGGCCGATGAAATCAGAGAATGGGCAGGAGCGATACGAGAAGAGTGCCTGTCGTGACGCAGTCCACTAAGAAACGGGGGACAATAGGTCACAGCGTCGACTGTTTGCCTCATCTACCAGTAGTCACTCATGGAGGTGAGATGCAGGGGCACGAGAGTACTTTGGAAATGATGAAATGAACAATGGCAGCGCCATCACGGTATAATCTACCAGGAAGCAAGGACAGCTACAGTCCGTGTCCAAGGGGGGGTATCCTAACAAACCATCCCAAACAAAGGAATCATGTGCACTGAAGTGGTAAGTGGGAGATGTGTCCAAAGCCGTGGACTACAACTCGAGCTTGGCAGAGTGAAGTATCGTAACTTTTTGGATCCGACTACGCCTTTTCCCGCGCCCTTCGAACCTCTGGCCGTGCACTACGGCGTTGTGCCTCGGTGATGCGGGAACCGCCAAGTTCCTTGATCTTGGTAATGAGCTGATCAGTCTCGTCGAGATGTACTATGTCGTCGCCGCCTCCTATGCTCTTGCCCATCAACAAGACGTTGGGTACCGTTCTCCTACCGGTAGACTTGCCCAACAAGGCCTGCAACTGCTGGCCGAGGGGGTTGATATCGAGTTCGACGACATACGGTTCGGGCACGATCTTGTACTTTTCGAGTAGGACGTGTTTTGCGTCTCGCGAGTGTGGGCAGTAGGTCTTGGAGAAGATGATGACTGGAGCATGGATGAGCGATCGGTCGGGTCGGCAAATATTCACAAAAGGGCAAGACTTACTCGGACTCTTCTTGAGGATGGCGTTCAATTCCATCTCGACCTCGTGGTCCTCTGGCGTCTCGTGCTCCTTTGCCGCAGCCTGATCGCGGGGTCGGCCACCTTGCGCAGCGACACCAGGCACCTTGTCCCCATCCATCTTGACTCGACCGGCAACACTCTTTTCGTCGCCATGAATGGCCTTGTCCTTTTCGTCGGCGAACTTCTTGGCTTGTTCTTCGGCGGCCTTTAGCCGTGAGCCGACGCTGTCAGCATCGCGCTGTCGGGCGGCTTGGGCAAAGTCTTTTTCCTGGAGCGCTTGCTGTGTCTTGGTGTAGAAGTCGGATTCACGTGTCTGGCGGGCGCCTCTGGTCATGTAGAAGAGGACGAAGATGGCGATGACAAGGAAGATGCTGTAAACCCTCGTGCGGCGCTGCGAAGGCATGATGGCGGCTCCGAGACGGGTCGTGTAGGTGGGATCGTGTGATGCGCAGGTGAATTGTAGGTACCCGTGCGTCGATGTTGCAGTGTTGCCGTATAGTCTTCTCGTTTGCAGTCTTTGCGATGGGGTGTAGGAAAGCAATGGTCAAATGGCCGGCGAGGCGAATATTCTTTTGTGTGTCTGAGGGAGTGGAAGAACTCGGTAGGTAGCCAAGTGGCTGTGTGGATTGTGCAGTTGTGCAGTCCAGCAACAACTGGTGTGACAAGCAGTTCTGGGGGTGTGCTCCGGCTTTAGCGGGCAGCTTGTCACGGGTTCATTGATGGCACGTTCAAGGGCTGGCAGGCACAGCAAACGACGTGCACGCGTGACCTTTCGGCGCGCCAACTGTGCGAAGTGTGCGAGAAGATGGGTATGGAGTGGGAGGACTGTCTCGAGTGTGAACAATGAATGGATGCGCCATCAGACAATGCGAGACTGCGAGCCTTCGTCTAGTCTCCATGTCGTCACCTTGGACAGAAGCAAAGCGTTACAACACCAATACAAAGGAATGTGGGGATGGCACCACACCAACCCACAAGCACTTCTACTCTAGAGTAAGCTAGTTGTCTCGGCTAGTTTGAGGATCACGTTACTTGTCTTGTGTCATCAAACTAGCCAGGATGTAGCAGTGGCAAATCACATGATACTCAAACCACCCGACCGCATGAGTTTACAACTAGGACTTGCTTACTTGCTTACCCCTGCCGGCCCGTGCACAACCCTGTCGCACTTCATCCCGAGGTTTGGCCGTCGGGGTACCTGCCTCTGCCAACGCCTTCTGGCCCACCACAAGGGACTCTGTATGCTCTGGGTAGACTCCTTGTCCTTGACTCTCCATTCTCCATCCCATCACCACCGCTACCCGTGTTCGATCGATCAGCGGGAACTGTTGACATCAGTCGCAGTACCGGTAGTGGCTCGACCTTGACCTTCCCTCCTCTGCATTCACACCTACCTACCGGTACATGCTCGCTCATCATCGTTACCTACCAGACGGGGGGAGGGTACCTAGCACAGATTGGCCGGCTCGAATTCTCCGATGAATCGTCTGAAGACCACGGCAGTACCCAAGTCGGTTCTACTAATTCGATTCTCCCGCTTTGCTTGGCCGAAGCAACCCGTCGGGATCGTGCCCTCAAACCTGGCTTCCGCTGCTTGACCCCGCATGGAGAGTAGCTGGAGTCTGGGGGGAGAAGAACTATCCACAAACGGCTACCATGCCGTAAACAAGCTAGTGCCCCCCCACTAGTCTACAAATCCCCTCCACTCTATCCGCTATTGATAGCACATGGTAAGCCTCAGTATTCTGACTCCTAGACTCGACATGCTGATAACTTGCTTGCACTTCATCTCACGTCATTTCACTTTGTTGTACTCTGTCCACTAAGTTACTCGTTTCTCCACGATAAATTCGGACCTTCGCTACTGCCTTGCCGTCTACCCTACAGCCAACAGAGCCATTCGTCACCGCCTGCTCCTCTCCCGATGCCACCGTTGCACACTATAACCACCCTCTAGTCCCGTTTGCCATAGTAGTCAACCTGCCTGTACCATCATCCTACCCTCAGTCACAATGACTTCTGGGCAATCCAAGTTTCTGCCCTATTGGCATTGGGGTTTGTGCAGAATGCTCAGTAAGCATGAGGAGAACATACTTGGCACTTGGCCAATTACATTGGACACCAATTCCAGCGTGGCCGACTAAATGTCGAAAATGGATCGTCTCGAAATCCTTTCATGCTGATGACACTCTACTTCAACGTCGTTTTGTGACTTGTCGAGGCAATTTAACCCATACCTTTTCATTCGGCGCATATGCATACGTCCATGATCACATCAATCCCAGATGATGCCGCGGCAGAGCTACGAACAGCCATCGCAGTGGAGGTTCCACTGATGATACTCGCACTGAGTACCGTGGGTCTGAGGATCTATTCACGGCTCGCAATCAAAAGAAAGCTGGCTACTGACGATGTCCTCATCATCCTGGCCACGGTAAGTTTACACCTTGTCCTGGAGAGAGTTGAGCTAACGACTCGTAGGCTGCAGCAATCACACGCACAGTCATTTCTTGCATGAGCGCAGCCGACGACGGAGGCTACGACAAAAAAGGGCAAGTGTACAGTCTGTGTGCTATAGTATGGCTCTGGTTGACTCCGTGGCAGGCCAGACCGAGTGTCGGAAATTCCATTCTATCAGGTAAGGAGGTCAGAGCAATTCCTGCTGCTCCTCTGATGAATTTCAGCATATTTTCGAGCGCCGAATCGCATACATCATCGCCGTAACACTTACGCGGTTTTCCATCTTGTCATATTGTAAGATGACTCACTGCTTCGTCCGTGGGAAAGTGGCTGACCGACTACGTTCTGCAGACTTGCGCATCTTCCCCCCCGGACTATCATCACTACGGCGAGGCACTTATCTTCTCATGCTCCTGACACTAGTTCACTTTATAGAAGTGCTCACAGTCCTGTCCATCTTCTGCAAAGACATCGGCCAGCTATGGACGGCCGACTGGCTCGACTTCTCCGGCTCCCAATGCTTCAGCTCGGCCGTGTACAGCTACTCGGCCGCCATTGGCGACAGCATCGTCGACAGCCTCATCTTCACGCTGCCGCTGCCCTATGTCTGGAAACTGTCGCAAATCCGGCTCCGTCAGCGTCTCGGTCTCATCCTGGTCTTTGGACTGGGCTTCATCGTGTGCGTGGTTGCACTGTTGCAGCTGCCGTTTATCCAGCGTCGCGAGCGCAACATGCAGTATTTTGGTAGCGCCGTCAACATGCTCGTTGCTATTCAGCTGTCGTTTGCTATCATTGCGGCTTCGCTTCCTGATGTGCGTGCGTTGATTGCCAGGAAGTTTTCTAGTTTCTCGCCGCTGTGTCATCGGAGTGTTGTTACTGCTGTCGACCGTGCAAGACCTGGGGTTCGCCATGGCGATGTCGAAGCCGGAGTGAGCGGGGATCGCACGACGGGAGATTCGGGAGATGCAATGGGAAGGTCCAAGACGAGAAGGGCGTTGCGGAAGCCGGACTGGCTGAGGCACAGTATTCCAGCTAGTTTGATGTCGACCAGAGTGACGCGCACGCGAACAGAGCTGACACGGTTTGTCAGTGGAGACATGAGGCAGCCAAATCAGAGAGTGGAAGACTCAGGGAGAGCAGGTTCGTAAGCCATTCAACATGCACGTCTCTCCACCAGTACCGGTAGGTGATAAAGTCATGGGAGATGGTTGTGTTTACACGACACGATGGGTCTGCTGAACCCATGGTGAACTCATCACCCCATGCAGACATTACAAAGCACCAGGTGAAACCCAACAGTTCATCCCTCATATAACGCACCGCGACATCTATCCGTCCATACCTCCTCAAGACCCGGCAACCGCTTACCGATGCGGAGTCAGCATGACGTGCAGCAGAGATGACCAATTCGAGTCTAGCCTCGTAGAGACTCTAGCACCTACATACATGATACATGGCATACGCCGTGTCGGTACGTTCTGACCTGATTCGGACCAGGCGATCAGTGGGTGTTATGCATATGGTATGTTGATTGGAGCGTGGCATGGATATGTATCATGTATGTAGACGAGAGTGCGTTTGCGTTGAAGCGAGCACTGGAGCTGAATCTGAAGCTCATTAGAGCCAACTACCAAGGTACCCGACTCCCCCCCATCCGAAGCTAACCCACCTACCCCGCACGGCACGCAACTCGGGGTCCAAACTACGGCTACCCTAGTCGTACCCTAGGACGCGCATGCATGGCCCCCAAAGGATCAACAAGGTCTCGGCTATGCTTGAAGGTGTGGGAATGGGGAGGGCGGAGGCGGGGTGTGTAGACTCTGTATAAGCGTGGACATGCGCGCAGGTCAAAAGTTTTGTTCTTCGATTGATTGTGTGGGCCAGGAAAAGATTGTTAGGATTGCATTGGGAAGGATCGAGGTAATCGACTGGGCTGACTTGGATGATATGGATTCAGGGCGTGGTTATGATTTTATTGTGGTGGGAGGTAAGGAGTGCGCGTGGCGCTTTTTCTTTTCGTCTCGGGGAAATGGTTTTTTGCTTGCTTTGTTTCGGTTGAAACATGGTCCCATCACATCTTACGTCTTTTCTTTTCCTCGCCTCCTGCCATCTCGCTGACGTTTCCCCTCCTTCAGCCGGAACAGCAGGCTGTCTGCTAGCCCACCGTCTCGCCAGCACCCGCACCGCACCACGCATTCTCCTCCTCGAAGCCGGCGGCAAGCCCACGGGCGACTTCCTCGATGCACCCTACCACCGCTACCACCCCGCCGCCCTGCGCCCAGATCTCGACCACGGCTATGTTTCCGAGCCCGAGTCCGCGCTCAACGGCCGGCAGATTGTGTATACGCGGGGCAAAGGGCTGGGCGGGAGTTCGATTTTGAATTTCGGCGTGTATTTGTATGGCAGTCGGGGGGATTACGAGACGTGGGCGGAGGAGGTGGGGGACGAGGTGTGGAGGTGGGAGAATGTGAGGCGGTGTTATGCGGAGATGGAGGCGTACGATGGGGAAGGGGTCAAGGTTGGGGGTTATGCGCATCTTGCGGACCCGAGGGGAAATGGGCATGGGGTAGATGGGAGATTGAAGGTTGGGTTGCCGGCTGTGTTGGAGGTGGGTGTTGCGGCGCAGATGGAGGCTGTGATTGCGGCGGGGGACAAGGGGAATCTGGATCCGAACAATGGGGATCCCGTGGGGTTGAGCGTGTTTCCGTTTAGTTATAGTCGGGAGGGGAGGAGTACAAGTGCAGGCGCGTTTTTGGAGGGTGCGCCGGGGAATCTGGAGGTTTGGACGGATGCGATGGTGGAGAGGTTGGTGTGGGAGGGGGGAAGGGTGGTGGGTGTGGGTTTGGCAGATGGACGACGAGGTGAGTGGGTTGAAAGTGTGTGGGAGTGCCTGGGCTAACTGAGGCGTAGCGAGTGCGAAGAAGGAAGTGATCCTCTGTGGTGGTGCGATTGATACGCCAAGGCTGTTACTTGTCAACGGCATAGGCCCAAAGGAGGAGCTCGAGGCACTCGGTATCGAGGTCAAGAGGGACCTTCCGGGCGTTGGCAAACATCTCCAAGACCACGTCCTAGCTTTTATGAGCGTGGAAGTCGACGGCTCTGCCAACGACCGCTATGCCTTTGAGAGTGACCAAGGACGTGTGGCCGAAGCAGAAGCAGCGTGGAAAAAGGACAAGTCGGGGGCTTTTGCGCTCTCCCACTCGTGTCTCTGGGGAGGCTTCTTCAAACTGCCTGATTTGCAAAACATGGCCGAGTTCCAGGCTCTGCCAAAGAAGAAGCAAGCGTTTCTGACAAGAGACACGGTCCCGTCCTATGAATTCATCAGCAACTGTCTGCTGTGGCCGCCGGGGTCGAAGATTGAAGAGGGGAATTCCTACATGACCTTCATCACCTTCCTCATGAACCCCCAATCCGAAGGCTCCGTCACACTGCGGTCCTCGCACCCAAGCGACAAGCCCGTCATCCGACTCCATTACCTCGAGCATCCTTACGACGCACGCATCTTCCGCGAAGCCATTCGCTCAACGTGGCAGAAACTGGTGCTCAACCCGGGCATCGCGCCGTCGGTCGTGCGCACGATCTGTGGACCTGCCTCTCTGTCGGACGAGGACGTGGATGGGTTTGCGCGGGAGAATGCAGGGACGGTGTGGCATGCGAATGGGACGGTCAAGATGGGGAGGGAGGAGGATGGGGGCGCCTGTGTGGACACGGGGTTTAGGGTGAGGGGGGTCGAGGGGCTGAGGGTGGTGGACTTGAGTGTTGCGCCGTTGACGCCGAACAATCATACACAAGCGACGGCGTATTTGATCGGGTGGATTGCAGCGGACAAGTTGGTGGGCGAGTATGGTCTGGACGGATAGTTTTGGAGGAGAGAGTGTGGGTATGTCACGTGTCGCGAGACAGACGGTGTAAGTAAGCGTACACGAGGCGGGACCCACAGATAGTAAGTTGGCAGACTAGTAGTAGTTACCGGTACTACACTGTCCGCGTGTCTCGAGCCTCCATGTCCGCTGTCCGCTGTCCGCTGTCCGCTGTCCCGACTCCCGAGGCCCAACCGCCTAGAAAATCGGATAACCAAGTGAGTGAGTGAGTGTGTGAGTGTGTGAGTGTGTGTGTGAGTGTGTGTGTGGGTGTGTGAGTGTGGGTGTGGGTGTGTGTGTTGTGCGTTGTGAGGTGGACAGGACAGGGGCGTGTGATTGGATCCACGGCCTAGCTAGCTACGGTAGGTAGAGTAGATGGAGTCCAGGCACAGCACGGCATCACATGCTGTTTCGGAAATGAGATGACGGCAAGAGGATACCGTAGAAGGAGAGTCGGAGTGAATGGGCGATATGGTACTACTGGCCTGGTTGCTGGGTGAACGGGGTGGCAGCCGCCGTGTCATAGGTAGTCTACCTAAACGAACAACCCGCGGTTCGAGCAGGATGGCCAGCCAACCTCTTCGTCACCGCGTCCCTCCACAGTCTGCAGACCGCAAAGTCAATCCATTACTGTTCCTATTCTCATCACACACAGCCTCCATCATCCGGCACCGGAGTTTAGTGGGGAGACTTGTGGACGTTCCAGGGCTTTCTTTTCCCATTGGGCGCCCTTCCCCAACCACCTCGCAGCCAACCCCCAGCCACCCAACCGCCATTTCCCCAACCTCACGCCAAAATCTAAGTCTACCCGTTTTCTTCTTCCCCCTCCATCTCTTCTCTGTACCTGCTTGACTGCATCTGCATTCCTGCACAATTACACAACACTTTTTTTTTGTGTGTGTGTGTGTGTCTGTCATTCTTTGCGACACAGAAAAGAGACCACAATCGCTGACTTTCTCTCTACCGGTACTTGGACTACTGCAGCGCCAAAGCAAGATCGACCCCGCCATCTGCAACACCACCCCATTCACCCCATTCACCTATTCACCGCTCTCCCGCCGAGTTGGTTTTCGACTCTGCGCCCTCTCTCTCTCTCTCTCTCTCTCTCTCTCTCTAGTCTCCAAGGATTCCGGGCTCCAGGCACAGGTTGGCCAGCGAACAAAACGTGAGCGATCGCCGTTGGTCGTCGCTGCTGCCGTCGTGCAGTCCAACTGGATAGCTGGATAGACCACCACAACCACCACCACAACCACCACAACCACCACAACCACCATGTGGCACATCAACCCTCGTTTTGCCCTCGTCGGCCTTGCCGCTATCAGCACGCTCACCACCACGGCCCTCGCAAAGCCCTATCCTCCCAACGTCCAGCTTGAAGCCGTGCTGGAACTCCACAACGCATCGCAACTGCAGCCGCGCCAAGGTGGCTGCGCGAGCGGGATTGCTTGTGGCTACGATGGCTGGCTCTGCTGTCCCTCGGGCTCCAAATGCTACACCGACGCCAACAACCAGGCCCAATGCGACACGTCTGGCGCTGGCACTGGCCAGAATCCTGGCGCTGGGGCTGGCACTTGGGTCATGCACACGACGACGTGGGTGCAGACTGTTGACCTCGTCACCCTCACTTCCGTCTACAGCACCTGGGTGCCCGCCACGGCCACGGCGACATGCAAAGACAGCCAGTCCCCCTGCGGCGGCAAGTGCTGCGACTCGGGCTACTACTGCCTCACCAGCAGCAATACTTGCGCCCTCATCAACGGCGGAAGCAGTGGTGGAATTGCCCCAACTGGTCCGTTGAACCCCTCCGCCCCCTTGCGTCCAACCAGCTCAGGATTTGTCATAGTCACCTACACGGGCACCCCGACCGCCACCCAGCCCTTTTCCTCGCCCATTCCCACGGGCGCAGCCGGTGGCGGCCTCACCGAAACGGACGCCGGCGGTGGCCTCAGTGGCGGCGCCATTGCTGGCATCGTCATTGGCGTCATCCTCGGTATCTTGCTGCTCTTCTTGCTCTGTCTCTTCTGCTGCGCCCGCGCCCTATTCGACACCATCCTCGCCATCTTTGGCATCGGAAGGAAGAGGAAGCACACGCACGAGGAAACCTACATTGAAGAACATCACCACTCTGGCGGTGCCGTCGGCGGCGGTCGCTGGTACGGCGGTCGTCCCGCCCGTCCTGCGCGAGTCGGCAGCGAAAAGCACGCCGGTGGCAAGAAGGGACTTAGTATGGCGGCCATGCTGGGTGGCTTGGCGCTCGCACTGGGTATGAAGAGGAAGCATGATCAGAGGCACGATGATAAGAGTACGACGATTACAGGCTCGAGTGCCTACTACAGTGACTACACCAGCTCCAGTATGTGTTTTGCTTCCTTTACTCCCTTTTACCTTCTCTAGCTAACCCATGAAATAGGTTCCGCAAGCTCGTCAGATCGGAGAACAAGACGGACACAACATTCCTCGCGTCGATGAGAAATCTTTGTCTCCCCGCCTTTTCACTTGTTTGCAATGATTGTTTTCCCGGCTACGAAGACTGTTTTCTTCACGACGCCTTGTACAAATTCTTGTTTTTTTTTCGTTTCCTTGCTCATGGTATATCTACATAAAGCGTAATCCACACGCACGGCTCGGGCGGTTACCACGTGTTTTCTCAGCGTGCCATCGAGGTCATCTCGAAGCGTAACCATGGCGTTTTTGGGGGTTTCAGAGTCTGCAGTATGCAAATGCGAATGCGAATGCGAATGGGATATGAGCGATGGATGGATTCTGCAGCCTCGAGATGTAGGAGGGCTTGCTAATGACGAATGGCATGGATGGATGGATGAAACCACTGTATGAATGCAAAAGACAGATTATGGAATGCAAATACCCGAGGAGCGAGGACGCTTGTTATGTCTGAACCTACTTTGTCTATGTTCCTTGAAGAAGAATGGAAGGGTGCGTGTGAGAGGGGATGTTTTTATAATGGATGTGCTTGTGTTGCTGAAGATGTGCATTGGGTGAGAGGGAGGGATGTGTGAATTGTAGGTGAGACTGTGTTACATATCATGGATTTGAATCTTCATGATAGTTGCATTTGACGTCTTGGAATTGGGGTTTTTGTGAAGATGGAAATGAACTAGGCCCTTCATAAGTACCCATGAGTGTGAAGAAAAGAAGGTCAAGGGAGTTTATGGAGTGGCTCTTGGGTCGATTGAAGCGAAGAGAGTTATTATCATGCTGTCATGTTCTCTCTGAAAGTATTCAGAATTTTCACGATTGATTGTCAATACGAGTACCGGTAAAAGGCCACTGCATTCTCAAACGCGACATTACACGTGATCCTCGCCCGTGTCGAATACTTTATATTTAAATCCCATTATTGAGTGAACATCATGGCCACCTTATATGCCGTGCCTCCATTCAAGCATTGCAAATAAATCAAAAGTATGATGTATCAGCTCATGTGATTGAAAAGCTCCCGACATGTGGAACATGGACGGCTCGTCTGGTACGTTGCTTATGCGCGATATATCACCGACGAGTATATTAACCTTCTCATCATCGCAGCCATAACTCAAGTTCATCACAGACAGTCATTCATAAGGAAACGAAACCTCGATAACAATGCTGCATGGTTGAAGTCGTTGTAGCCATCTTCATGGAAAAGACCTTGCTTGAAACCATGTGAACTCTTCATTCCCTGGCGCCAAAACTATTTTCAAGACGTTGGGATGAATCCGAAGAGGTGTCGCTACTGGAAAGATGTTAAAGGCTCACAAAAATACCGAAAAAGAGAAGACTTGTACGATTCTGGCAGAAAAGACGCATGAAAGTAACTCTCGTCGCCTTCCATAATCAATCTATAGCGCGGAGGTGTCTCATGGCAGATCGTAGCCGTACAAGGAATCTATATCCTAGTTGCTGATTCTTCCCACTCCGCAATCCATCGCAGTTTGACTTGTCGCAACGAAACATGAAAATATGATCAAGACGCGCAATGTTCATCATGCCTATTCATAACATGCGCTTACTAGATTGGAAACGTTGATAACAACCGCACATGACTTGGGTGTCTTGTTTAGAGATTTCATAGTGGCATTGTAGTTTGTGTGTAGAGAATTAGATTGTCGCTATTGACATGTCGACTGGGAATATGGATGTACTCTGCCATGAAGATGTTTCAAAGTGGAAGGAAATGACCTGAGATTTTCCATTGCCTGTTTGGTCGGCCAGACATGTACTTTCTGAACGCCCTTTGTAGACTTGAAATTTGCTTCTATTTCTCCTTGTCTGTAAATTTATTTCAGCCCTTGCGTCTCCATCGCATTGCTTGCGTTTTGTTTTCTCCACAATTGCCGCGGCCCCTGAGGTTTGCCACCATGAAGTCTTGTCGTAGTTGAAGGAAAGGGCCAGACTCCTTTCCAAGATACTGGCGATGCGGTATGCATCCATCTCAAGACCGGGGGATTTGCGAGAACAGCAATATCATCTTCTTGATATCCGCAAGGTGGCATCACGCCATGCCAAGTCGATGATACGCTTTTGAGGACACTAAAGTTCAATTTGAAGGTAATGGGTGTTGAGCGACGTAGAGGGCACGTTTATATACCTATTCCCAAATGATGGAAAAACTACACATGCTATCGTAACTGGTATATTTTCAGACAACTGAGCCAAAATGGCATGATAACATGAGTAAATTGTTTGGAGATGATTCCAGTACAAAGCCTTCATAGAAAACTGCGGCATATGTTTTGGAAGGAACGATGTTGGTGTGTATGACAGGCCGTTATCAACAATCATGGAAAATGAAAGCCATCTTTTTAATAGCTGGGGACGCCCACCTTATATATAGAATCGCAAATTTTGTATTGCAAAACTTAGATATGATCCTAGGTTAATGATCTGGTTTTCGGTCCCTGTTTTGATACACAAGAGGACGGTGACATGTCTTGAATTCTCTGCTGCTTTGATGATTTCACACAGCAGAAAACTGCAGGCTTCTGCAAACATGAAGTTTGCAATACGCCAATGTGATAACAAAAAACGGAGAGTCCAACGACGGAGAGATGCAATGTAGAAAATACTTGGGTCTGCAGGCTTCCATGAATCCGCGCAGCATCCATTCAGCTCAGAGGAGGCGCCGAGACATTGGTTCATTTCGGATTTGTGTTGCACACCAAACACGCAGCAAGTCGCCCATACAATTCACTCGACTTTATTTTATTCTTGTAAAGTATGACAACAGTATATTAACCGGACGATTTTCTACAACCGGCAGGAAGACTCATGAGCCGTACCTGTGTTTTTTCCTCTTCACGTCAAACCCCGCGAAAGACAAGATTTCATACACAGTCGCAAACACACGCGGCAAAAATGAGCGAGCATACGTTCCCTTTTTGAACACAGGAGTTACAACCCTGGTATGGCCTGTTTTCTAATCTGCAAGCAGACACAAAGGCCAACGCATGACTTGGACTGTACAGTTTTCAAGGTCCATCCTTTCACTTGGAGGAATAACGAGTATCGTCCAAGAAAAACGCAGGTCTTTCTATCCACCCCCCAACCGCGCCGAGCCCGGCCATTAAGGTTAGGTTTTGACCACTTCCGGATTTGCGACGCGAAAAGATAGTAAGAGCAGGAAGTGGAGCGTTGTGCAAGGTTTATATGTGCGGATTTCAGATGTCAGGGGTCGAACAGGAAATCACATGGATCAGTATACATATCTGTTTTGAAAGCTCTCATCAGAAGCACGCTTGTTGTTTACAAAGGCAAGCATACATGGGTTTTAGGGTCGATGGAATGCTTCTAGATACCTGTTCACGCAGTTGGGCGCAGACATAGTAGCACACTGTCTCACATTCGCGATGAGACAGGGAAGTTTCGAACGATAGCTAAATGCAGAGACTGGACACTATCTTTGACAGCGCTCATCGGACGCCATGCAGGTTGTTTTTGGAAATACCCAGGAGAGTGAAACTGCTAGAGAAAATAGCCACTACTTGGTGTACTTGGATGTTTCTCAAGAGCAGAGCTGCAAAATAATTTTAGACGCAAGGATTACCATGCTTTTGCAATACCGAAGAAATCGTGTCGTTGCTAAAGGAGAGAGAATTGGTTGCGCGAAAGAGGCGATGTAGGTAGGAGGAGCGAAGAGAAAACAGAGACAGAACGATACCCATGCGGATGTTGCATTGAATGGATTCTCATTCCCTGCCCCCTAATGTGACGGAGAAGAATTCCAGACACGAGATGCAGAAACCAATATCTGTTGTGTATCTGTCGGATATAAAAAAAAATTCGTAACTATAGTCTCAGACGCTGTGAAAGAAAAAAGACAATGATCCTGATCCATGTACATTCCAAAAAGAATCTTTGAGATGAAAAAGGAAAAGACCCCTGAGACAAATTTCGTCACATGTTGGATATACACCGCACCACTCCTTCACACGTTTCTCTCCATCCTGGCAACAACCACGCACTACCCCAGAATATTACCACTGCTAACCGTTCTCTTCCAACCGCCCCATCCCCATCCTTGCTGTGTACCCTCCTTTGGCATAGCTGCAGGCGTAGCACTCGGTGTAACACCGGGCGTCGCCACAGGACTGCCGCCACTCATCACTCTCTTCATCCCCTCGAATCTAGCCTTCAACTCCTCGAGTTCTTGTCTCGCCACCGCTTCCGCCGTCTTGGCATTCACCAACTCCATGAGCAGCGATTCATTGTCGGCGGGTGCATGGTTCTCAGTTGCGAGGATGGTCTGGGTGGCAAGACTGCTGCTTCTCTTGCCGAAGATGGAGGTTGAGGTCGACGAATGTCTTTGCTCTCGCTGCTCTCGTTCGCGGGGTGGCGGGATGGACTTCTGCGAGGGTGTGCGTCCGAGGCGGAATTCGCGGAGGCCGTTGCCAGATATGCTGTCGCTGGTTGTACTGCGCGATAGACTCGGTGGTGTGTCGGGCGAGGAGTCGCCAGCTGTCCAACTGGCCGCTGCGCTCATTTTTCGTGCATCACGACGGAGTTCCTGTATCGTCTTTTCTTGTCGTTGGTTCGCGTTGTAACTCTCTGCTAGTCGCTGTCTCGTTTCCTTGAGTGCGTCTCGTGCACTCTGTAACTCGGCATCGCGTTCGTTGAGGTCGCGAGCGAGGGCCGTGGCACGCATGGTCTCACTGCTCAGCTGCTCCTTTGCACGCGCCAGGTTTTCGCGGAGCATCTGTTTCGTTTCGAACATGCTCGATGTGCGGTGGTCTGCATATTGCTCTACCGGGAAACGGGACTCAAGCGTATCGACAAGTTCAAGCGTTTCTTCCGAGAGGGAAGTTGGAGAATCCGAGATTTCTGTAGGGGTGGAAGAGGCAGAGGTGATTGTGGTGCGGCGGCGGGATTGGCGTGAAGCCAAAGGGGCGAGAGACGAAGATTTGTTGCGCATCTTGTCAATGACGGAGCGCACCATGTGGTGGTCTTCGTGTCGGTCTTCGCGCTGTTTCTGGAGCGCGGCTTCGAGTTCACTGTTTTGGCGTTGGAGTTGGCTCACCGACATTAAGAGTTGTTCGATTTGATAATGTAGATCACGATCGCGTGCCGAGTGGCCCATGGCAACAGATCCGTGGCCGGACTTGAGCGACATGGCGTCTGCACTTGATCCTCTTGACGGGTCCGTCATGGCTGTACTTTGGGTACCAGTCGAGGCATCCGACTCCGCTGTAGAGTTGAGCGTCGAAGCCAGACTTTGTTTGCTTGCTGATCGTCGAAGGAAGCTGACAGGCCGTGAAGGCGCCGATAACCCAGGGCTTAAGCTCATCGATTTTGTCGACGAGCTCGTGGGGCCCCATAACCGGCCGAGGAACGAGGTAGCGCTCTTCTGTACTTCTTGCTTCGTCGATTCCTTTTCCTGTGCCTCCTTGTACTGCTGCTCGAGTCCCTGAAGTCGTTCGCGCGTGACATCATTGGTGAAGCTGACAAAGTCGTGCACCAGTTCATCAGCAGATCCCGCATTCCGGCCGTAAGGGTCCCACATCTGTCGGCCCAGCAACAGTTGCATTACATCTTCCATCTCGGTGAGAGAGATGAGCTTCGCTTCGTTCCGCTTCATGAGAGCGAGTGCGACACGCATTATGGTTTCCGAGGCACCTTCGGCGAAGAGTACGTCGTAGATGCGGAAAAGCATGGGTAGTGGACATGTGACGGCGAAGAAGGAGAGGAACCATTGGGATAGGTATGCAGACTCGATGCCGAGGTCGTCGAGGTGACGAGCCAATTGTGGCATGTGTTGCTCGAGGAGTTTTTGGAATTGGAAGATGCGGAGATGGAGACCAGAGAGGTCAGGCAGGAAGCAGGAACGGAGATCGTAGTCTTCCATGAGTCTGGGATGTGGTCAGTAGAGGTGGCGTTGCGCTGGAAAGATGAAAGCGTACCTAACGAGAACGCAGAAGGCTTCCTTGTCACCCATCTGCATCAACAGGGGGCCCACGAGGAAACCCAAGCCCTGGCAGTACCCAATCTTATGATCGTACAGACTGAAGCACTTTAGCACGCGGCCCAGCATCTTTTGCCCCTCACCCTCGGGATCCTTGAACATCTCCACGCCTGGAAAGCTTCGCCCAAGGTCCTTGTTGATGAGATTTTCATAGGGACTCGACTCGCCACACAGCGCATCATACTGATCCTCGATGAGCTTATCCCTCGCGCCGGATGCGCTTTGCCACACGACTCCTCGCAGAGGCGCTGGTATCCCTCCTCGAATCTTGTTTATGCAGAGCGTTGGCAGCCGCTGGACAGTCTGAGGATAGTCGCGAACCAAGACAGCCCAGAACTCGAGTTCAGTCATGGGTGGGGGCGAGGGGAGCTGGGAGAAGCGTACTTGTGAGGCCGAGGCTTCATCTTGTACCAGTCGCTTGAGCTGATTGAAGGACGGTGGGCGGGACTGGCTGCGGGCGCGACTGATTTTCATGCCGGCTTTGGAGTTGGACATGATGGCATCATTCTCCTGCTCGAGGCGTGCAAGCAGTAGTGCCATAGCCTGTGGTCATTAGCATCCGCAATCTGCCGATAACAACGGCGGTGGTGGAGCGATGATGGATCCTACCTCCTCCTCACTAGCAGGCTCCTGCTCTTCCTTCTTTTCCAGTTCTGCCCAGTCCACCTGCTCGCTGTTCCCCGAGCCAGAGCCATCGCTGTTGCTCCGACCCCTCGGCTCCAACGTGGGTGATAGGGGGACATTGGTGTCTTCAGCAGAGACGGTCGGGCTATCGACGGTACCAGCCTCGATACTCGTATCGCTGCGCCTTCTTCCAAAGGCCCTCCGTATCTCGCTCGAATTGGTTCGGCAGGAGGTCCTGAGCTGGTCCCCTACCACGATCTCGGGCTGCATCATTGACTCCCTCACTCCTTGCTCGTCTTCATTGCTCCCTCCGTCCGTCTCTGATAGTGGCACTGTGACCATGGAGTCTGTGGGCACATGTGTCCTTGGTGACCGGGAGCTCGTCTGCTCTTCCTCTTGTGGTTTGAGTGGCGTGAGGTCGGCGGTGTCCAGCTTGATGGCGCTGGCACCTTTCGTCTCGTCTGCCATGGTGATGATGTTGGTCAATAGGGTAGGCTGGCAACTCGCGTCGCAAGAACAAGGAGCAAGCTCCTATCCACCACGCGCAATGACGTTGTTGTGATTTGGACGGTGGTGAGCGGTGGACACTCTTCCATTCAGCGACGGTGCTGGTGGGGTCCCGTGTCGCACAAACCGCGGCTGGTGTCGGTGGTGTTTCACGTCTCTTGTAACCTGCTCGTCGACCGTGTCGTGGGAAATTAGGCGTGCCCCATCAAAGAATCGGTATGCTTCTCAAGTCGGCTAAGCACTAGGTCGGATAATAAGGCAATGCGAAGAATGAGTGAGCGACAGAGCAGAAATTCACTCGCACTCACGCAAAGTAATACGAACTTGAGACGGCGAAGAGCAGAGAGGGGATCCGCAAAAGAGTCGCTTTGGTTTGCGGGCTGGGAGCAAGGTCAAAAGGGAGCATAAGGAGGGCCCATATAGAGTACTCTAGTACCAGTTTAGTCCAAGGGCTCATCAGGGTCCACCGGCTCGCCTTGGCTGAATGGTATTGTCCACGCTCTGACCAATCGGCAAACCGCTTTCCACTGCGAACACGGGATTATGTCATGCATGCCCCTGGCTGCCTTTCGCGTTGATCGCGTGTCTTACTCTTACCCGTTCGTTGTTCGTCGTCGTGAAGGGACAGTCTTCTTCTTTCGAGAATCACAACTCAAATCTATCCTCCTAACAAGGACTGATATTGCATACGGGTCAACACTTTCTTCTCAACGTTGGTGAGGAACTAACTAAGAGTCTCGCCACAAAGTTGTAGGCACATGCATCATGTAGATAGACTATCCTACGACAGAAAGTTACTATCCATTCCACGCCATAAGGCTGTATGCATTCTGCACTGCAAGAGTATACAATTTCACGATCCACAATGCTGACAGACGTAAAGAAAAAGAAAAAAAAAGAAAAGGAAAAAAAAAGAAAAGGAAAAAAAAAAGAAAAGGAAAAAAAAAAAAAACTGTTCCTCTCGCCCAGCAAAAGCACTCTGAAGACGCGCCGCGTGTGGGGTGGCTGGAGGGCACGAGGGTTTCACGTGACGGCAATTGAGGGCAAACATGACAAACACCCGCTGGCCGCGGCGCGGGAAGAAGGGCGGTGAAGAGGGGGGCTAGGCCGGAAGGGGGGGCGGTTGCATGTTCCCCACATGACCGGCCGTTCACACCACCAAGTGCATGAGCGAGCCTGGCTGCTGTTGAAGATTCTACTGGTTTATGAATCGGATAAGATGCAGGAACCTGGCAATGCTGCCTTGACCGCATCTCGAGGTTTTCTTGCCTGCATCGCCGATTGCGGCGAACCATGCACTCGAGCGACACATCGTGCAGCGTGCAGCAAAGTGTTGGCCCTCGCTTGACTCTGTGAGCTAACAGCAAGTAGCGGCATGATGGGCAGTGCATACTCCACCTCCTAGAAGTACAGAGGAAAGCTATTGATGACGACATGGCTAGTAGACGACACACCTGCACACTACCCTGAACAATGCCTCCAGCTTCTATCAAAAGCTCCTATTCTGGGTCCATTATGCTCTCGCCGTGTCTCAAAGGGGGACAAACAAAGAACATACACATCCTACTCTACGGCACTCGTCGTCTTCTCGACTCTTCTCAGTCGACTGAAACCAGCCAAACAGTTTTCGTCGCCCCATCTTGCAGCAAACAACCTCGACAACGCCGAACATCCAAACTCTCCACCCACCATTCACCAAGTTTCTTGCCCCCCCCCCCCCCAAAAAAACGACACCATTAGTTCTAAAGAATAAATGTTTTCTCGTCCATTAAAAAACTATCTTGTGCAGCGGTAACGTGGCGATTGATGTGTTGCGGGCTCTGCTGATCGTTGTACGTAGGATCTACGTTTCGCTCACTTGCATCCACGCTGTCCAGTTGCAGCATTTCATTTACCAGAGTCACTTTCCTGATCTGGAACAGGGACTTTGAGGTTTTGGCAATGTAAGCTTCACTTCCCTCATTTGGCATGCGTCATGGTTAAGGTTGATAATGGGAGGGCTACTTTCCTAATCGGGTAAGCATGAGTAAGGTTTAGAGTACCGGTAGGCGTTGAACTTGAGACGTTAGGTTTGCATGGCTGTCTACAACGGTTTGCGGAAATCACTGGCAAACACCAAGCGTCCATGAAAAATTCAATGCACGAAAAATATGCAAAATACAAAAGTCATGACGACTCCATGGCTGATACACATACAACCTATTTCCTACCCAAAGGATATCAAACACAAATCCTCTCAATCACATATCCCGTACTGTCACGGGCTCACTTTCCTTTCCATTCTCACGACTTTTACAGCTCCTCTTCCTCTTCCGCGTCATAATAATCATCATCGGCATCGTAATCATCGGAGATGGCCTGCATCTTCTCAATATACACCTCTGACGCAGTTCGCTTCCTCTCAGGCTCAACCATGGGAGCAGCTTGCTCAGACTCAACAGCCTCCGTCACAGTCTCGACAACAGTTTGAGTGGTAACGTGCTCGAACCTTTGATCCTCGGCCACAGCTTCCTCGATAACTTGGTGCTCGGTCTTGACCTTTGTCTCAATGACGGCTACCTGGTTCGTGGCCGTAGGCTGCGGGGAATCCCATGTGGGTGGAGTGGAAGTCTGAGAAGGTGTATGGACAGTAGGCTGATGGCTATGGTACCAGTCTTCGTACCCAGCCAATTCAAGAAGCTCATCACCAGTTTGCTTAACAATCTCCTGATGAGTTTCCGCCTCTTGCTTACTGGGCTTTGTCTCCTCGGCTGCGTCAAACGCCTCCTCGAGTTTCTTGTCCGGTGATCCAAACTTCTTTGCAACTTTGCCTTTCCACTTCTGAGCCGCTTCTTTGGCCTCCAAGGAGTGGTTGTGGGAAGGACGAATACCAGTCGGTGCCTTTCCACGGTCATAGGCAGGCTTGTATGTCATGTATTGGTTGCGCACGCTCTCGACTGTACGTCCAGAAGAGAGGTAACTATAGTTGAGACCACCTGTACCGCCCATGAACTCGCCCAGGAAGCGACTATTATGGCGAGCGGTAATCTCCCAGATGGATGCGTTGGGAAACTCCTCAAAGAGTTCAGCGAGGTACTCACGCTCCTGACATGTCCAGGCATTGTCCATTGTGATGCGACCGATTGCTTGAGTACGACGGTCATTCAAACACTTGATAGCTTGCTTGTTGCCCCAGTCCTTGGGCTTACGTCCAAGCTTACCTTTTTCACCAGTCTCATCCTTCTGGCCATCTCCATAGTGATAGGTCATGGGCACACGTCGCGGATTGCGGTCCACGGTGCTCTTGGGGCGCATGTCAATCAGCCGGATTTGGAGAAGTTCTTCCTGGTCAATCGTCTCGGGCAAGTCATCCGCATTGTCGGGTACAGTCACGCTGGTGTACTTGATGTATCGGGAGCCGCGCTGGAAACGGGCACCCAGGTCTTCCCACATGGGCGGGTTCGTCGCACCGTTACTTGTACGTGCAGAAGGCTGGTCTGGGTGGGGTAGCGGATCAGGAACAAGACGAGAGTTTTCGTCATTGTTCAGTCGTCGCATGGTAGGTACGACGCCCCAGTGTGGGCTGGGATCGGGAATCTCAGGCTGCGGAGGGGTCCAGGCTTCAAAGACGTCGGCAATTGGAGCAGCCCCAGTAGCAGACTTCTTAGGAGCAGCCTGCTTAGCGGGAGTCTTCTTCGTAGGCGACTTCTTAACTAAGCTGTTTCTAGAAATATTAGTTATCAGCGGTGATGCAAAACCTTCTCGTGTAATTGCAACATTGCTCAAGGGTGATTTAGGAGATGAAGCTTCCGATGCGGCGGTGAAATGTTGTAATTGAACACAGGTGTCCACCTTCAGCTTCTTGGACGACTCGTCCTTGACAAGGGGTGACTGTGCAGTACGTTTGGACATGATGAGGTACTTTTGATGTTTTTTCTTGGTTCGAGTGATTGTAGTAACTATGATTACAGTTGTAATGACTTGAAGAAGACCAGGTATTCAGAGGATTATGTAGGATGGGAATCTCACTGTGTTGCGCCACTTGTTAAAGTACATGGACTGCTTCCATGGTCAGAAACATTCTCACAATGTCAATACTATACTAGAGATGTCGTCTAGCGTCACTGGAATTAAAGGACATCACCGCCAAGAAAAAAAAAGAAGAAACAGTAGCATTGTTAGCACTAAGCTGGCCATGTACCATGCAACAAAGAAGTTGGACGACAATGAATGAAGATGTTCATGTGAGCAAACTTGGTATGACAACCCTCGAGCACACATAACGTCTCCCCTTACGATTTTATGTCTATAGAGACATTGTGCTGTTGCACAAAGGCTCGAGTTTTGCCTACTATCTTTTGTCTATGACATGGTCAAAAATTCAGTGATTGCATTTACCACTAGCACCTTGGTTTGCACAATAATTCCGCATGATGAAGAGACACTTTGAACTCAAAACGAGAAAGGTCTGTCCTGTTAAATGCAGATAAAGCGGTGCTGTCGTTACCTGGAACAGGAAACATATTTCACAGCCTAGGAAGTCTCTACAATGAACAGAATTCCAGGAGAGCCAATTTGATGGCTACTGAGCCTGCATAGCGATGTTGACTTGTGGCTCGATGGATTGATGGATAGCCTGATAACAGGAGATAATAGAAGAGTAAAGAACTCATGTTGCGGAGAAATGAGATGTAATATTTTTCATATAAGCAGTCTTGGTCTTAAGCCACACATGGGCCCCTTCGTGTGTCAATACCTGTAAACAGGACTGATCATTGGCCAATCCCTGGCTGAGCTTGACGGTTATGTTACTATGTATGTATAAAATGATCGAAAAACGAAACACAAGGCCTTTAGGAACCGTGAGACCTATAGGCATGCCGAGGTAGACTAATAATTGATGCAAAGCTGTGGCTCAGAATACCCAGAGGAATTCGTCGCTCGCCGAACAGCTACACAGTGACCAGGACGGCATCCAAAGAAAACAGTTAGACCTTCACGAAAGTGCTGATTCATGCTATGACTTACCCGCATTAAACCACAATTAGCGCAATCCCTATTTCTCAGAAGGGCCTGTGCAATACCGACAGCTAGGGCCAAACAGCTCAAGAGAGTTTTGGAGAAAATCATTTTGAAAACTATAGAATAGTCTTGGTGCAAGGAGGTTGGGCTTGATATGCTTGAAAAAGAAGCAGGTTGTAGTCAAAGACGCAGGTGGGACTTGGTTCGATTGAAGAAGAGCGATACGCCGTTCTTAAATGCATAATGTTGACTGTATGTTTTCATAGGATATTCCGCAATGAGGCAGTGTTCAGACATCAGAAGCCCATTCACATGGGTAGGATACGGACTGTGGTAGTAGTATACCCAATGTGTGTTCGCCCTAGCCGCTGGGCGTACAGATCCACACTCGAGATCACTTCTGCTGAACACGGTCGAGGAACTGGGCAAGTCCCAGACGCGTCTCCCTTATACTGTAACCTCATGACGGTCATGTCTCACGTCTCAACATCCTAGGAACTATGCAGCTTGGCGAACTCGGGACGCGTCTCCCCAAGTACCTTATGACCTTTATCTTCCAAGTCTAAACAGCCCAGGAACTAGATACGGCCAGCAGGCAGATTGCTGCACTAAATCTTCGCCATTATTTCAACTCTGTGAATTTACATCTTCAGCTATCTACAGATGTAATTATTTCAATGTAGGCGAACTTAGACGCATTCTTCTAGACCGATTGCCTGCAAAGCACATATCTATGCCTTGCAATTTGCCCATTCTATGCTGAAAGTAAGTACACCTTAGTTTACAGACCACCGAGTTTGCTGAATTGATGTGCTTTGACATTTGACATACCTAATGCAATGTGTACTCTAATAAGCAATTACTTACGGACAAGCTCGGTTGCCGTGTGAGGTTCTATGAATAGAATTACGATTAAATCAGCAATGAAGTCGTCACTTTTTCAGGGCTTTCTGCGTACCACAACGTAAAAGAGTTGTTTGATCAGGTAGACAGCAGGACTGTTATTTGGGAGGCAGGTGTGACGAAGGCCCCATGCTGAATAAGTTCCAATTATTAGCTATTGTACAATTCTAAGTTTAGTTAGCACGAAATTAAAGTTTGTCAATACCTGCGTAGTCTTCTTGTGCTGTGGGTGTCTCTCTTTGATACAACAAATGTCAATGAATAAGTTTTCTTCTTATGCTGCTACAACCATTTCACACAATACTCCATCAGACTTTGTGTGAGAAGGGTTATATCCATTTGTTAGTAGCTCAAGGTACAACAAAGAGTGATGTGTGTGTGTGATGCACTACGGTAAAAAATTGTTTACTGTAGAATGGTACGCTAGGGGTTTACTATATAGGTGTAAACTACCCTCGTGTATACCCGCAAATAGGTTTAAAGTGGTAGTTTACTTTTATAGTAGGGGTTTAAATTAAGTATAAAAAGTAGTTTTATATCTATTATACGCTATAATACCTAACTAAGACTAAAAGGGGTAGAGAAGATTAGCTTTACGCTATACGCATATATAACATAATAATAAGTTATAATATTTTTACTAATAGGAGGTGGTGATAGAGGTAGTGATAGAGGTGGTGGTGGTGGAGGTAGTGGTGGTGGTGGTGATAATAGAGGTGGTGGAGGTGGTGGAGGTGGTGACAGAGGTGGTGAAGAAGATTAAAGAAAGGAGGGGTAAAATACTTAGATAGTTACTAGGAAACTAGTTATTACTAGTACTAGTAGATTAATAGAAGTAGAAATAAAAGTAGTTTACTTTTATAGAATACATAGTATAATAAACCCTATTTAGGTTTACTTCTTCTACCTAAACTACTTCTTAGTCTACTTTAGATAAATATGGCTACTGTAAACCGGTTTTGTACTGTAGTGGTGCCTACAGCCTGTAAAACCATTCACATGTGTTAGGGCTGGATGTACAGTATATCGGCCTTTAGTTGATCTTCGGCATTGAGTTGCCGAGCCGAGCGAGAACCCTGATGATAGGTAACTTAACGTCATCTCCGATCTGCATGGCCCCGCGTTCCATCGGCAGAGGAGGCAATGCTTTCTAGTAGTAGAATCCCAATTTGCACCTCGGCCCAGCCGGACGAAACCGGCCAGAGACGTTGGACACCTACACCATGATGGACACCACAAGTCCCCGCCACTCGTCATCACGATGATCCAATGCTCATATAGCATCCCGCAATCCGTTTAAACGTTTCGGCGAGACCGTCCCACTATCGCGATCCACAACTGACTTACCAACACTTGGTGAATGCACAAACCAGACGTAGTTGCCCGAGATGCCCACTCCACCATTTTCTCAAGATCGCCGCGATTGGCTCAGTGAGATTTCTGGATTATTCTCACAGCGAAAGAGTAAAGATAAAAGTAGCTTAGGCGCTCAGTTGAGATTTGGTATGCCAAAGGCTTTTAACTCGACTTCCACAATTTCGAGAGATGACGCCTCCACAAAAAGTGCAGCAATGGTTAACAGGCCAAGACGGACTGGACAAACTCAGAATGGGACAGACTGATTGTCCGACTCCCGGTGAAGATGAGGTACTCGTTGAGATACACTCTGTGAGCTTGAACTACAGAGATACAGAGGGTACGCTTGTGAATGCCACATGATGCAACTACTGAGCGGGCTCTTCGGAGTATGCTGACCATTCATGCAGTATGCATGGGGCTTTATAACCACCACAAATCCGTGGAACATCCATCTGCACTTGTTCCATGCAGCGACATGTGCGGCGTTGTCGTTGCAGTTGGTCCGTCGTCTAACAATACATCCGACCGCTTCAAGAACCCAATGTTCCGTCTCCAGAGCGGCGATCGAGTGATAAGCACATTTGCGCAAACCCATATCTCCGGTCAAGTTGAAGCCAAAGATGTCGCAAGCGGACTTGGGGGTCCTGCGCCAGGCGTGTTGACCCAGTCCCGTGTCTTCCCAACGTACGGTGTTGTTAAGGTCCCTGAGTACCTATCCGATGACGAAGCTGCTTGTTTGCCAATTGCTGCATTGACAGCATGGATGAGTATCAACTGCATGCGAAGAAACGGCGATATTATCGGCAAGGGTGAAAGCGTTGTGTGTCAAGGTACTGGCGGAGTGAGCATCTCCGCTGCTCAGATCGCGGCTGCAGCAGGCGCAGATCCTATCCTCACTTCGTCATCAGACGAGAAGCTCAAGCGCGCAAAGGCATTGGGTGCGAAAGAAATCATCAACTATCGCAGCAACCCCGACTGGGATCAGGCAGTCTTGCAAAAGACCAATGACCGCGGCGCAGATGTTGTCATCGAAGTTGGCGGCGCGCAGACGCTTCGCAAATCTTTCGAATGCGTGCGCTTTGGTGGTCTGATCTCATGCATTGGATATTTGAGTGGCAAACAGGACGAAGCCGGCGATCGAACGAATACCAATCTACTCTGCCTGAAGAGGAATGTCACTCTGAAGGGGATCCTAAACGGACCAAGAGACGAGCTGGAGCGGATGCTGAAGTTTTATGACGAGAAAAAGATCCGGCCTGTTGTTGACAGAGTGTTCCAGTTTGAAGAGGCAGATGAAGCCCTGAAGTATCTCTTCAGTGGTGGACATTTTGGTAAGGTCGTTGTCAGAGTAAAGTCGTAGTTTTCTCGTAGTCAAAGAAGACAATCAATTGCGTTTTGTATAATGGCTCTTCATTAATGCTATAGCTTCGAGCTTCTCTCCGCATCTTCATAGTCTTTAAGTTCTCTCCTCTGACCGTTCCTCGCACTATTACCGAATTCCTTTCCAGATCTCTGCGTTAGCTCTTGCGAGCTTTTCCACCTCCACGCTCGATCTTTTTCTTCGCCGTTGCTCTTTCCCTTTAACACATTCAACATGTATCTTCCAGCAACTGGCAAGAATCTATTATGCATTAGTACTTGAAAGAATGGCCCTAGAATCGACAGCGATGGACTTACTTGTACGAATGGAAGCTCCCCCCGACAGCAAGATATAGGTTACTAAGCTTGTCATTTGGGTGTCGACACATCAACCAGTCCTCAGTCGGCGTGACAGCATCATAGCATATACGCCATCGACTTGGTGTCCGCGATTTGCTCCATGCAGGCATTGCTTCGTGAATGACTCGCGTACTCTCCTCAATCAGCTTCCGAGGTACATCGGTTTGGTGTCGGCGCGACGGCACAGTGATGCGATGGCCCGATGCTGTGGGTACTGTATTCACGATCTCAGTTCTCAAATCGTTGATCTTCAGTGTTCGATTGGGTTGTGAAGGTGGAATGACGTCGGCGAGTCCGCCCAGGACTACAACGGGCATCTTCGCGTCGATGATGCTCTGCGTCTCTTGCTCACTCAACGTGTAGTAAGCAGATAGGCGCCCCACGGCTGTGATTTGTCGTTCGATCCTGTCCTTCTCTTGTAGTTTCAACACATCTTCCACTGGAGATAACAGTGCACTCGTCCATGCGCCTGCTGCCAAAATAATTTGGTCTGCCTCAAGTACCTTGCCGTCCACAAGCCGAACCCCCTTCAATTTCGAGTGGCTTTGATCCAGTAGCAACTCGCCGACCTCCCCTACCACCCTCTTGACGCCCATCTCAAGTGCTGTCTTGGTAAAACTTGTCGTCGCTTTCTCTGCATCGCACCACCCAGCCTCTGGATTATGATATCCCTGCGAAAAGTCCTCCTTGTTGATTCCTTTCAACACATCGTAATTCTGGAGCTCTTCGCAACTAAAATCACTCGTAATATTGCTTCCCCGCTCTTTGAACGTGTTTTTCACCGCATCACCAAAGCCACTTTCTTTGTAATCCAAAACCTTCCAGCCATTCTTGTGGAAATGTCCTTGGACTGCAATATTCCAAAACCAGAAATGAATGGCTTCATTGGCAACATTGCAGTACAAGTGGGATTCATAGTCTGTCCTGATGATTCGGTTTGTGTCAATCGCCGCAGCCTGTTTGTCCTGCAAAGGGGAGTTGGGGTCCCAGCGGTCTATCAAAGTGACGCGTGAGGGGTCTTGGTATGTTTGGCTGAGGTGGTATGCTGTCGATGCGCCAAACGTGCCGGCGCCTATGATGAGAACTGTTGGCTCTTCAGAGGCCATCTTGAATATGTGTAGGCTCTGGTTTTGTGGAACGTCGGGCGCGTCGACGTTTGTGATCAGGGACCATATATTAGTACATTTCTTAGAAAGATTACTGTGTAAGATGACATTTGAAATGATATGCAGCTAATGCGGGGTCTGCCGCAGGGCAGCGTGCGGATCCGATCGTGGAGACCTACCGAGAAGCAGTCGATCGCGGGATGCGGAAGGGCGAGGGCCCGACTTTCCCTTGTCAGCCTTGGGCTAAGTGAGACAAGACGTCTTCAGAGTCAGACCAGCGAGGCCTAGTGAGCCAACAGGACAAAGTGAAGGGTCTACCTGCGATTCCAGCTCAGAACTTGAGGATGGATTGGCTCTGGGAGACGGGGGCGGAGTCACGTGTGTCTGGCGGTCTAAGCTACCCATATTTGCATTAGCGCATCCGGCTCACCTTCCTTCATTGTAGCGGATACACTGACAAGTAAGGGTAGATTTAAGTAGGCCGAGAAGTTGGAAGATACTGTGGTGTGTCTCTATCCTGGGACTCTCAGTATTATCGCCATGTCTAATCCTGCATAAATGCAAAAGAGGGTCAAGCTGGTTGGTAGTTGACTGCAGTTTTGCTTGAATCGCAGATACACAAGCGCTGACGCTAGTAGGTACCTAGGTACCTGCCGTACCCCGTAGCGGTGACTCAGTTGCCCCCCAGCCATAACGGTACAATTTTCCCACAGGAGACAAGGAGAGCACGGTACCCTACTGCTACAGCAACAACAACAGCAACAACCCTAATAATGTCTCCCAAGATCCATCTTATCCGCCATGCGCAGGGAGAACACAACTCGACAGTGAGCCAAAAGTACCCAACCCCCATATCGTGAACTTACGTTTCTGCAGCGCAACTACGCCATACGTGATGCGGTATTGACTCCAAAAGGCAAAGAGCAGTGTCGCACCCTCAGATCTGCGTTTGAATACCATAACGAAGTAGATATTGTATTCGCATCCCCTCTGCGCCGTACCATCCAGACTGCGGCACTGAGTCTGGGTCCAGCACTATCACGAAAGGAGGTTCCATTCATCCTCATGCCTGTACTACAGGAGGTTAGCAATATTGGATGTGATGTCGGTATTGCAGACACCGCAGAAGATGTCAAACAGTTCTTGCCTGAGCTGTTTGCGGAGGGTGAAGTCGAGTTCGATATCGAAAAAGTGGACGCCTCCGCGGTGACAAAGGGTTGGAATAGCAAGGTTAGTCATATTCAACCCCCAAAACCACCGAAAGGACGCTCTAACAAAAAAGCAGCGTGGCTACTGGGCCTATGAGAAGCAGGCTATTATGAAGCGTGCAACAGACTTCCGCAACTTCCTTTTCCAGCGTCCCGAGAAGCAGGTACGTACTATGCACCATGCAGTTTTCACCTTACGACGGCCGGCTAACATCTATAGATTGTTCTTGTCACTCACGGGGCTTTCGCCCACTTTTTGACTGAAGATTGGGATGTGGAGGATCCAATGACTGGAACAGCGTACAAGAACTGTGAGAATTACCTCGACTTCAGAATGAGTGGATGCTAATCCCTGTAGGCGAACATCGAGAGTTTGTATTCACAGATAGCTCGACTGCCGAAGATGCCCATGTAATCGAGATATTGGAAAGTAGAACGAGGAGAGGTGTAAAAGGAGCAGAAGATGATCCGCATGTTTTGCAGGAGCTGGAGACCATTGTCCACAAAGACAAACAACAAATATAACACCCAGTGAAAGCGAGGCGCTTGTCGTGGCAAAAGACTTGGCAGTGTCGGCCGAATTCCATTCAGGAACCCGCCAGGAGATCTCCCCACAAGTATCTTGAAATCCCGAGTTACTGGCCGAGCCTAGATTGAATCCAACCAGCACCTATCATAGAACAGTAGAAGTACTACTACCAGTAGGGCGTGATTGTGTCCCCGGCAGGGCGCAACTCTGCACGCAGAATTAGAAGGTCTGTAACAGGATAGATTACATGCAGATTTTCACTCATTTGAAGAGTTTTTCAGGCACGCCAAGCTTTTAATGCCTCGCTCTCCTAATTGCGATTTGAAATATTACACTCTTGACTAACCGGCACGTTGGATGACTAATTTTGGGTTGTAACTAAAGTGTAGATACTGTGTAGAATACAGGGCTACTTAACTAGTCTAGTTTGCAGTCTCGGTGCCACCAGGAATCCTTCTACTATTGTGTGTGTATTTCGAAGCCGGGCGAAGAATGGAATGCATTGCTTACCACACCTACAATGGATACCTGAATCTGGAGTGTGCATCTGTGCAGGATCCAACTGGGGTGCAGATAATTACTCCGACGAGTACGGAGTACACCTACGGTAGGCACATGTTGTCAAACTGGAGTGCACATGTTTGTTCTTATGTGCGTATTATGGTCCAATAAACGGTCAGCTGAATGTAGTTTACATGTTGACGGCTTTATTCTCGGCTATGTACCCCAGGATGCGACTGCAGCTGTGAATAAGCCGTGGCCTTGTCACACGACCTCCAGGGCTCTTTCTTACCTACGGCTTGGAAGACCTCGAAAGGAAAGGCACGAAGCATTGAAGCACGGGTGGCTGGTGTCGTGAATTACCGGAAACAGATGGCACTACGGCCAGCAGGGGAAAGCGGCCGGGATAGATTAGTCACTAGTCTATGGTCTGCTCCACTGGCAAAGTCAGATCCAGAGCATCTTTTGCTCGTTCAGATTCAGCGAACAAACTTCTCCCATCTAGAAATCTACTACTACATGATTAACAGTGCACAAATCCCTTGGTGTTGCGAGCGCCGAAGCTGTACGAGTTCATGGCCGTTCGTTCAAATGCCAGATGCCACGATTGCTACTAGAGTTAACGTTGTGGTGTGCGAAGAGCTTCCTAATGCCCAGCTCGGTGGCTATTCGGTTCATTCGAACAAGGCGTGCCGAGGACTCGAAAGGTGCGGATCGAAAGCTTGTCCCCACTCAGCGCGCCAATCCAACGGCAGCCCGTCGTACAAATATTTCGTCACTGTGCACCGTACAGGTGCCACTCAGCATTTTCACTTTGAACTCTCCATGGCATCTACTTATCTCTTATATCCGGCGAAGGAGACGAAGAAGACGGCCCATGTAGGGTATGCTGATGCGACTCAGATGCTTGCAGGCTTCATATATTACTTACGATATCGTGTCACACCATGCACGGTCCCGTTACCACAGACGCACAAACAAAATTTTCATTCCTTTACGTCAACCGCCCTGCGCTATGTGGACCTCGCCATCCTACAACCGCCCAGGGTCTCTCCTCTGAGAGATAGCATGGATCGGTCAACTTCGGGCACCGGGTGCATGGTGCGCGTGGGGATGAGCCCGTTTGCCATTCTATTACTCAACTCCCAAATGCGGAGAGATAAGCCCTCTGATTTAAGATGCGAGTGCAGTCATATTGGACCGGGAACCTTGGTAGCTCTCTTCAGTTCCGTGGTACGTCACCAACTCGATAACCGCGCCCGCACTTGTTCCACGGTAGAACTTGTGACTTGCACTGCATCTTCTACTTTGGGAAGAGCATTCCACTAGCGCGTCTTCGCCAGCAGGACCCCAAATACCGACCTCGCGCCCTTGAGATTTTTCGCATCCTCCTCTCTCATCCCACATCTACATCGCTATACACCATTTCCCTTTTCAACATGCAGGAGGTTCCCCTTACCAATGCTGCCGTGGATACTCCAGCGCCCACGCACGATGCGGCCGCACCACCCACCTACCGTTTTGGTGAAGACTTCTCTTCCGAAGGCAAGAAGAGCGATCCGGAGCTCATGATGCCGGTTGAAAAGACTGCCACCGTACAAGAAGGATCGGAAAAGTTCAACCGACTCGGCTGGAAACGTCTCACTGTCTGCTTGATCGTTGAAGCCATTGCCCTCGGCTCGCTCAGTATTCCCAGTGCGTTCGCAAAACTAGGCATGATCGCTGGTGTCATCATGTGTGTCGGTCTCGGTCTGGTCGCCATCTACACAAGTTATGTCGTTGGGCAGGTCAAGCTCAGGCACCCTCAAGTGGCACACTACTCAGACGCCGTGGAGCTCATCTGGGGTCGTTTTGGAAAGGAACTGACGGGAGTCATGTTTTGCCTGTTTCTGATCCTGCTGGTTGGATCACACGCACTCACTGGGACTATCGCCTTTATCAACATTGTCGACAACTACAAGACTTGTGCGCTTGTTTGGGGTGTGGTGTCTCTGGTCATCCTTCTGGTTCTCGCGCTCCCTCCCACATTCGCGGAATTTGCCATCTTGGGTTACATCGACTTCATCAGTATCATCGTTGCTATTCTAGTGACCATCATCGCAACTGGTGTTCAAGCACACAATGCACCTGGTGGAATGAGTGCTGTTAACTGGACTGCCTATCCACCTCCCGATGTGACATTCTACGAGGCTTTCTTGGCAGCCACCAACATCATCTTCGCATACTCATTCGCTGTATGCCAATTCTCGTTCATGTCTGAGATGCACACACCTAAGGACTATGTGAAGTCCATCTGGGCACTGGGTCTCATAGAGATCTTCATTTATACTCTTACTGGCGCGCTTATTTACGCCTTTGTTGGTCAGGATGTCAAGTCGCCCGCTTTGCTTTCCGCTGGCGATACCATTTCTCGGATCGCTTTCGGCATCGCTCTCCCAGTCATTTTCATCTCTGGCAGCATTAACGGTACCGTTGTCGGACGCTACATCATGGACCGCGCGTTTCCCAACTCGCCCATCCGCTTCGTTCAGGGCGTAAAAGGCTGGGGCGTCTGGATCGTGCTAATCTCTGTCATCACAGTTATCGGCTTTGTCATTGCAGAGGCTATCCCCTTCTTCAACGCACTGCTCGGATTGATCTCTTCGCTCTTCATCTCTGGATTCACATTCTATTTCCCCGCGCTTTTCTGGTTCCAGCTTGTAAAGGTTGGAAAGTGGAATGCTAGCTGGAGAAATATCTCACTCAGCATCCTCAATGCATGCACTTTCCTCATTGGTATTATTGTTCTAGGTTGTGGCACCTATGCGTCGGTTGAGGACATCATGACTCAATACAACTCTGGTAGTGTTAGGAGTCCTTTCACATGCTCTGCAGAAGCATATGCATAGACTGATTCCACGTCAAGTTTAAGAGCATAGAAAAAGCATTACAGAGGGTGCTTAGAAGAAACCATGTATGATTTTTAGCGTTACACAGCATTAGCGAGGGTGGATTGAACTTGAAGCGAAGCATCGATTTGTGACAGTTTATAAAAGTTTCTTCATTTCTAAGTCTGCGGTCGTGTACAACCCTAACTTTTGAAGACCCTATCTTGGGGACCTTTAGAGGTCCGTTACATTCGAAACACTGTTCTAAGGTAAGAACGAGTTCACGTGACTTGGACTGCTGCTTTTCGTACTCAACCAAAGCACTTACCCACGCAAGACCCAGCAAGATCGTAGTAATTCACGTACCACGATGCTTTCGTGTAATCACGCATGCAACGCCCAAGACGAAAAAGCTTGTCTATAGCTCTCATACTAACTCTGGCAATGAAGCTTGGGCGTATCAATTATCCAGGATGCATTACGTACCTTTGCTCACTAGAAGTTTGACCGGTATGCTAAGTCAAAAACCAATCACTTGCCCTCTTTTGAAATGGGTCCACTTTCGCTTTTGCATATCCTCTGTAGCTCATATCTTAAGATTGGTGAAGTTGCGAATATCGGAGAAGCAGGGAAATACCTAGGGTTATTACGGTACCCTTTGATTGTTAATAGGACAGAAGATCAATTACAGGAAATAATCACAGCAGCGACAACGAGACGGATATGAGGGGTCTAGTTTGTGATCTTAGAATGGGAGGAATTTGAGAGGTTATACCTACTCTAGTACACAAGATTTGATCTAGCGAGGCAATTGTTACTTGCTATACCTCTAAAGTATGTTCGAAAACAGGTCCACACTAGGCTATTGTGAATCCAAAAAGAATGTATGTAATGCGCGCCGTGAAAAGACATTTTATTTTGGTACGGAAGACAAGGCCAGCTACTGAGGCTGCGCGCGTTATGCACGTGTTCGCGTAGCGCACGCCTAACTAACATCCTAATCACCACAAATATAAGGATATTAAGCCACACACAGTAGGTATTATTGCGAGACTGTTTAGAGTAGTAATATATAGTAGTAGAGCTATTATATACTATCTATATTAGCCTAGTAGAATAATATTCTACCTATAGTAAATAGTAGGTAGTAGAGGTGCCTATACTAGCACCTCTACTACCCTATCCCTAATAGCACTACCTACGCGTTGTTTTTTTAGCTAGTTTAAATATAGGTATAAAGATATAGCCTTATACTTACTAGATTAGGGTATTAGGATAGATTTTTAGGTATTATTCTAAGATTTTTTAGCCTCCTATATAGTAGCTATTATAGGAGGGATAATTGTAACAATAGGGTAGACTTGTTTGCCTATTACTACATGCCAAGTTAACCCTAATAACTATCTAACTATAGCCTAACTTGTAGATATATATAGAGAGTAGCTTATCTATATTATAATAGGTATATTCTTCCTATCTTTTTATATAAGACCTATAGATGTAGGAATCTTATCCTTTTCTATATAGATACTATTGCAGGAGGGATATTAACTAGATTATGGAGTATCTTGATCCAATCAATCCTGATTAATACCCCTGCATGACCCACTATCTAATTAACTGCTAGCTTACTACTAAGTGCCTAATAAAAAGTAGGAGCTCTAGTAAGGAAGGTTTACTAATTATTTACCTTCTAGTAAGGGTAGCTAAAGCTCTATATATATAAGTCCAATTATAGTAGATATAATCTAATAATCTATCTCCTAAATTATTCCTAACCTTAGTAATCTAGATTTCTATAGTTATAAGCCTAGGTTCGCGCTTTACCTTATTAAAGATTATCCTATCTATTTAAGCGTATTATTTAACTTAGACACTAAGCTAGCAAGCTTTACCTTTTTTATACTATTTCTTAAGCAGAAGCTTACTTATTACTCTTCTACTATAAGCGTCTAAATCCTAAAGGGGGATATCCTACTTACTAGATTAACTAACTAGCCTACCTAGTATATTTAATTTAGATACTATACCCTAACTAAAGGGATCTAGGTAGAGGTAGACCCTAATACTTAGGATACTAAAAACTACTTTAAGAATAAACCTATTAAGCCTAGTATACTAATAGGTGTCGCGCTATCTAATATAACAAGCAAGCAGTATAAACTCTAAATAGCCTAGTACTAAGCTTGCTTATTAGATTAGGTATTAAAGTTATTAGTAATCTAGAACCTTTTTATATAGGTTAATAATATAGTAGATTAAGGCATCCTTACCCTAGCCTATATAGAGCTTGTTAATTAAGAAAGAGTAACCCTCTAAGTACTTATCTAAGTACTCTGCAATAACCTAGCGCTAACTAATTTAAGCGCTGTAACACTAGCAAGATTATAGTATAAAGCTTATCTTGCTAGGGTAAAGATAAGTAGCTAAGATACTAATTACTAGTAGAAGGAGTGGACAATCCTATATACGCAAGCTAAGGTATACAACGTTCCTAATATTAAAGGATAGCTTATAGTATAGGACTATCTTAAAGCTCTATCTACTAGGATCTTACTAGATTAGGGTTAAACTATATTTTAAAGCATTATTAAAAAGTTAGTAATAGGAGAGCTAACTTATAACCTCCTATAGGTTACTAAGATCTATTTATTACTTCTCTAAGAGAATAACATAAGATTAAGCTCTAAGGGTCCTAGAGTGTTTGTAATAATAGGAGCTCCACCTTCTAATTAACCTAAGAAGGAGTCTTTATACCTATATAGTAGATCCTACCTATAGAAACCTCCTAAATACAAAAATATTATTAAAGCTTAGACTAATATAGGTAATAAGCTTACTACTACTTAATAATTAGAGATTAAGAAAAAGATTAATAGGAATTAAAAATTCAAAGAGATAAGAAAAGCTCTAACCAAGTCCTATCCTATTAATCAAGATTATGGTAGTAAGGCAAAAGAAAACGCGATCACCTATCTAGGTAGTATCTAGGCGGCACTAATTAACCCTATATTAATAGCGGAGAAAACAAATAGGATCTATTTAACTATAGACTTTAAAGCTTACGCTCTATTAAAGAGCACTATCTTTAACAATAGGGGTGCAGTACACCTAGTTAATAATATAAGCTACCTAGAAGAAAGCTTGTTTAGATTAGTTAGATATAAGATAGTTAAAGTAGGAACTTAAGCTTTTCTAATCTTAGGCAGAGGGACTAGAGTAATCTCTAATACTCTTAATAGACTAAGAGGTCTAAAAATAGAAGATTTAGTGCTTACTAACGTAGTGTTAGTAGAAGGTTTTTATATAAATATTATATTAGAAGCTTAATTACTTAAAGTAGGAGTTTAGTTCCTTAGGCTAGATACTACCTTATAGTTTAGATTATTAGAAAAGAGCGTTATATTAGCTAAGTTACTGCGTAAGTTTAACTTAACTTTTCTAGAATATAAGCCCTCTACTCCTTATCTAATAATCTAAAGTATAGTGCCTAAATAACTATAATAATCCTAGACAACTTACCTAAGACACGATAGTAAGGAGCTTTAGCACTAATAATTAGGCTATTTAGGACCTAAGGCGCTTAAAGCTCTAGTTAGGTTAGTAATAAATATTAGGATTAAAGGAACTCCTAGGAGCAAATACAAGCACTACGCTATTATATATACCTAACAGGTTATATTAAGATAACTAAGGGAAAGATTACTACGTCTATACTACTAGGTATTATAGGATCTATTTAATATACTAATAGGTATAGCTTATAAGCAATAGATCTTAGTATTAAAGTGCGACTACTTAGGAAAGCTTTATACCTATCTACTATAAGCTAAAAACCTTAATAAGATTATATAGGTGTTTAAAAATTTCAAGAGCTTAATACTTAACTAATATAAGCTTAGCATAGTTAAGATTATGCAAGATAACAACGTTGCAACGCTCCCTTAGCGTAGCAAATCTTGCTTTTAGATCTAGGCAGCTAATAATAGTATTAAAATTAATGAGCTGTACCTATATATACCTATAAACCTAATAGAGGATTAGAAAGAGTAGGGCAGGAGATTATAACAAAATTAATTAAAATAAGGATTAGTGCTAACCTACTAACAAAGCTCTGGCCTAAAATTGTTAAAGCAGTAACTTAGCTCTATAATATAAGCCTGTCCTATGCTTATAATATAATATTACCTAATAAAGTGCTAGATTGTTAGTTTACTAGATACTTTAGGTAGTGGTAACTAGAGTAGATAAGGGAGGCAACTACTAATCTCCGCCCTGATTAGAGCAGAATATACGCCTATGGCTGTTAAGCTTACCCCCTTAACAGAGATTAAGTAGCTAGGCGTTATAAGAGGGTTTTTAAGGTGAACCCTTAGGGTTATATTAGATATCTAGTAGGATACAGAGCATCTAATATATATAGGATATAGATCCCCTTACTTAATTAGATTATTATAACGCAGAATATTACCTTTAATAAGGATCTTTTCTATAAAGAGAAAGATCTAGAGTAGCTTTAATAGTTAGAGGCTTAAAAGATAGTTAACATTATTAGCAAAGATAAAATCTATAATATAGGAGAAGTATATAAAGAGCTTAATATCTTTAATTAGCTTTATATTGTAGTAGAGTAATATAAGGAGTCTAGTAAGCAAGGAGGACTAAACCTAGCGTAGGAGCTAGGGGGTAGGGTAGAGCTAGAGGAGGTAGATAATTAGGCTAGCTAGCCTAGTGATTCACAACCCCCTAAGCAGACACCTCTAGCGTGGGTACTAAGCACGGCTAGCTTAGCACAAAGGATCTATACAAGTCCCCTAAGCTAATAGGGCTCTAAACTCCTAAACTAACACTAGAACTAAACTTTAGTATAGGAGATAAAGGATCTATACAGGTTATAGATTAGGGTCTTACTACCTAAGATAGTAGTAATCTAACTTACTTTAACGCCACGATAGGTAGCTCCTAGGAAAGACCTAGAGGGGAGAGTGCTATTAGTAGGTTACTCTATAAGAGCACAGAGA